TGGTTATCCATCCCATAATGGAAATTCAAACGTAATATAATGGGTTATTTATGAATGAAGTAATGCTGGGAGATGTAATGTAATGGGAGATGTTATGATATGTTATGATTATTCATGAAAGTAATGCAATGGGAGATGTAATGTAATGGGAAATGTAATGTTGGGAGATGGTAATGAAACTGGATGACCATCTCCCAACAACTGAGTATTCTACCCAAGTTTTGACCATGCTACGCATGGTTTGCCATTGTTTTCTCATGTTTTTTAAATTGAACTTACAAGTTGGTATCCCCAAGTTATGCTTGCTGCTTCAGAATGGCCACAGTTAGAGTCGCCACAACACCAACCACACCAACTCGAGCAGGGGACACCACCATCTACCAATTGAATAGGGCAGGATTTCGCAGCCACAGTAGTTCGGTATTTGTTTGGGCTACACAAAGGCATCATACGCATTTATCATTGGGTTGGTTTAAGGGAAAATTTACAGGAAACCATGGTTTTTACTTTTTACCATCAAATATAGGACTTTCCTGTAAAATTTCCCATCATCCAATTCTATGAATTTATATCTGGGAACAGAGTAGTCAACTATCCAGGCAAAAAGTAACCGGGTATGAAAAATGAATCAGCTGGGCTACACGAAAATCACGAACCTAGCTGGGAATACACCTTCATTTATGGACAACAGACTATTAAACTATCCAACCAAGGTTTACCAGGGTCATTAGTGTGTTTTTGGAATCATGGGGATAGCCGCATGGTGATAATCCCCTTCACAATTGCTTTGTGGTTTCATCTCCGGACAAAGTTAAAGTCGGACAGTCATACCAGGCAGAGCGGAAAATAGCTAAAACTAAAATTAAATGACACAAAAAGTCTTAATATATTTAGCATTATTTAGCACCATCTTTACACCTATGAACGTACCCAAGGTCCCATTTTCAGAATTGTTCAAAACAATTTCAATCAGATATCGCCGCCAGAGCCACAGGTTTGCCATCGATGAAAACGCCAGGAATTACCTCAGGCATCTCCAGGTGCCTGCGGAGTCCAGGGGCTTGAAACCCCAACGCCCTCAATTAATACACCGGCTTTTCCGAACAGAACAAATACACATGTAATCACATAATAATATACACATTTAAATGTTACTGTACATCATATTACAATAACCAACAACACGTGGGTATGTGACACAATAGGATATATGTTCTTTTTTGGGGGGGTGCCCTAGTTTTAGAGAAACCCCACATGGCGAACAGTAGTTTGATTTTTGAACAAACATCCATCTTGGCATCATTTGCGAGGTGACTTGTAGGTTTCACTACATTTGGTCATTGGTCCCTCTTTCTGTTGCTTCCCAGTTCGCTCTGCCAACTACTCTAATGCCCACACAGTAAGAGTACCTCCTAAAAAGAATCTTGAAAAACCCTCTCAGGAGCTGTTTCGGAAGTCAAGGAACAAACCTTATATTCCAACCTCGGATATCCTGCAAACACACACCGATCATCGGTGGGGGTGTCATGTTCTTCCATCAAAATGGCTACAGTTATGGCCCTTTACCAGTTATAAGTACTTATAATCGAATGTATAATGCCATTTATACAGTAACCAGTTATAATCATGGTTAATCACTATTAGCACCTTGGAAAAGCATGATTAAGCACTATTTATCACCAATAATCACCATTAATAACCAGTCATAACTAATAGCCATGGCCATAACTGTACCATCTATCCACCAGCCATCTGCCAGGACTTAAGCATCGGTGGTCTGATCCTGAAACAAGCAACGACACCACCACCAACAACAACAGCAACAACAGCAGCAACAACAGCAACAGAAACAGAAACAACAACAAAGTTAGCGGCTACAACCTCAGGATCTTATCCAGGAATCAGCTGCAAATATATATATATATATATATATCCTGGCTCCATATCGCATCAGAAGATATCAGAAGCACCTCTAAGCATGGCGATGTGTCACTGACTCACGCAGCCATGGCCGCTGGGCATGTGAGAAAAACAGGTCGATGTGCCTCAGCTTGCCACTTGTTGCAGAACGTGGATATGCAACACAATAGTAACTCACCAACCTGAAATAAAGCCTTTGGGGGTGAGTTCCTCTACCAAGCACAATTTCCAGTGACGTCGAAGTGAGGTCGCTCTAGTGTATAACAGTTTGTATGTATAGGAATTAGGAAGAGTGCCCGTGATCTGTCGGGGAATCTGAGACTTGGATTGATTCAAGCCGTGGAGGTGATGACCAAATTTGTGCATTGAATTTGCAACGCTGACACCCATTTCGGGGTCTTTTTTGGTGGGAGACAGGTCCCGGGTGGACCACTCGATCCCACAACTGCGGCAAAGGGGAGGACACCCTGAAGATCCCTGAAGTGTCAGGAAGTTCCGAAGAAGTGATTGCTAGGTTTTTCAAAATGTAGAAATGCAAGTAGCCCTCTAACATCCTCTAACCCATTTGTAACTGGGTATATCAAATAACCTGGCAAGGATTAATCACAAAGTAATCCCGTCCCCAAATCATAATGAATCACATCCCCAAAAAGATGGTGGAACGCATTGGATATGTTCATGCTGTGGGCCCATTACAAGGGAGGTTAGTCTTAGAGGATGGGAATTGAATGGGTGGATTGTTTCACCTATAACCATGAAATATCCGAATGACAAAGGATCGATTACTGCCATCACGTGTTGCAAACCGCAAATGGTCAGGTTTCCCCTGTTGCTAAAAGCAATACCTGGGATGGTCAGCGCTCGAAACACAACACCTAAAAAACACCACCGCCGAAGACCCAATCTCTGACTGATTCATTTGGGCGTCACATCCTTCAAACATGCAATACTTTGGGGCTAGAGGGAAAGCAATGGAAAGAAACAAACCCAACCAGGGGCCCTCATCGCACATCCTATGGCCCAAACATGACAACGTGCCATCGGCTGCAAGATGACGAACCCTTTTCTCTTGCTGCCACTGTTGGCACATCTAACTTCAACGTGTCCGGACTGGTCGTGCGAGAGCTGAAAATCATGGCCCTTGCCGACGCATCCGATTCCCTGCGAGCTACGCTTGGAACGTCTGCTTCAGCCGCAGCAGAAACTTGAGACGTTAGCTATAATATCCTGGTGCTGTCATTCCGTACTGCCGGTAGATTTACGTTGTGCTCTTGCAACTTGAAGTGCGCTTCAACAGGCACAGGAAAAGGAACGTCCTATTAGATTATACTTTGTGCTATTCAATATCATGGTTTCCATAGCCCCATGCATACTTTCCACTTGAGTCACCTAACTCATGCAATCAGCATCTTGCTACACAAAACCCACCCTTTGCAAAATCAGGGCCAGAACCGGAGTAGTAGCTCACATTCGGACCTTGTGGGCTTCGCTAAGTGATAGTGTTTTTTTTCCAGAAGACTGGCTACAAGAAGCAAAGAACATCTACCTTTCCCCGAAGCTCTCCAATCCCATGCCCTTTCATTGTGTTTATTTTACAGAGTGGAGATTCTAAACTATGGCCAAGTAAACATGTTGACATGACCAATTTTTTTATTCTCTCATGGGCACTCAATGATTGTTTTTTCGTATATGCTCCCGGCAGTTTCACGGGGCATTGGAAGCCCCTGACTTTTGCACACGCAGCACCAGATGAATTGGCGACGTCAGTCCTATTCTGGAAAGGAGCGGCAATGCCTTCATAATTAAAGTCTGGAAGAAAAACAATGGTTTATTTGGTTTATTATAATTAATTAAACAATGGTTTATAATCTAAACAATGGTTTATTATCTATTTGGATGTTCCTCGATTCTGTCTATTCAAAAATGGTGCGTGTATATATATATACAGTATGTACTGTGATAGTATTTGTCTATGTATAGGTCATAGCTTAGAATTCGCAAGTAAAATCTCTATACAACATTTATAATGGCCCTTTACCAGTTATACGTACTTGTAACCACATTTATAGAATGTATAATCCCATCGACACCACTTGTAACTAATAAATGGCCATAACTGAAGGGATCATGGCTAATCTTATCTTATAGGTACACTGCAATGGCCCTGCGCCCACCAAGTTTGACTATTCAACTTCATTTTAGCATGGGAGCCACTTCGTGAATAAATCCAATACAAAACCAGGGGTTCGTTTCGGAGGTACTAAATACAAGGAGGTTACATTGTTTTTTTATCGTTATATTGTTTCTAGATTACAATTTGTCCGCTTCATAACTATTTTTGGTTATCTATTTTGGGGATGCAATTGTTTTAAGCCAGCACTAGTGTTGACCCCTGCATTTTGCTAATTGGGGCGGCACCATTTCTGAAGAGTAAACTATCATTTTGGGTGGTACCTCCGACCAAACTGCATCTTCCAAGGACCTGTTGCTGTGTGTCCATGGATTCAAAATAGGGCGCCAGAATCCGACTGATCAGTTTCTGGCATACACAAGTGAACATAAATCAGCTGCTTTGCTGAAAGAAATCAACAGAATGTCATTGTTTTTGTGTGATTCCTAAGATAGGTCATGAAGGTCATGGAGCTAGTTAACTGGCTAATAGATGAGATATAAACCGTTATAAACCAGTCGTAAAGATGTTACCGGGATCGAAGCCACTGACCACTTCGCTAGTCCCACGGCCCTTTTCTAACTTTGCTTGTGCACCACTGAGTTGTGGATTTCGGACTTCGTCGCCGGACTAGGTCCAGATGTTGAAGCAATTCAATGGCTTGTGAAGGAAGCTACGGAACAAATGGTGGCTGTGCGGCTGTGCATATGATATTCCTTCGTCAAATGATTGATCCCAGCTTCTCATACCGGGATGATCAGTCCTAAGTTCATGCCTTCTTCAGCCATCTTCATGCTGCAGTTAAAATCTTTGTGGGATCATCGTTTCAACGCCCCTCTGACTTGGCTCAGTCGGCTCACGCAGAGCAGCGGGGCTAGTTGATTCCGTTTCTCCAATTGCAGCAGCCAAGCTAGTTCCAGGAGTTGTTGTTGTTCCAATTGTTGGAATTGCCGTTGGCACCTGCATGCTGTGGACATGGCAATCGCGTTTCAAGACCATCCCGATGAACACATAAAACATGTCGCTGCCTCAAAAAATATTCAGGGCCCAAAAAATAAACAAAGACTTGTTCAAAGTTAAAGACTCGTTTGTTCAGTCAAATCATTGTAAGGATCTGCAATACTCAAATATCATCAACCGCTAGGAAGATTTTAATGCTCCAAAATTCAGCCCACCTCTTTGGGCCACCAACATGGCCTGCTTCAGTGATCCATCACCTCACCCTGTTTGGACTGGCTGTGAATTGTTGAACCAAACTTCAGGTCTTATTGACCTGTAGGTAAAACCCCTCATTTGAAGATTCTATAGGTATGTGTTTTTGGGGTGCTTTTTGAGTATTGACCATGATGGAAGACGGAAATGTTCCACGGCTCGCGCCTGCGTTGCCATTCGTGCCGTTCCAAGCAGACCAATCTTGGTTCGTGGCGTCCTGCCAGCTGTAGGCTGGGTCTAAGCATGGACCGATCAAACAACTGCCATGTGGCGCCCTTGGAATTTCCCAACTTTGATCTGGTGGTTGACCTACCCCTCTGAAAAATGATGGAATTCGTCAATGGGGTTGGGATGACATCCCATATATGAAATCGAAAATAACATTCATGTTCCAAACCACCAATCAGCAGTAGTTCCATATACAACTGGGTTATACTGATATAACCGCTATTATCCAATATATTATGGAAAATAAAATTCATGTTCCAAACCACCAATCAGCAGTAGTTCCATATACAACTGGGTTCTACTGATATAACCGCTATTATCCCATATATGAAATCGAAAATAAAATTCATGTTCCAAACCACCAATCAGCGTAGTTCCATATACAACTGGGTTATACTGATATAACCGCTATTATCCAATATATTATGGAAAATAAAATTCATGTTCCAAACCACCAATCAGCAGTAGTTCCATATACAACTGGGTTCTACTGATATAACCGCTATTATCCCATATATGAAATCGAAAATAAAATTCATGTTCCAAACCACCAATCAGCAGTAGTTCCATATACAACTGGGTTATACTGATATAACCGCTATTATCCAATATATTATGGAAAATAAAATTCATGTTCCAAACCACCAAGCAGCAGTAGTTCCATAAACAACTGGGTTATACTGATATAACCGCTATTATCCAATATATTATGGAAAATAAAATTCATGTTCCAAACCACCAATCAGCAGTAGTTCCATATACAACTGGGTTCTACTGATATAACCGCTATTATCCCATATATGAAATCGAAAATAAAATTCATGTTCCAAACCACCAATCAGCAGTAGTTCCATATACAACTGGGTTATACTGATATAACCGCTATTATCCAATATATTATGGAAAATAAAATTCATGTTCCAAACCACCAAGCAGCAGTAGTTCCATATACAACTGGGTTATACTGATATAACCGCTATTATCCAATATATTATGGAAAATAAAATTCATGTTCCAAACCACCAATCAGCAGTAGTTCCATATACAACTGGGTTCTACTGATATAACCGCTATTATCCCATATATGAAATCGAAAATAAAATTCATGTTCCAAACCACCAATCAGCGTAGTTCCATATACAACTGGGTTATACTGATATAACCGCTATTATCCAATATATTATGGAAAATAAAATCACGTTCCAAACCACCAACCAGTGATGTTTCATTGTCATTCCCACCGGATGTAAGTCGCTGAACCTTGTGAGACAGCGGTTTGTTTGCTTCACGGAAACTGCGCCCGAAATGAACGCTGAATCTCTTCGGGAATATGAATATCAAGGCACGGACTCAGGGCATCTATATATATACAAATATATATATATATATACACCTTGTGGACCCTTACCTGACCATTCCAAACCGATGACAATACGAAACATGTTGGGGTGGAATTACCCATGTTGTGTACTTGGTGGTTCATTCTACTTTATACATAGAATAGGTTATAACAAGTTCATTGCCACCCTACTTAGCCAATTTTTAAGGTCTTATAGCCAGGTTTAGACCATCCAAGTACCTCGAACCATTGGAATGATATACCCAGGTATGAAAATTACCTATTTTTCATGGGCACTCGGAGGGTCTAGCTCATAGCCTCCTTTAAACAAACGGAATGAAGTACCAAGTGATGCTTCAACCCGGCAGCGCTCAGTCCTGAGTGGATTCCCCCCATCCCTGAAACCCAGACTGCTCATTGCCGCGGTCGCGCACATCGCTGGTGCCCCACTCCGGCTTCTTGTAGTTCCACACATCTGCACACACCCAGATGCTCCATGGTGCTGGAATATTTACCATTATTTACCTACAAAACTGGGCAATTTTTGGGGTAAATGTAGGTACATATTCCAGCACCATGGAGCATATGGTGCAGAAGAAACAGCGAAACGCCAACCACAAAAAGGGGCGGAAATGGAACATCAAACTCCCATGGGGTTTGCAAGGCTAGCTGGGAACTTACCGAACTGGGCATGTTTATGGGAAACTCGCGGAGCACCAGATTCTACAAACGGATACCCTCTGGTAAACATACAAAAAACTATTGAAAATGGTCATTTATAGTGAGTTTTCCCATTAAAAATGGTGATTTTCTTTACCAGAGGATAATTATCCATCAAAACAAGATTACATTTCAAAGGCAAATTGCGGACTTCACCCTGGCATAGGGTCAAATTCATCACACTCTCAAAAAAATAAGCCATCAGCCATAACCCCCCTGGAAATGATTGCTCGGGGTATCTCAGGGTAAGCTGGAAGACCAGTCAGGTTGGGCTACCTTGGGGTAATCCATCCCATCAGGTGTGATTATTTCAGTTGGACCACATAGGCAACAGAAAACATCTGGGTGTGTCTGAAAATGGGGTATGTCCAACATACCCATATTCTAGAAGATGTACATGATGATAGACCGCCAGGATTCAGGGATACCCTATTTTCAGACACACCAATTTTGAGTCGATTGTTTATTTCTCGGGCCCAGTTCATGACCTGCTATGGTGTATAGAACAAATCATTGTCCACATCCTGCTACATGAACAACCCACTCAAAATACTTAGAACCAGCGAGCATTCAAGTGGCCCTCAAGAAAAACATCTTTCGACCTGAATGTGAACTTGAAGGTATGGTGCCTCCAAAATGAACAAGTAATCCTTTCCCCCTAATACTAAACGTCCCCCCCTATTAATAAACACCTCAGGTAGTTTTTAGTATTAGGTTGGTATTTATTATTAGGGAACCCTATTAATAAAACTAAATTCTTAATAAAACTATTCTTTCCGATCGCAAAATCAAATAATTTTCCTTATATAACGCAATTAAAAAAGATTGCCAAAAAGTGGATTTCGAAGCGGACCCTATTAATAAATTTAAAACCTTAATAAAAACTAGTTTGTTTGATTTCAAAATCAATGACATGTCCTTATATAACGCAATTACAACATAAAAAAACATAATATAAAACTAGAAATTTTCGGACGACACCCTGGGGTTAACTAGTTTAAATTATTAGGGCGCAAAACCCACAAATGGTAGTTGTTTTTCAAACAATGTTTTCTAAAGGGGATCAATTAAAAGCCAAATTGGCCAATCTGAAATTGTCCGAAATTAGAGATGGACCCTAGTTTTGAGTATTTGGGGGATGTTTAGTAATAGGGGGAAAGGATTAGATCTTTATCATGCCTAAGGGGGTGAATCTAAAACAAGTTATGCATCTCGTTTGGTCAAGAACCTCAAAGGTAGTTGCCAAAATAATCATGAAATGTTTGCATGGATACACATACGGGTCTGCCGATACACACAAAAACACATGTACTTGCACACAGTCATACATATAAGTCACATGATATATAAGTATGAATTGTACTCAAATACAATATATATAGTGACGCGCACATTGCAACACATATATTGTATATATATATATATACATACACAATATATGTATGATATATATATACACATCACACACACACATATATATATATCATATTACATACATCATATATATATATTAGCTTTTTTAAAGTCTCGTAAAAATATTTTTGTTATCTAGCGTACGTGTAGTGACGAGTGACATGAACGGGGGTATGAACGTGTGTGTGAACGACATGCGTGCGAGTGAACGTACGTGCGAACGTATGTATGTACGAGTGAGCGTACGTGCGAGCGAACGTGTGAGCGTACGTCCGTGCGTTTGCACGGTCACTCGCCACGCGCGCGCGCACGTACGAAAATAAGGTCGACTTGAGTCGACCTTATTTTTGCACGACCCTGCCTCTTTAGTATTGATTTAGTATTGTAGCGCTTTGCACGTACAGAAATAAGGTCGACTCCAGTCGACCTTATTTTCGTACGTGCGCGCGCACGCGGCCAGTGAACGTGCAAACGCACGTACGTATACGCGCACACGTCCGTCCACTTGTACGCACACGTCCGTTCACTCTTTCGCTCACACGTGCACTCGTCCGTTCACTCGTTCGCCTTACGTTCGTCACCACGTCCGTTAGCCACTCGTACCCCCTACGTTCACCGCGTCTCTTGGAGCTTTAAAACCATTGTTTACGAGGCTTTAAAAAAAACTAATATATATATATATATATATCTCATGATATTAATATTATACATATACTATATGCAGGAATCTAATCCACAATCAGGACCACCTAATCCATGGACAAAACCATTGTATGTTTCTGACTCCCCATATGGCCAACTAGGATTCAGGGGTACCCAATTTTCAGACAAACCCATCTGAACTTCAACTTCAATTTGGCTGAATTATAATTCACCAACCTGAAAGTAGCTCCAATAAAGGCCATTTGCTGATGATCATCTTTACAATTCTCATCATTCCAGTGACGTCACAGTGAGGTCACTATAATTCGTCCAATTCATATACAGAAGAATCTAAGACGCAAATCAGGACGGGATAATCCAATTACATATATTTGGGTAACTAACCCCACAAACACACACCAGTTTTCAAAGTTCATGATTAATCTTCCATTTTCCTATAGTTTTTCATAGGTCAATCCCATTCTAAGTCGACCATTGAATCCCATTTTCCCATTTTTTTGGTACAATGTGGGGCCCCGAAACGATAGCTAAGTTGGTTTCTAACTTCAACTATAGGTTTACGATATTTATAAGTATAGTATTCATGGAGTTAAAAAAAAACAACTTACAGCTGGGGAGGGGCTGTACATTGGTAAACCCCACGAAATCCATCCGGGGTCACGGCCGGTTCTCCGGGCCTCCTTTCTTGCTATCGCTCAGTTCCTGCAACCAATCCGGAACCTGAGATGCCGCTGGCCCACTGGCCCAAGAACTGGGGGATTGACCCCAATGTCTACGGATGTTCACAAACAAACATATCTTTGTTGAAACAAATTTCCGACCTCAAAAAGTGGGACCACTGAATACCACTTCTAGGTCCTAGTTTTTTTGCTCTTCAAATGTAAAAGCATATGTTATATGACCATGAAATTGCGGTAAAATGAGTTGACCCATTGACCATGGCTGTTTTTACAGAAAGATTCAATGGACCAAGCCTCGGTGAAACATGCTGTCGGTTGGATCCTAAAATTTCAAGGGGAAAAAAGGAAATCCCATATGATCCAATGGTCACTGGAGTTGGGAAACATATACTCTCTGGTTATGACTAACAGTTCGCCATGGAAAATCACCATGCTAATAAGAATGGAAAACCATCTATTTCTGTGGGTCATGGCTCTAGATTTGGTGAAAACCCAAAACGTCTTGAAACCGGTGTTCAGATTCTCCCATGAGCGATCGACACAATCCCTCCGTGACATGGTTTATGATTAAATCCTTATGGTTTTTCCCGTGACATGGACCATGGGATATACAATGGATATACCCTCTGGTAAACACACAAAAAGCTATTGAAAATGGCAGTTTATAGTGGATTTACAGTACCCATTAAAAATGGTGATTTTCCATAGTTATGTTAGTCTACCAGAGGGTACAGCATGAAAACAGACAGAGCCATGCTATGAACAGTGAACGTGACTGGGACCCGGTGGTTTTAAGACCTATCCCCAAAATATGTTGAAACGTCATCTCAACCAATCATCCCTGTTGTTTACAGACATATCTGAAATCACCAGATCTTGTATTGTTAAGAACAAAACAAATATGAAACCACCAGCCAGAGCATCATTGCTGTTATAGCCATATCCCGATGATTATCCCAATTTTAGATACCAATCATCCCCTTAATCATATTATTGGAGACGCAGATGCTGCCGCGACACCCAGGTATTAGGAGCACCCTGCATCACATCGGGCAAGTCCCTCAAAAAATCATCACCTCAGCAAGGGAAAAGCCCACGAACAGTCACTTGGAAAGGGCTGACAAACCCACGAAAATGGGTGATCAAATGTCCAACCACGATATCTAATCATAAACCATAGTAGTTGCTGCGAACCATAGTAGTAACCATGATGCTATGGGAGTGAATTTTGAACCATAGTAGTTGATGAATAAAAAACATTCTAGTAACCAACCAATAGTTGAACTGCATGCTGATATAGTTGTAGTTTACGACCCTGAAAGACCTACCACCCATATACAGTATAGTAATTAATGATAATCCACAATTAACCATCAAAAGGTAACATGAAACATTGGGACGTTTCTAAATAAAACCGATTTAACAACGCATATTGACAAACAAAAAAAATAGGTTCGGTTATAGGTATAATCAACACAACATGAGGAATTAGCCTATAAACAAACAGGTTCCAACGAAAACATGTCCATATAGGGGTCAGTTCATGAGCCCAACTACACATCACTAAACCAGATAGGTCAATACTCCCTTTCCTATACCACTAATCAGCAATCACTTAACTTAACAATGATACGCTTATCTTTTGATGCTGACGACCCCTCTACAAGCAAAGCAAAAAGACGACACATCACTAAATTCGCCCTTCAACAAGATCAACACCGATTTTTTGGTTATTATTGCTCACATGGAAAAAACCGGCAATTTGGCCGCCACATGCTATGACTCGAACCGCCGCTTTTTCTCACCAACCTGTTTTTCGCCATCCCAGGATCTCACGGCCCCCCATAGTGGTGGTGTTGGGTCACTCCCACATGAATAGATCCACAAAGTGGGGCCCCGTTCAACGATAGCGTTCAGTTGGGGGCCACATAACTCCAATTTCACTATGGTTTATGGTAGATATAGCTATAGTATTCATGGGGTTTATAAACCAACTTATAACTGGGGGGGCCCACATTCTAGTTTGCTTGTCCAAAATTGTGGTTATGTGATTTTCTTTTTGAAAGCTATCCCCATGTTTGGGGATCTGAACGGATTCTCGTTTGTTTTCCCAGCATCATGGCCACTCTGTGATACCGTCCGTTTTGTTTTGCTGGCTAATATATCTTGATCTCTATGTATATATATAATATATAGATAATATATATATATACATAGATATACAATTATATATATATACAGTATACATAATATATATATATATATCTGTTCAATCTGTTTATTGCACAATCAAGTTTTTAACATGAAGCCACATCTCCTGATTCTAGCCCATGAATCCAAGGCTCTATCCATGCACCAAGAGTCCTGCCATCCAGCACTGTCACCATGATTTTGGGTACCCCCATTTTAGGCAACCGCCAATATCCGCCAATTATCATTAGTTTTAAAAGGATTTTATTGTTCTGTCTTTTTGGGGAGATTGCCATATACTAAAGTACTCATCCATGGTTTCTCCAGAAATTTCTACTTGGGCACCTATCCCATCCGGTGAGGAACCTACCTCGCAACTGCTTGGTACGGCCGAAACTTAGCTCCTAATTCTTTGGCTCATCTTTGAACATCTGTATATATGTAAATATCAATAGACAGATAGCACTTAAGACTTAAACATGTTGTTTTTTTAAAAACTGACGTCTATACTGCGGAAACTGTTTCTCTTCGATTGTCAGTGGGATGCACAGTCAAACATCTGTGTTCCCATCTTCAAAACGAGCAGTGGCGGTATAGTCATTGTTTGTTTCCTATTCAGGTGTTTGATTGTGTTTGATTACCCTCTGGTAAACTAACATAGCTATGGAGAATCACCATTTTCAATGGGAAAATCCACTATAAATGGTCATTTTCAATAGCTACGTTAAATTACCAGAGGGTAGTTCCTAGGATGATCCTCCGAGAAATCCACTTCACCAAAATGATAGGATCGCGTAGAAGAAAAACACCAAGCAGCTTTGTCGAAGGATAGGTGATCTCCAATTACAAAGTTGGACAACCAGTCTTGACCATGTGGCATGGGGTGCGCCGGTGCCCAAATTTACTTGCACTCATGGCCAATCTGGTGAATCCAGGCCAGCAAAAGCGACAAATAAGGCCATACGACACCCCGGTGATGTAGGTTATATAGGGCTTGAAAAAAGGGCTTATAGCTTGTAGAACCACTTACAATGTCTGGGTCCTGTAGATCCACCTGTCCACGACCGAGTCCTCATAAGTAATGTAGGTCAGTGCAGTCCCACGATGTCCAATGCGCCCCGTGCGCCCGATTCGGTGCACGTAAAGGGAGATCCTGGGTGGAAGCATTGGCCGATTCGGTACCAATTTCTTGGAGGTACCATAGTTCAGGCCTGGGTGAAGGCTAAGGAAATATCCCCACAAAACATGGCCAAAGATATGGTACAAGGGTCTTGAAATTCCCACAGATTAAATAGCTGGCAACTTAGGTATAAGTATAAGTAAGCTCCTACAGCTGGGGCAAGTCTTTCTGTTCGAACCTGGCCATTTACTTCTTGTATCCAAGACTGATTGGTTGAGGGGGTTCCATGTTGGATTGATGCATTTGTTTACCATCAACCACCAGGTATTCCCTGGGCAGGGGGCAGTGCTCAAGTGGGGCCCTACAATGCCTCCTTGGCAACCCCTGGTTACTCCGAGTATACCAGAAGTAGTTAGCAGTGTTTCACTGGCCATCTCAGGAACCTAAATTGGAGGTACCTACCAATCCTACCATATATAATTAAGGCCTATATAAGGCCTATATAAGGCCTATGTAAGGGAATATCACCACAAAAGATGGCCTTATATGGTACAGTACGTCCATTTTAGGATCCTGAAATTCCCATTGAGAGTGTTGGTAAGATGTTGTGTTTCCAAAAAAAGACATGAACGACGAAACAAGCAAAGGCCAACATATCCTCTGGATGCCGATATTCAAGTTTCCTCCTAAAATTGAACGGCAAGCACAGAAAGGTAGTGATAGTGACTGAATGTGCGTTCTAAGAGGTTGCAAGAGGCTACAATAAAAAAAGCCAAGGCTGCATACCAGTAATGTGATAGTATATTTACCATCCGGAAATCAAACATGGCTAGTTGGGAAATCCCATATTCCTGGAGTTTCCATGGTAAAACAATCTATATATACTGGTTGATGGTTTCAATCATCTTGAAACATATTAGTCAATGGGAAGGATTATCCCATATATTATTGAAAATAAAGTATGTTTGAAACCACCAACCAGTTTTGCAGGTCTTCCTGCAAACCATGTTTGATTACCAGAGGATATCCATCACTGTCCTGTCAAGCCTTCCAATCAAATATGGGTTTGCCTGAAAATTAGTGTACCCCATTCCATACACTGCAAAATCAATCAACATCACCGTATTTTCCTTCTTATCAACTTATCAACATATTCATAACTGCTGGCTATACCCCATTTCTGGTGTTTCACACGTATCAATGACCCAATCGATTTCCAACTGTTCCAACTGTTCCAACCGTTCCCCAGCACAGTGCGGCCAAAAAAAACGACGAGTCACTCTTTGGGCGCATCGTAGTTGACCACATGGGTGACCTTTGGAGAAATTCACCCGCCGCCCGGAGCCATGGTCCGTGACATCTCCTTTCAATGGGACTGGGGGAATGGTCAACATAGTCTAATAGGTTAACATAGATTAATATATGGTTAACATATCCTCTCAGAAACTCTATTTAATCTGGTCGGTGGTGCAATAACCATCTTGAAACATATGAGTTCGTCAATGGGAAGGATGACATCCCATATATGAAATGGAAAATAAAACATGTTCCACACCACCAAGCAGTTCTTGTTACCTCCAGTGACCCATCATCAACAACCATCATCATTGATTCTCACCAATGTGTGATAAATTGGCCCCGGAGCTCCGTTCCCTGATGCCCCGGGGGAGTTTTTGTTCAACTCCCAATCCATCCCATGGCTGCCCCGCAGTCGATGGAAAAACAACATCGAACGAAATCACCAAGCAAAACAAGGCTTGGTAAAGGCCCAAGTCTTCAGCATATCTTCACGTCAACATCCTCATATACATTGCGTCATATTGTGTCTGTCCCCTGTTTGATGACGATGAAACCCCTATGCAAAACCACCGCTTACGTTTCACCATAGTCACCACAGAAAACCTCAGAAGCACATCGCTCATCCTAGCCATCTGGGAGGATTTACACGTATCTGTCACCTGGCAAGCCCTCAAGGTAACCAATTGGCTCTGAATGAAAACCCAAATCCATCCAAATCCCTAAGAAAAACATCAATGTAATGAAAATTGTCATTACGTTCACACAAAGTGGGGCCCCTAAACGATAGCTAAGTTGGTGAACCTAACTCCAATTTCACTATGGTTTATCGTACTTATAACTATAGTTACTGGGGTTATTTCAACCAACTAACATCACTGGGGGGCCCCACATTGCATTTTTGAACTGATTTTTTTGGTGAACCATGGGGTTCACCCCCCTCCTTCACAGCCCGGTAAACCGCCAAAGCACTCGGCTGATGTCCAGCCCCCTGGAAGCCACATCGGTTGCGATCATGATGTCCACCGTGCCGCGCCGGAAACTCTCCAAGTCTGGAGACGATCGAAAAGCTCAATTCTTACAATGTGGGGCTCCCAAACGATAGCTAAGTTGGTTGACATAATTCCAATAACTATTGTTTATGATAGTTACAAATTTATATATTGTTCACCTGTGTGGCACTAAATGGAACTCGCGTGTGAGCTTATGACTATAGTCAATGGGGTTTAAAAACGAACTTATAACTGTTGGGGGCCACATTGTAGGAATTGTTCCACGGCTACGATACACTCCATCAAGCCAGGTACCAGGTTTTTTCTGGGAACCAACAGGAACTTGTCAAAAGGGCTCCCAAGTTGTAACCTTCATTGGGTTTGTTTAGTTGGGAAATTTACTGGAAATCATGGAATTTTAAACACTGAAATACAGGTGGTTTGTACATGTTTCCTTCATCTAAGTCCGGAAAACTTCGAACACACAAAAATACAGTAGAACATATGAGCATTTTTTAATTTTCTATATATACTGACTGTTTGATAATTTTAATAGGTATTCCCATTGTGGGTGATAATCAACAGTAAATCAGGTAGCATATAAAACCCTCTTGTAGCAACTTAGTAACCAATCAACCAGGGTTGTGGTCCTGGTCGCAGCTCATGTAAAAATCATGTACAGTATGTATTATGTATCATATATAGTATAGTGATATATACATAACCTAGACCATAGTTCAAAAGCTTATACAGCAGTAGTTACCGTAGTCTAGGCATTGAATCGAAGGGAGAAACGGGATGATCGAATCAATGTGAAAAAGAGGGGTGACCATATTTGCGTAAATTCAATATTAGAATGTTCTGGTCGGGGAGTTGCCGTTGCCATTGGGGCGAAATTAAGCCATGTCATATGAGGATACTCCTGAGTCTTTGAAGAATAAGGGGAAATCTGGGGAAAAGCCAGGGAAACTGAAATATATGTATATAATATAAATAAACATATATGTATTGAACCCTTGCATATAGAAAAAAAATATGATTATGATCTACTGGGAACACTTTTTTTTTTTACTCGACTGACATCCCACTAAACCAGCCTACTTTGCACTGGCAGCTGGGAATCTATAAATGCGAGATAGTGTGAGTAAACTAAGGAAAGTATAGGAACGTAGGAACCTACAAACCAGATGCGAACTGACCAAGAAAATGTCGCGCAACAAGGGGACCTCCAGCTATGGTTGTGGGATGAGAAAACCTCATCCAACTCCAGAAGATCCTAGATATATCCGCCATGAATCCAATCGTTGGCCTAGTTATAAACCAACTTACCCATAAATACTTTCCCTTCATCTATAAATCCCATTTTTTCTTGCCAAATACCCATTTTCCATCATCTCTAATGGTGAACTGTTGGCCCCTTTGGTGCGTTTTTTTTTGTATCGGTTTCTGTATCAGAAACCAAGGGGCGTTCTTCGCGCTTGGGTTGGTCCAGATCCCCGTGAAGGGCCGCAGTGGTAGCAGTTCCGGCCTTGGGTTGACCATCCCTTGAGGATTTCATGGGGATTTACCCTCTGGTTATGACTAACATAGCCATGGTTAAGCCATGGCCCATAGAAATAGATGGTTTACCGTTCTTAATAGCATGGTGGATCTTTCCATGGGGATTTATGGGGATTTCATAGGGATTTATGGGGATTTAATGGGTTTCAATGGGAATCAAACACAATTAGCTGGCAAATCCTCTACAAAATTGTGGATGCTCAATTGCCATGTTTGATTGCCAGGTGTTCTATGTACAAAAATAGTCCAATCATGTGTCATCCTTCTTATTAAACGCCGCCAGAAACCAGAAATCATAGATTCAGGACCATCGAGTGGCGGTGTTTATTCGGAGGATGGGATGATGTTGGTGTATAGCATGGTACTGCATACCATTGTACTTACACATTTTTCAACAAAACCCCTGACTTTTTTCATAGTTTCAGTACACACGGAACATACCAAAGAACCTCTGTCAAAAGCCAGAGTTGACAGTAGTTGACATCAAAAGAAGAAAACCCACGAAGCCCCGAAAAAAGATGTCGCTGGTTCCAGCGAAGGACGGCAGCATCATTTTTTCAAGAGGGGAATTGATCCCCCCACGGGCCACGTTGATGAGAAAATTATGACTCAGTGGATGGAATTGGGATTTTACAGTATGCAATCTCACTAATATCACATGACAATCATCACAATACACATACATGTATATATATATATATACAAACAATCATAACCTCATTTGCTAGATGCCAGTAATAACACTGATTATCCCATTCAATGAAACACAGGTTCATAGTCTAGCTATATGAAATTGCCAGAGGCTACCACTACCACACTCTAGAATCATCGTCCTTATTCATATTCTCCCATTCATTGTGATTCCAAATCCCATGAAACGCATCACCGGTGAACTCTGAAACGCATCGGATGCTGACTGGTTCATCCTAGTAGGTTCGTGAAAACCACAGTTTTTTTAGCGGATGATTCTCCTCCTTAGTACTTAGCCCATTTATATCCAGGGTCTTCTAATCTACTCACTCAGTTGGATGGACCACTTCAAGTCTACATATGTAGTATATATATAATTATATACATACACATTCATTCATATTTTGGAATGCATATTATACCATAACCCATAGGATCCATGTATGGTATATATGCTAACATTAAGGGTATATTGATGATAAATGTTACCATATATATAGCATACATGGATCCTATGGGTAATAGACATGTATGTATATATATAGTATATATGTATGCGGTTGGTATTCAATATATTAAGGGAATTGGATGATTTTTTGCCCAAAGACATACAGCTTCTCGTCCAAGAATTTGGCCTTGGCGGCTGCTTCTGGTTTCTATCTGCAATGTGGGGCCCAAAAAAACGATGGAAACCAGAGGAAACATGATGATTTAACGAGGAGCAATGGTTGTTTAATTTCGGGATTTATGGCTTTCATCAAAAAGCCAAGCTGCTTGAAATATATGTTGGTTCATAACAAAGTTAGATTTCCCCATATATTTCGGTGACAGGTTTTCCTGATCCTGACAAACTGACATAACCGTACTCGACCAATGGGCTTTACAAAGCAACAAACACAACAGTGGCAGGGCCCTATGGGGAAACCATCGGCTCGAAACTCAGCGAGCCGACTCGGCTCAGGCTGGCAACCATCATATATGGATCAGCTGGTTTTCACAAAAAAAATCGGACATGATTTGGTAAAAATTAGGCAAAACTAGTGTAAGATTTAATGAGGGAAATCTAGTTCACTCTTCACCATGATTTTTGCCAAAACAAAGACATTTGATCCACAAATTCAATGACCTTGACCAAGAAAACCAGGGATTCAACCCAACACTTCGCAATTGGGATATCACCAACAGTTGTGTGGAGATCAGGGTTTGATTCACCCGAAATGGGTGCATACAGTTATAAGTACTTATAACCCCATTTATCCAATGTATAATCCCATGTGTAACTAGTTATAACTAATTAAGGCCATAACTGTAGCAACATTGGAAGAAAGAAACAACTGTGAATGCTGACCTATGATTGAAAAGGACTTGCTAGATACTGGTCCAAGATTGCTTGGGCTTGTAACTGTATTGCGGACACGACCTAGTAGCAATTACAGATTGTGATGGAGAATTCACCATTTATACAATGGGTACTTTTATCATAAATAACCCCATAAGTACTTATAACCTTATTTATCATGCTTTTACCCTCTGGTACTCAAACATGGCAATGGAGAATTCACCATTTAGTTCGATGATTTTCGCCAATTTCGATGCCCAATTAGAGGGGATTTCCCAGCTAGACATGTTTGCTTACCGGATGGTCATTCTGGCTAAAAAGCATAATAAGGATTAAATTTACACTAGATAATGATACATGTACTACATTGGTTTACTTGGTTGCTATGTATGTATGTAATGTAACATAACGTAACGTAACGTAACGTAATGTAACGTAACGTAATGTAATGTAGTAATGTAATGTAATGTTATGTTATGTCATGCTATGTTATGTTAAGAATGTGTATGTATGTATGTATGTATGTATGGATGGATGGATGGATGGATGGATGGATCTATGTATGGATCTATGTATGGATGGATGGATGGATGCTTGCATGTATGTATGCATGCATGCATGCACGTATGCATGTATGCATGCATGTATGTATGCACGTATGTGTGTATACATGTATGTATGTATGTATGCATGCATGTATGCATTTATGTATGTATGTATGCATGTATGTATGGATGCATGTATGTATGCATGTATGCATGTATGCATGCATGCATGCATGTATGCATGCATGTATGGGTGCATTTATACATGCATGCATGTATGCATGTATGTATGTATGTATGCATGTATGCATGTATGCATGTATGCATGCATGCATGTATGGATGCATGTATGGATGCATGTCTGGATGCATGCATGTATGCATGCATGTATGCATGTATGCATGCATATATGCATGTATGTCTGCATGTATGTATGTATGCATGCATGTATGTATGCATGTATGTATGGATGCATGTATGTATGGATGCATGTATGTATGCATGCATGCATGCATGTATGCATGTATGCATGCATGGATGTATGCATGCATGCATGCATGGATGCATGTTTGTATGCATGCATGTATGTGTATATATATATATATGAAAATACCCAACTATGTATAGATCTACACAAAGGCGGTCCGGCCGACCCTGTCTCCATTCTCAACGGCATCTTGTGATCCCCCGCGCTGTTTTTGCTGTTGGTGAAGACCAGAATTCGATTGTCCCTGGGAGAGTAGACTGGAGCAGTCCACATATGATGCTTGGGACAAGACTTACTGGATATGTCTACATATATATATGTTATACAATTATATATCAAATAATATCTATATGTCTTCACTACGTAATACAATGTAGATATAAACTGTATGTATATGTATATATATATATATATGTTCATGATGCATACAGGGTCCCGCCAACTTGTTTTGCCTAGTGAAGACAGGAGACATCGCCCAAGATTTGCTTGTCCGGAGCCCCCCAATGCCCCTGAAGAACAGAGGCTGACAGAAAGCTGCTGAAATGTCGGGCCCCAAATGTGATGATTGTTGGTTTAGATTCATTCCAATAATTAACTATAGTTATAAGATATTATAAGTATCATAAACCCATTCCTTGTTGGAGTTCGCCCCGCATTCCTTGCGATTTCAATCAATCCGCAACCAAAATCCACTGAAATTCCCTTGCTTCTTGGTGAAATCCCCACGGAAATCACCATTTTCCCATGGCTCTCCCAGTGGCTTCCTATCATCCAACGGGGGCCGCCCCCGCGGCGCGGCGCCGTTGTTTCGGGCCGTTGGTCGTCCACCAGGCGCCCCGGCGGATCTCTCTTCAAGACCTCGGTGACGAAGTCGGTCAACTTCTGTTCCTTCTCGGCCTGTGACCAGAAATCCCACCAATTACCATCTGGTTATTTAACATAGCTATTGAAAATGGCTCATTTATAGATGATTTTCCCATTAAAACCTCCATTTATTAGGGATTTTCCATGGCTATGTTAAATAACCAGAGGGTAACCACTGGTTGGTGGTGCAATAACCATCTTGAAAAATATGAGTTCGTCAATGGGGTTGGGATTATCCCATATATTATGGGACGGATTTCATTGGACTTACCCTCTGGTAAACAAACGTTTGCTATTGAAAATTGCCATTTATGGTGGATTTACCCATAGTAAATGGTGATGTTCCATAGTTATGTTAGATACTACCAATTAACCACTGGCTGGTGGTTTTAACCCCTGATGGCTCAGTTGGGATCACTTGGTGAACATGGTTTTATAATGTTTTATAGGGAATGTATTTACCTGGTTGGTGGTTGAGCCACCCCTCTGAAAAATATGAAAGTCAGTTGGGATGATTATTCCCAATATGTGGAAAAATGTTGAACTATTGTTACCCTCTGGTAAACAAACAGTTTACTATTGAAAATGGCCATTTCTAGTGGATTTACCCGTTGTAAATGGTTATTTTCCATAGTTACAGTATGTTAGTTTACCAGAGGGTAACCATGAAATGGGATTAAACATGGGATTTAATGGGATTTAATAAGAGGTTAACCATTGATAGTCTTTAATGGGCTTGAATAAAACGAAAGCATCTGTCTTCGGGTAATCCCATTGGGTAATCCCATTGGGTAATCCCATCGAATCCCGTGATCCATCATTATCCCATTAGTCACATATCCCGCTGTTAGTCCATTTGAAACCACCAACCAGTTAAGACATGGGTTAATTTAAAGATGATTTACCTATTAAAAATGTTGATTTTCCGTAGTTTTCTATTAAAATGGACCATAAACTTATTGATCCCGTTATTGGTCTTTATAAATTATCCACCATGATCTATCATATCAGACAGCAACTGCGCTGACTGGCAGAATTCAAGGGGTCACTAATCACCTTGGGGATATATCATAATTATATACCATGGGTAACTACTGGAAATATCATGTCATGATAATGGGGTAATCAGCATCATTTACCATTAATCCAATGGAACGGAGTGTAACCTGCACGAGTTTTCATAGGACGGTTTTATTAAATTCACCACTGATTAACAATATTAAACCATGTTCAACCATCATTTGTCATACCAGACAGCAACTGTGCTGACTGGGAGAATTCATAGGGGATAGACTTCTTCCAGTCACCAGAATTTAATATCCCATATTTCCTCATTCAGGGCAGATCTGAAGAATCAATAGACTCCAAGCAGATGCATGGGGGTAAAACCTGCAGACGTCATACTCTTCGACAAATCAACGTTCTCCCAATGTTCGTCATTTTTTCATCCCGATCATCCCAAAGAGAAGTTGTTCCACAACAAGAGACCTCAAGAAAAAAAACAACTCCATCAGCCAAGTTTCGTTTCAAATTCTATAGTTTAGTCGGACAATAACAATAAAAATACTAATATGTGTATAGATGTTTTCTGTGCTGTTTCTTGCAAAGTCCATTTCCTAGAATCGTTTTAAGGCAACACCTACAGTTAATCCCGATGATCGGGGCTAAAAACCATGGTTTGCAGTCTAGTTTTTTCCTGGAAAATCAATCCAATTGAATATCCCCAAATCCACTGCTGAATCATTGTTGTCCCTGCAATTTTAATAAAATCCAACCCAGAGGCATCACAACGCTTGGCTCCTAGCTCCCCTTCCAAAAGTTTAACTTATTTTTCTTAAGTGAGGTGTAGATATAATATATTGTAAACATTACTGTATGTATCTGTATGTATAAATCACCAACAAATCCCGACAAAGCTTGATCAGTCTCTATCGGAATGTCTGGGAAATGCTCTTCCCAGCGTGCCCAGATCAACAGGCACATGGAGGTTTCCTAAAGTGGAGGGGTACCCAAATCATCATTCAAATCATCCAAGTCATGGACGACCATGACTTAGTATTGAAACAACCATGGTGACGACTGGGACCCCCCCATGACTTAAAAGAATCGCCCCATGCTTAATTAGTTATTTGTTTAAACTATTAGAACATTATATAGTCATTGTTGTTTGTTGGCCAGAAGATTGGACAGTTTAACAGTTAACTATTTTTTCATACTGTTTTATTCACAATCATGTCTAAACTCTAAACAAATTAAATCATAATAACAATTGGTATTAACATGTATTAACATTGTACCACTGGGTTATTAGTTTCATGGGTTTTATAATGCTAATACCTAGTGTTATTGTAATGTTAAACATTGCTTAATGAAAATATTTGAAACCACTGGGTTTTTAGTTGCTCACCTTGTCCACTTTCTCGACACACTGTGTCACTGTCACCGCTGGGCTTCCTGCACTGCCTCGAGATAATTTCCAACATGGGAGATTTGACGAGGATTTCCCAGTCAGTGTGAAGGATAGAATGCAGATTTCATGGGAATCGTATGGGACCAATATTACAGTTATAAATCAATAATATTTGCTTTTGGATGTGTCAACAACTGGAGAGATCAAACCAACTAAAATGGGGATATCATGCTGATATACTGGTCAGACTAGGATATATGATATATAAAAACTTAATACGCTTTTTGGGCGTGTCCGAAAATGGTGGAATAGTTCTAAGAAACAAAAACTTACAGTAATATGTCTTTTTTTTCCGAAAACATTGTGAATTTGACAGATTTTGACACACCCTTATATCTTGGCCATCAAATCAGATGTCATATTAGTACAATGCTGAGAATCCATTGGCAACTTCTCAGAAGAACCGATGGATCATAGACCGAAAACAATGCACCAAGGAGGGTTAGCACAAAAAACTAGTTGGTTTGCCAGAAAAGTCAAAGCACGCTCACCACAAGCAAATCAGCAAAATTCTTTGATTTGTTTTTCTCATTTATCTCCGCTATCGCTGTTAAGTGTTGACTATACCCCTATGTTTAATGCAGGGTGGGGGGCCCCCTAGATCCCAAACTCGGCGTAAAAAAAATAGCTTAAATTAGTGTGGTTTATGGTCGATATATCGAACTAGTTAATAGGTTTTTTTCAACCAACAAGCATAAACTGGAGGGGGGGCACCACCTTTTAACATGTTTGGGATAGTGAGGTAATCCAAAATAACATTGTTTTGTTGGAACTTTGGAGGAAAGGATGGGGCAAACTGGAAACCTTGGATGATATATGATAACCCAAACGCTCACCATTGTCGGTCCCAAGTGCCAACAACAATCATCAAGAAGTCGTGCAAGTAGTCCTTCGCCATCTCCTGCACCCTCGGTTGATATCATCTTGGGCTTGACTGACAATTGGTTGTTGCAAAATTCAATGGTTTATCCTGGTGTATCATGTTTTCCCCATGAAACCAGTCATTGTGAGGTATCCACCATTTCAGACAAACTCATTTGGTATTTCATTGGAACATTCAGCAATCGTGTGAGATCGATGGTTTCGTGGGCCAGAGCTTCCATAGTCAACTGTTCAATTACCAGAGGATATCATCCCAAGGCCCCTTACAATACTGAAGTATTGTACTGGTTGTTGGTTTTAACAATCTTGAAACATATTAGTCAATGAGAAGGATTATCTCATATATATATATATATGGAAAACCAAAAATAGTATGGAAAAAATGGTTCAAACCACCAATCAGTGTAAGACATGGGGGGTTCCTAAGTCATGGGAGTACCTCAATAGATGGATGGTCAAACATGGAAAATCCATGAAAATAACTGGCATATTTTTGTTTTTTAAATGGGTACCCCTATTGTAGGAAACCTCCACATATTAAACCCAGAAAATCTCACTCAGTTTGCCTCTGGTTTGAATGTGGATTATCACTACAAACTGGTTGGTAACATAAAGGCATTTGACTTTCGACGTTATAAGTAATGATAATACCGACAAGTTTCGACTATAGGTTGGTTACTACAAGGCTTTCGTTTCACTTCAGTTATGGCCATGTATCAGTTATAAGTGGTTATAAGTGGGATTATACATTCTATAAATGGGGTTATGTCAGTACTTATAACTGGTAAATGGCCATAACTGTTGATTATCGCTACTATGGTTGGTAAATTGAAGTACTCATCCAAGGTTTCTCCAATTCCAGAGATCGGCCCAGCCTTCGGCCCAATCTCGCGTAAAAAGTTTCTACCGGCCAGTCACTTCAAGTTGCATTTGTTGCTGGTTTAGTCCTGGTTGATGATTGAAATCCCTACTTCGAAATGATTGTCTCAAACAAAACACATTAACAATCACTAACATAGATGTTGATTTCTCTGATTTCTTGGGTGCTTTCCTTCAGAAAATCACCATTTTCAATAAATATCTATCTAAACCATCTGGAGCAAGGGTCGAATCCGGAAAGGTGGCGGAGAACATCATGGTCTGTCGATGGTCCTTACCTTGGGCATACGAAATGACAAAGGGTATTTCTTAGTTCACGAACTTGGGTGGAGGATGTAACTAGTTAACTGTTCATTTGGGTTTCTGAAGGATAATACCGATATAACATGGTATAACTATATTTAATGGATGTTAAGGTGGGGCTGGTAAACCAAGTAGACAGAACTACCGTACTTTGGCTCACTTTAAAAACTGTGGGAGCACTCAGTATCGAGACATATACTAGACATATCCAACTAGTTGGAAGGGGTTATAAACCAACTTGGGACTGTGGGCCCCTTTTTGTATAGGCGGCATGTATACATTCCTATGCAGTATTTGAACATAGACAATTATATAGAATGATTAACTGATATCAACAAAAAGGATAAATCCAACAAATTGAGCGAAATTGACATCTATTCATGTGAAATATGGATTCACAACTTTCAAGACATAACTTTAATCGAAAGGGGTTCCTTCGAACATATCCAACTTAGCAACATTCTTCTTGGAGTAAGGTTGCGAGCAAACTGTAACATCCGGATCATCCGGGGAAAAATGGGGCGAGCACATATGGTTGGATGCTGCAGGTTTCCTAGTTACTCTACGAGAAAAATCAACATTTAAAATCATTTAAGTATCCAATCAGGGTACCAACTGGGATGATCTGCCACACTGTCCAAAACATGAAGTATGGAATCATCATTGGATCGAATTTGGTGTACCGGATGCAAGTGGATTCTGATATTATATACTGTAAAGCAAATACTTTGTGGCAAACCAACATTAACATGGACATCAACTTTTTTTGTAGGTAAATCATCTACGAATGGGTCATTTTCCATAGCTACGTTACTTGACTGGGCAACAGTTGACTTTTGGCACAAACGCGGCGAAACACAGTGAGAAACACACGGTTTCCTGGTTAAGTTTTCCACACAAAAACCATTGTTCCCCCTTTCGCTTCCTGGCATACCCTCTGCACATTTAGCATAGCTATTATCGGCTATTATCACATTAAAAAAAAATGAAAAACAACATTGTTATTATAGGCTGGCATTATTAGCTATTGAAAAACAACATTGTTCAAGAACGGTATTTTACGGTAAATCATTATGTTGACCATCTACAAATGGGCCCTAAAAAACTGTCAAATTACCAGAAAATCGTAGAAACAGGAAGATCCTCTGAGTAGATAAACTGTTTTCTACATCCCGCCAAGGAAGTGGCTGTGAGTCAAAATGGACAGCTAGAGATGGCCACACTTCGCGGTGGACCTGTTTTTTTATGTCCACCCCATCCCCATCGTTGAATAGCCCTCGTGTTTTTTATTTGCGAATCCCCAATTTTGTATTTGTGTGTGTGTGTTTCAAACTTAGCGTTCCTGGATTGTGAAGCCATTCATGTGTTTTTTTTTGGGATAGTTCATAACAATGGTAAACCAGCCATGTATATATATATATATGTATAAATACATTGGGTTCTACTGTGCGCATGCAAACACATGATGTGTTTGTTTCATCGTGTATCATACGATAGTATGTTGTATGAGTAGTGTATTATATTATTTTATGACACTATTGTATTATAGAAGATTTTCATGAAATATTATGTATTTTATTTTAACTATGATGTAAATTCTGTAATTTTTAATCGTATACTGCAAGTTCCCATTATAGTCTCATTGTAGCATAGTTCTATACGTTATATTTCAACATGTGTTTGTTTTGATTTTTTTATACATGCAATCATACGTATATATATATAGTTATATAGTTTATTACTTAACTACTGAATTGGATATATTTATGTCACATATACTCTGTATGAAACGTTCCGTCACTAAATATAAGTACATATGTATATATGTGTATAGGTAAATATGTAATAGAACACATATGCAAAAAATGTGTGATTCAGCCATAGTTTCACGGTGACATAGGTATCGAACAACATCATGTTTAAGAACGGCAAATTATCGAACTAAATGGGCCATAGTTTCCATGGCAAGTATTAAAGTCCAGCTGTATACATGTATATATATATGTAGTTATATATATATATATACAGTATGTGTGACATTATATATATATATATCTATTCAACCCAGACAATCGCAATGACAGAGTTTTCCCCGGAGTACTACCTAAGATCACAATCCACCCCCAAAAAAGTGGCAGGTCCAGAAAACCCACTGCAGCTCAAAGGCTTGGCATCTTGTGCGATTCAACCTGAAGGAACATCACGACCAAATTGTGGGGATGACCTATCAAAACTATTAATAGCTTCTAGTCCATGGGGATTTAACCAATAAACGGGCCTGGGTTTATGGACATAGAAAATCGGAATGATTTTTGGATACAAAGGGAATCGTTGCCCCAATACAACTTGGTTGGATTAACATTGGCATATTGCAGCAGCACACAACAAAAAGCAGTCGTGGCCACTGACAGTCGGGATGTCCAACAAAACTATGCCCCTTCAGTCAGCCTGGAAATTAAACCAACATATTGGAATGAAGAAAAGCATCCGGTTTTCAACATCTCCAGCAAGACATATCCAATCGTATGAATCATCGCCTCAGCCTGATCCCTTGAGATGCCGCTGGCTCATCACTGAAGAGTACGAATCTCATGTCAAGCCCGGATTAGTAAAGCATCTTAAAGCCTATTAAAGAAAAACAAACAACGGTTATGGCTATTTGAGAATCCCAAAAAGCCTTAACATAATCAGCCAGGTATGTCCAGGGTTGACAATGACCAACAGCACATGACACAAGCCAAGTGGTATGGGTTGTTCAATAGGCAACCATGTCATGTAAGTTCACAATCCCCACTGAACCAGGTGGTATATAACCCATTTAGACTATTTCATAACCAACCACACGTTGGGTATTCTTAACGTCTCAGTTGAGCAGTGCTCAGGAACCCTCCGTCATTTCATGGAATACTGGTTGGTTCATCAAAAACTTCCAGAATGGATGATAATACCATATAATACCTATCCTACAAATAAGGAATATTCATTCTCTATAGTAACCCATGAACAATCAATTGTCAATCATGTCCCCATATGTCCCCGATGCCTCCCTATAAAAGCCTATCAACTGATTTTAAATATCATTGGCATTCCATTAAATCACATTGGAAAACCCATGAAAGTCTCAGGACATCAACATTACCCTCTGGTAAACTAGCATAACTATGGAAAGTCACCGTTTTTCATGGGTAAATCAACTATAGTTGCGGAATTTTGGGAGGTTCTAAGTGTTTGCTCCGAAATTTTGGAAAATGAGGTTCTAAGTGTATGTCGGTAACTATATAAATGACCATTTTCAATAGCAAACTGTTTGTTTACCAGAGGGTAAATTTCACGACATCGATAGTCCCAGCCCCACCCGCTAGTTCATCCACTTCATCCCAGGAAATCCAAAGAAAAAATCCGCGTCAACAAGCCGTAACCCGTGTTGCGCCAAAAATACCAGGAATTTCCAACACAAATCCAGAATCTCATGATTAAATCCGATAAACTGCTTGGTGGTATACCTACCCCTCTGAAAAACATATGAGTCAGTTGGGATGATGACATTCCCAACTGAATGGAAAGTCATAGAAGTCCATGGTTCCAAACCACCAACCAGATAAACTCATGATTAAAATCCCATTTTAAATGGTATTTATTAATTTATTGAATGGAACACATTTAGCCAACAAATCAAATTTAATGGAATACCACAAGGTGGTGCCCCATAGTTAGATAAGTTGGTTTATAACTCCCATAACTATGGTTTATGGCAGGTATAACTATAGTTAATGGGGTTATTTCAACCAACTTATAACTGGGGGGGCACCATCCTGCATGGATAAAATCCCATTAAATCCACTGCTACATTTCGTGCTCTCGGGTGCTGAGCGGCAATCTCTTTGATCTGCTCCTGTCGAAACGAGGATGGACGACGTTTTTTTCGGCTGGAGATAGGCAGCCAATGTAAATGTCACGGGGATTTAACGGGAAACTTGCAACTTCATGGGGAGTTTTCATGGTGTTTGGAGAATTTAATGGAAATTCATGGGATGTTAACGGGCATGTTTATAGGATGTCATGGAGTTTTAATGGGATGTGATGGGATTTTGATGGTGGTGTTTAAAGGAGCTAATGATTTCTTTCAAGAATTTAACGGAATTAAAATGGGATATAATTGGATTTTAATGGGGTGTTTTTTTGCTAGGCATTGATGGGATTCGATGGTATGTTGATGGTGTTTTTAAAGGATCTAATGGAATTGAATAGGATTTTAATGGCCATTTTTTCTAGGATTGAATGGATTTGAATTGAATTTTAGTATGATTCTTATAGATTGTTATAGGATTTCATGGAGATGCATGGTATTTAAGCAACACATCTTCCGGACTTGAACCAGCACAGCAGGTTTCATTTAATGGGATTTTCACAAACTATTTTTTGTTGGGAGATTTCAAGGGAGATTTCATGGTGATATACATCAACTGGGTGTGTCTGAAAACGGTTGTTTCACCTTGGGGGTTAATGCGATTCAATGGGACTCATATACCCAACACTATGATGTTCGAAAGTGTATGATGTTTTTTCATATGCTCTCCAAACGGCAATTATCAGGGTGAAAAATCGCGAGCAACCAGAGGATTTGCAGGCACATTATCTTCAGACAATCCCGCATGGCCAGGAATGATAGTCAAATACACCTTCATTATGTGACATTAAACAAAAAGAACACGTAGAGCAAACCAAACTTTGAGATAAGGACTGACAATGTTGGCATCACATGCGTCAAGCTACTTGGTCATTCGCTTGTCAAATGCGATGTTATGGGCCCAGATGAAGTGAGAGTCCTGTGTAAAATGTAAATAACCAAAAATAGACACGGGTCTGGGTCAAAACGTACTGCAACCAGGTGCATATTTAAAAAATAGGCGGATAGGCATTCATCTATTTCCGGGGACGTCGGAATGAGGCCGAAACATAATATATCCAAATATAGAAATATGTATATTTGTAAATATTTGTATGTTCACTTACCCTTTCAAGACTGGTTTAAACAGACTGTCACACATCAAGATAAGGAACCTAGCACTAGAGATGGGAATGGACAAGTCCATTTTCCATTCAAACATTATGTACAAAGACTTTCCCGTTAATCGACAGTGATCGCTAGTCGATTGTGCACACATAAGGTTTTTAATCATCCATAAGAGGATTGTAGCTGCCAAGACATCTGTCATAATCGAATGAATTCACAACCAAGAAAAGAGTAATATGTTTGTCCAAGAATATATAAACCCTTTCAGACACTATGTAACTATGACATAGTTGTAGCCTCCACAAACAAGTCAAGAAGGTTATATTTAAATAAAAATGACATAATCAATATACATAGACATTTATATATGTAACATATATATAATTATATAATGTATATATGTATATATATAATGTATATATGTATATATATATATAATGTATATATGTATATATATAATGTATATATGTATATATATATATATATATAAATATGCAAGGCTGATCCATATGCATCAAACAATGGAGACATTGAACTAATGGGGCACCCCGGGCACTTCCCTACTTTCCGCTTTCGATGCCCGCTCCTGGAAACCCATATCCAGCATTCGATCAGCCTCGTCCAGGACAAGGCAATTCACGTCCTCCGTCGAAGACCCGAAGACCCAGGGGTCAATCCGCCGTGGTCCCATGGCTGTTTTGAAAGTCATGCGATTCCTGGTTAGCAACTGGGGATTTGTAGCCCTCTATATCGAAATAATATGAAATAATGATCCATTTACTAACTAGTTAACTAACTCCATGGCACATCTAAACAACAGAACTTGTGATTTCAATTTCAACCACAAATTCTTTTGTAGAATTGATGATTAACAAATGTGTTCATGAACACGGGAGATGCAACCAACAAATAGGGAGAGGGAACCATTAAGAAGTGGCAGTGTAGCCGTGAACAGCAGAGATCAACATTTGACAAGAAAACACGCACGTAGAGTTAACAAACAAGTTCAATACGCAGATTTAACGAGATAAAGGCAGACGACACCAAAAAAAAACTATAGATTTTCTTGGCATCATGAACACAACGTGTTTGAATTTTCTGATGTTTGTCGTTGAATCATGGGATTTAACCAACCACCAGAGGTCAACTTCACCGGTGGTCACCACCGTTCCGGAGCCCCGGAATCTGTCCTCCAAATTGATGATCCCTGCGCGCACAAAGTCGTAGAGACGTCCCACTGTGGCCACAATTAAATCAGCACCTGGCAATGTCTGCGTGAAGGAGATATTTAGCATTTTGTTTTTTGTTTTTTTTGAAGGGATTTTGAATCCCATGATGAATAGAACAAGGATATGACATTCTCAAGTTGAGCATGTTTAGCCGTGTGATTAATCCCCAAAGAGGAAACAAGAGAACCTAAACAAATGTTTGGTATGCCAGTGGTCAATGACAGCTACGGCCCACGGGTTTATGAGGTGAACTTACAGCACTTTGTAGTGTTTCGCTGTGGTTTTGGCACACGCATGCATGTGTTTCACTGGTATTTAAGCAGGATTTTTTGATTTTGACGGGCTCACCCTGAATGTCGCTCAATATTTTTTCATCTGCGTCTCCCAGAAGTTCCCAGAAGAAGTTCAGAATGCGTAGCATGAAAAACGCTACTTGGAAGGTCCAGGAACAAGTTCAGGGCTTTTCGCATCGAGAGCGTGTTAGAATCTACAAAACAAGAGAGTAAACAAAAATAAATACCCTCTGGTTATTTAACATAGCCATGGAAAATGCCCATTTATAGTGGATTTGCCCATTAAAAATGGTGATTTTCCATAGCTAAGTTAGTTTACTAGAGGGTAAACCTATCACAACGCACCAGACAAGAACGTTATTACGCCCCCCCCGGCACCCCCCACCCCCACACCACTCCCCCAAACCCACCCCAACACCAAACATATTAGACATGTTGCAAAATGAAACACCACGCCAAGGGCGTTTATCAACGTGCGTCCGTCTTCATGACTTGGAACGTTCTGAGGGTATCATGACTTTACAACTTGAGTGTCAGGGAACAAAAGTTGTTGTTCCACACATGGTACACCACAGTACATTTGCTGCAATGTTGAGCCAGCAAATGCCAGCAACCACCAATATGCCATGGAAAATCAGGGGAATGCTCAGGACATTGAAGGTCATCTTTACGGATGGCTAAACAGGACAACTCCCTCCACAAGAACCAACAGGCACCTTTGTTTAGGTAAACCGTCCAATCTTTTGTAAGAGTGAAAACCTTTACGTCACTGGTGAGCACACCTATGTTTGCTGTGTAAATTTCCACAGGATTGCTCCAATCCATGGTAAATCATAGCCAAATGTTGGGGCGAAAAGTCATGTTACCACTGAACATCTACCTAGTTTTCCCCCGATGCATCTGCAGTTATGGCACCAGTTTTCAGTCAGTATTTCACCCAATATATGGTTCATAGTTCATGACAATCCCGCTCAAAACTAGACGGCGGTTGGCCCGAGAGCAAAAAAGGTGTTTTTCAAGCAGCTCTGATGATGGTAGTCGCAAAAGATAGTCGGTGAATAGTTGGTGAATTTTATATGAGCTATGGAAGGATATGGTGTGAAAAAGAAAGATTGATCAAGAAGAAAATATTTGGTAAAGGGCATCAGATGACACGCAACCACAGAGAGAAAGAGGGAGGGGAGAGAGAGAGAGAGAGAATGAAAGGGGGGAGTAGAAAGAAAACATGGAGAAATGTAATGTGAGCAACAAAAGTGCACAGGAGGCTCAGTACCATGAATCTGCGAATGACATGTGTTATCTCATTTTATTATGGTAATTCCCACACACATTGCGGAAAAAGGCTCGACACCATCATTCCGTGAACGCGAAGAAACGCGACGCTTTTATACAGAGACGCTTTTACACACAGAAGCTTTTACACATAGACACTTTTACACACACACGCTTTCACACAGAGACGTTTTTCACGCACACACAGACGTTTTTTCACACGCACACTTTTACACACAGACCCTTTTACACACGCATATTGTTTTACACAGAGACGCTTTTACACATAAAGGTTTATACACACAGAATTATACACACAGAAGCCTTTACACGCAGACACTTTTACAGACCGACATTTTTACACACAGACCCTTTTACACACAGACACGTTTACACGCAGAAGCTCTTACATCTAGACGCTTTTCCACACAGACGCTTTGACCGACATTTTTACACACAGACCCTTTTGCACACAGACACGTTTACACGCAGAAGCTTTTACATCTAGACGCTTTTCCACACAGCCGGCGAGCTGCAATTCTGCAATTGTCAAGAGGTTGACCCCGAATTTTTTCTCAAAGCAATTCAAAACCAACCTCAAAAAACGGCCGAATCCAAGGTGGCTCACTCATCAATGTCTTCCCCGAAAGGCCCCTTGAAACCCATGCAGCCCACACCATCCAGATGTGTTGTTGCTACGGCACTCAAATCACAACAAAGAGTGAAAGGGTTTTCCTCTCTGCTAACCATTGGAACTAGCTGCGCGTACCGCGCCCCAGCGCGGACGTGGCTCTCAAACAGGTGTGGTTGTGGCCCTTGAAGCTGAGAGCTGAAAACAGAAACAACAAGCATTTATTCATGACATTTATGGTCCCTTTAGTGGTGGTTGAATATAAACAAACTCGTGGCTAACTTTAACTGATGGGTCACGGTCACAGGCCTGTAAGGGATCTAGGAGCAATTCTCTTTCACGCCCCAATGCATGTTGACTCCTTGCGTCCCAATACCAATCACTTGCAGCGTATAAATCCTTTCTCGATCAAGCAACCTTGTATCTGGACTATCTATCACATGTAACTTTAGCTGCCATCCGAAGTTCAGCCACTATACTGGGAACTGTCAAGAAGATCGCAGGCTCAGCTCATGTTCACGAGTGAGCGGCAATGGAAACGAGACTTTCCTGGGCATAGTTGAAGTCTGGGAAGGTCATTTCACAGGGTGCATTGTGGATATGATGCATTGTATATACAAACACCAAAGAACATAAAAGAATTGCGTCATATGCGTATGCCTTATAAACCATGTTTTCATTGCTGCCAAGCCGCTACGGCCATGAAAGCGATCTTTTGACCTAGCAGTGCAAAATGTGCGCATTTTTGTGATGTTCCATATGTAGTAGGCCTCCTCCGGCACTTCCGTGAAGTGTATGAAGGTGTTAAGCAAAGGGACCTCCAAGCGACTAAAATGGAAAATGAATTGATGTTCCATCATTGTCATTGAAACGCTCAAATGTACTTGAGATACAGTTCATATCATCATCATGTATATATATATATATTATATATATAATACAATTCCCAAGCGGTCAGTTCCCATTGCCGGCTGAGACTTGCATCACAGTCGTTTGGGGCACTTGCGCTGGCTCCTGCGCTGGTGCGGGCACCGCTGCCGCGGCCGGCGCCGGGAAGAAGGATGGTGGACCATCGTAGTAGGCTGACATGGGCGACAAAATGTGGGTCTGTGCTGCAATTTCCTCAGTTTAAGAAAGAAAAACAAATGAGAAAATGTTTTAAAAACTGGAGGAAAAAATGGGAAGTTCTTTCTATAGGGTTTTAGGGAGATTTCTTGATTTCCTGGCGCGTACTTTTGGGATGTTCTTGCACCATTTTGGACTCAAACGCCTTAATCTTGTAGAATTTCAAGATTTTCAAGCATCTTGGACATCGATATCCTTGTCTTGAGTGGATTTGCAGTATTTGGAGTGCTTGGGGTCTGAATACTCGAATGCCTTTTTCAGACACACCTTTGGAAGCATTATTGGTTTTATATTTTGGCCCTCCAATCAGAAGTCTGTATACCATCAGATTTATCACAGTCACAAAAACATACAAAAACATTGAAGTAATTGAAGTTCTTTACCAAGGCTCACCCGAGTTCGAGCCGCTCGGCGCGTTCATGGCCGAAGCAGATGCATTGCCGGGATAGTAGGCCTTCAGACACTCACTCCAGGGAGCTCCAAGAGACCAGATTTACACAGTGACAACTGACAACTCTGCTCGGGAAACTCGACTCAGCAGTCTGGAGTCTGGCCTTAACTTGATCAAATGAATTTCACGGGTATCAAGCACAAACCCAACAGTCAGCAACTCCAAATCTAGCTGATGGCGTTCTTGTGAGCTAGGAGGGACCTACTTAGAAAGTTGAAAGACTAGTTTCGCATTTCTTGTGACCAGATATTTCACTTCTTGGAATGCAGAGCCCCATGGGACGCTACTCAAATGCCTACTTTCGAGTGGCCGCTTGAAAACTACTTTCGCATATCGTGTCAGTTGAAAGACAGGCCCCTTACGTTGTCCTTTCCAGGCGTTTTAGTGGGATTTGGGTCGATAAGATGCCCTGTCAGTGTCAAGTAAAACACCACTCCGTAAGATGCCCTTACATTCGCCTTCAACAAGTTGTATATTTGAACATGTTCTCTACATTCGCTACAAAAAATAACAAGCGTATCCTACCCCAACATGAGGCAATCAAAAAGTTTTTTTCCTTCTTGCTTCAGCCCGATATCCATACTTGTTCAATGGTTGGGGAGTTGTTACTCACTGTCTGCGCAAATGATCTCAAATGAGTTCGTCCACAAATGGGGACCTCAAGAACAGTTGCAAGGTCTACTACTTTTTGGCGGAAATCATCTGATCTGATTTGGAGATGGCCCTGATTGTGCATGTGGCAGTGAGTTTCACAACCAACTTAAATACAGCGCCAATGCATGCCAATGCATTGCATTTATAATGGAGTGTATTGAAAAATATTGAAATCAAATATGGTCAACATCTGTCAACATAGTTTATGTGTTGTCCCATATGATCCATATGTTGCAAATACAAGTTACGGTCTCCAAAAACGATGATGATGTTGGTTGGTGCTTTGTCTGTAGCTAAAACGTGGAATCACTAGCATATTTTTTCGCCGCCATGAAAGTTACGACGCACCTCTTCTGGTTCCTCGCGACCTCCATAGCTGCGGGGAATCTGCCTATGCCATGGGACAACAGACAACTGAGATATTGACCGCATCGTATCGCATAACTCAAGCCCCATATCATACCATCCCGAGCTGTAATGATCACAAATCACAACATGTTTCATGTGTGAGTTTATTCTAGCATTCGATGTGTTTCGTGTGTGCTACCCATGCAATCCATGCATGGTATATTTACCAACATTTACCCATAAAATGACCCAAGTGGAGGTAAATCTACCATACATAGATGGTATGGGGTATATACCTTCAAAGCCGGGGTCCCAACGGCTGCTGGAAGGGTGAATATGCTGGCATACTGCTGCGCAGCCTGGGTTGGTAGACGTGACATCTGGAGGGTAAGCTGCATAGCAAGTTGCTTTCAACATCTGGTAAACTAACATGGATATTGAAAATCACCCATTTACTGTATATCGATTTTCAATATCCACATTTGTTTATCAGATGGCAAATTATGTTCAAAGTCCTGACACAGCACCAATAAAAGTCCAACTCTGATCATCCGAGATTTAGCCAAAAATAGACGCCCAAAAACAACCCCACCCTCCAGAAACGAGTCTCTTGGGATCTGCCTGCCAGCTTTATCTTTCAACAATCATGGTGACAAGATCCTACTCATCGCAAACCCCACCACCCACCATGCAGGGGGGAGCTATTTTCACAGTTGGCTGCAAAGTTGGCGTCTGCTGTTACCATCCCCTTTGGTTGGATGGCACCCAGCCAGACAGATATTTGCCCATGTATAACCCAGGGACGGGCTGGGCGGGCGCACAAAATTGTGACCCCCTTGAGCCAAAATGGCCCACGAAGGGTCACCCTAACCAGCTAATCGTGTCTCATGTCCCTTCCACATGAATGTGATTATGAGACAAGATCCTACTCATCGCAAACCCCACCACCCACCATGCAGGGGGGAGCTATTTTCACAGTTGGCTGCAAAGTTGGCGTCTGCTGTTACCATCCCCTTTGGTTGGATGGCACCCAGCCAGACAGATATTTGCCCTTTGCCAACTCAGCCAATAACCAAATTTGTCCCACCTGCGTAGCGGTTATGCGGATGAGGTGCTCTCGGAATCGGAGGATTCGGAGGCTGATGAATTATTGTGTTTTCTATGTTCTGGGAAGCACTTCAAACAGTAGGAAGGCTCGTCGGGCTCCTTTTGAATGGCCTCGAACAACGTGTGGGGGCCTCCAAAATGCCACGCGCACCTTGCGCGCCATTCGCGAGGGTGCATGTCGCTGTCGAAGACGAGCGCCCGATGTAGTTTGCCCCCGTTGCGATTCATGATGAGCTGATCCGATGGTTTGGGTGGCTCTTCATGGGTGACTGCTGCCTCGCAGTCTCGTATCATGAGCTGTGACGGGCATGCCACTGCTGTGGATAGGCCATGCTGTGCGCGGCGCAAAAGGTCTTCCAGTCTCGACTTGGCCGCATCGATGGATATGTGTACCGACGTCTCCAGCGCCAATTTGTCAAGCTGTTTGAGTGCTAAGACCACAAAAAGCAGATATTTGCACTTCAGGCACTTAATGAACTTATAAGTATACTATAAGTTACTATTATCCTCCTAATATCTTGTTTAAATATGAGATCTGAAAATATGTTCTTTTAAGTTCCTCTAATTTTTTAGGTGAACTTATAACATAATAATGAAGATATAAGCAAATATAGGCGGTTATTATTTGCAAGTAAGTTAAACGAAGCGAAAATAAGTGAAAATAAGTGAAAAGAAGTGAAATAAGAGAAAATAAGGATGTTTTCTTTTTTTCGGCATTTTTCATGGATGATTTACAGGAATGTAGATGTGATCGGATACTGCCTGGAAAGAGTTTCTTTTGTAGGGAACAGTTCTCTGCAGGATACTGCCTGGAAAGATTTATTTCTTTAGGGAACAGTTCTCTCAAGGGTACTGCCTGTTTTTTTTAATTTTTCTGGTAGGGAACAGTTCTCTGCCGGTTACTGCCTGGAAAAATATTTTCTTATAGGGAACTATTCTCTGAAAAATACTGCCATATTTTTTTTTGTGGTATAGTTCCTCCCAAGAAAAAAATGTTTTGTGTTAAGAACATTTCCTGTGAAGGATCGTTTTTGGAAATGTCATGAAGTTTTAAAAGAATAGATAAAGTTCTGGAGTGCATGCTTCCTGGATATGAAACAATGTCAGGCTAAAAATTTCTCTCAACAACCTTTCTTGCACAGAAGAAGCAAAGAAGCTTAGAGTTGCAGCTGCAGAAAAAAAATGCAAGAATGAATCAAACTGTTGAAAGTCATCTTCATCTGCTTCTGGCAACTTTGACACATTGGCATGAAATTCAAAATATAAATATGATGAACCAAAAGAAGAAAAATCAAAAAAAAAGATTCTCTTTCTTTTTTGGTTTTCTAATTTTTCTGGATTCTAACTTGTTTTGGCTAGATTTTTTGAATTCTATTTTTTTAGGTTTTCTACAAAAATATGGATTCTATTTTCTTTAGGATTTTCTAAATTGTCTGGAGCCTATTTTTCTTTGATTTCCTGAATTTTCTGGATTCTATTGTTTTTTGTTTTTATATTTTTTCTGGATTCTATTTTTTTTTAATTTCTGAATTTTCTGGATTCTGGATTTTCTATTTTTTCCAGATTCCATTTTTTTTTGGTTTCTAAATTTTCTGGAATCTAGATTTTTAAGATTTCTGAATTTTCTGGATTCTGAATTTTCTATTTTTTCCAGATTCTTTTTTTTGGTTTCTAAATTTTCTGGAATCTAGATTTTTAAGGTTTCAAATTTTTCTGGCTTCTGAATTTTCTAAATTTTCTAGATTCCAGTTTTTTAGTTTCTAAATTTTCTGTTTTTTTTAGATAAATTTCTGAATTTTCTGGATTCTGGATTTTCTATGTTTTCCAGATTCTATTTTTTTTTGTGGATTTTGAATTTTCTGGTTTTCTGAATTTTTTGAATTTTCTGAATTCTGAATTTTCTGAATTTTCTGAATTATATATATATATATAAATTTATATATATTCTGAATTTTCTGAATTTTCTGAATTTCTGAATTTTCTGAATTTTCTGAATTTCTGAAATTTCTGAAAATTCTGAATTTCTAAATTTTCTGAGTTTTCTGAATTTTCTGAATTTTCTGGATTCTGAATTTTCTAGATTCCATTTTTTTGGTTTCTAAATTTCTGGAATCTAGATTTTTAAGATTTCTGAATTTTCTGGATTCTGAATTTTCTAGATTCATTTTTTTGGTTTCTAAATTTTCTGAAATCAAGATTTTTAAGATTTCTGAATTTTCTGGATTCTGGATTTTCTATTTTTTCCAGATTCTTTTTTTGGTTTCTAAATCTTCTGGAATCTAGATTTTTAAGATTTCTGAATTTTCTGGATTCTGAATTTTCTGAATTTTCTGAATTTTCCAGAAACTATTCAATACAGAAACTGTCAATTCCTTAAATTATATTTTCCAGAAACTGTTCACTACAGAAACTGTTTTGTCCTTAAATTATATTTTCCAGAAACTGTTCACTACAGAAACTGTTCTTTCCTTAAATTATATTTAACACAGGAAGTTTTCACTACATAAACTGTCCTTTCCTAACAGTATACCTTACAGAAACTATTCACTACAGAAACTGTCCTTTCCTTAAATTATATTTTCCAGAAACTGTTCACTACAGAAACTGTTTTGTCCTTAAATTATATGTCACAGGAAGTTTTCATTACATAAACTGTCCTTTCCTAACAGTATACCTTACAGAAACTATTCACTACAGAAACTGTCCTTTCCTTAAATTATATTTTCCAGAAACTGTTCACTACAGAAACTGTTTTGTCCTTAAATTATATTTCACAGGAAGTTTTCACTACAGAAACTGTCCTTTCCTTAAATTATATTTCATAGGGGGTTTTCATTATAGAAACTAACCTTTCCTTAAGTTATATTCATCAGAAACGGTTCACTACAGAAACTGTCCTTTCCTGACAGTATACCTTACAGAAACTGTTCACTACAGAAACTGTCCTTTCCTTAAATTATATTTCACAGGAAGTTTTCAATATAGAAACTGTCCTTTCCTTAAATTATATTTCCCAGAAACTGTTCACTACAGAAAGTGTCCTTTCCTGACAGCATACCTTTCCTGAAAGAAAGACAAAACATATCATTTATTCCAAAGGAAAAAAAACCGACGGCTAATTTCAAAAAACGTATAAAAGAAAAATACATCGTCTATAATCAAATCTGATCCTAAAAAATAAGTGAAAATAAGTGAAAATAAGTGAAAATTAGTCAAAATAAGGAAAAATCACTTCTATGATAAGTTCATATAACTACTAATATCTTCATTAAGTGCCTAAAGTGAAAATATCTGCATTTTGTGGTCTTAGTGGTGCTTCCTTGACATACTGGAGGAACACTTGAGAGCCCCATCTTCCAAAGAGCTGGATGCGCCACATTTCCACTTGGCTGGCTGCCAGGTGAACTGCCCCTGTAGCCCTGGCGGTGTGCCCGGTGAAGCACCTGGCGCCGTTGGCGTGGGTGATTGGTAGCCCAAGAGCTGCGCCCAACCACTGGAAGGTGTCGGCCCAAACAACTTTGGATGCGGGGCTCCCGTCTGCTGACGGGAAAATGGGGGCCCCTGGCCGCTGCCCGACGGCCTCGAGGTGTGCCACCATACAATGGTAAGGACACTGCACCGGAGGCGCGAATTCGCACGAGCATGAGTGGCAGCGTGTTGCTCCCAGGGCTTTCCAATCTGTTTTGGAAGAAGGCAATCTCCATGAAATCCTGCGGTTGCCTTCGTCGACCTCCACGTGCTCTCGCACTGCATGAGATGCTTCTATTTCCCTCAGGAGCCACCAGCTGGCTAGGAGGGCTGCCCTTGCTGGCCAAATAGGGCCCCCGTTGACCACTGCTTCGGAGCCGCCCAGCGCCGCCAGTTCTGCTAACGGGAGCGGCGAGGCCTGCTTGGGGCTGCCTATGTTTCTAAGGCAGCTGCGGACTGCAGCCCTGTAGCACTGCTGCAGCTGGTCTGACCAGGCATACCCCAGTGACACGTGCTGTGCCTTGGCTGTATCTAGGTACAGCTGTGCGGACCTGAAACCTGCCAGTTTGAGCGCCCCCATCACTTCGTAAACGATATCAGGACGAAGGTGGAAAGGGTCGGAGTAGCCAGCTTTGGTGGCCAGGTCAGCCCACAGCTGCCGTCTGGACTCGTTTGGCCCAGTTGTGGTGGCTGCGCTGATGTCTTTCTTCAGCGTGCTGCTGCAAAGGCTTGGATCGGCAATGTAGGCGAGTGCCTCCGCCGAGGAACCACGCGCATAGGGACGTGGTCCGCCTCCCTCGCGAGCTTGGGAAAGTCCAGCCGGGCCATCCCGAAGCTTCGGACTCCCAGTCCCGCGAATGGGAATTGCGAACCCTTCCCTAAGTGGCAAGAGCTTGCCATGGCCAGCTGGCTCGGCCTGTTGGCTCTTTTGCCAGGACCGCTTCTTGCCTGGCATGGCTGAGCCTGACTGCGGTGAGAGCAAGCATGCGGGTTGACCACCCTCCCTAACTGGCGGGAAAGAGCACTTGAAGTTCCGACCCTGTTGCTGCCCAACCGCACTTGTTTTGCTCGTCATCGGACCATCCAAAAGTCGGGGCCGAGTTTGACCGATGCCCTGGGGACCCCCAGCAAAGACCGTGGTAGCTCAAGCGCCACCGGGGCGAGCTCCCTTGACAAGGCGTCTGCCTCGAGGTTCGTCACACCCGGTATGTGCGTGAGCAAGTGTATTCTGTAGCGGTCTTTGGCGAGGTCCAAAGCGAATTCCCGGGCGATGATGGCTAAATCCTTTGACTTTGCCCGCCCCTTCAAAAGTGTCTGAAGAAGTGAAAGGCTGTCACTTCGGACGTGGACTTTGGCTACACCTACAAACTTGGACAGCCATTGACGGCAGGCTATCAACAAAGCTAACGCCTCCCAGAGGGTGGTGTGTTTGGAGTCCCCCTTTCTGGCTTCGAATTTCTGGAGCTCGAACTGGGGTAAATCGGAGGAAAAGATCTCTTTGAGCTCGCCCTCCACCCTCAGCGTGCCTCCCATGCCAAAAGGGCATGCGTCGGTTGTGATGGTAACATTCAGCGCGGGGAAGTGAGCTTTCAGCTCTCTTCTCAGCGGCGCCGCTTCCCCCGACAGGAGGGCTCCTATCCACCTGAGGGCTGGTTCTATCCTCCTGGTGTGTACAAGCTTTCCGGAACGACCCTTGGCACAGGCTCCGTCACTCGCCGTACCACCACAGGAGGGAAGAACTGCCCACAGGGATGATAGGAAAGGTCGCAAGTGGGGAACCAGTCCAGCCACAAACGAAAGTGCCCCTGCATAGGATCTGAGTTCTCTCGCTCCCGCCACCGGCCGTCGTAGGAACTTGTCTGTGGACTCCTTGAGCTTGGCTATCTTCTCCTCCGGAATGGTCACCACCACTGACTGTTCCTCGGTACGCAGGGAAAGCACTGCCCCTATCCAGGGCACTTCTTTTCCACCGATTGCTTTCTGCAGTTTCACCGGGAAGCCCGCGATAGCAGTCCAGAGCAGTGCCGTGGTCAGTTGTTCCACCGCCTCCTCGAAGCTCCCGATTAGAACGAAGGCCGGGTCGTCGACGTAGACCTGAACCCTCATCCTTCGCTCTACTGCGGCCAGTGTTCGGCCCAACCATGCTGCGAACCTACCCCAGACCGTGGGAGAGCTTGCCGCCCCAAACACCAGCGTGTCGAACAGGACGATCTCCAAGGGGTCGTTTACCTCGCTCTTCGGTTTGGCTGCTGCTAGCGCGAATCTGTCCTTTCCCACCGGTATGTTGAGGAAGGCGTCCCTGATGTCGATCACCGCGACCCAGCAGTCTTTGGATTTCCTGAAGCCCTCGAGGGCTGAGGCAGCCAGGTCCAGGAGCCTGGGTAGCAGAACTCTTTCGCCTTGGCGGCAGCAGCTGTTTGCTCCCGATCGTCTGAGGTCCCAGATGATCCTTGCCTTCTTGACCTCGACTCCGTTTTCGATCTTGGTCTTCACCAGGACTCCCAACTTGTTGAGGACGGGCTTTCTCTGGAGTTCCTGTGTGGCTTCCTCTATGGATGCCGCTGTATGACAGAAGCCCTTCTTCTTGTAGTCCTGGATGAGCTCTTGAAGGACTTTGTTTTCCTCTGACGCTGAGGAGTAGTTGGCCCATCCCTCAAGTGTCTTGGCCTGTACGAAGACTGTACGCTGGAAGTTATATGAGTTTACAGAATTAGACGAGTTACAACATGTATATAACCCTTCTATAACATGTCTATGACCTGCTTGCAAGTATGTAAAGTGTCATAACATTTGATAAGTAATTTGTAAGTTTAGCTAGCCGGCTACGAGAAGTTGTAAATGTTTAGGTAAAATATAAATGGTTAATGAACTTATCGTAAGTATCTTAACTGCAAGTTTTCTTTTTATAACTATGTTAACAGACTTAACATAAGTATCTAGGAAAAGTTATCATAAGTTATCTGAAAGTTAACAAAAGTTATAAAAAGTTATAAAAAGTTATAAAAAGTTACAAAAAGTTAGTATAAAGTTATATAAAGTTATATAAAGTTTAAAATATGTTTACAAGAGGGCAATGAAAATGTTTCTTTATTTTACATTTTTCGAGAGTTTCATTAAGTTTGTGACAAAGCTTGTCAACATTTATACAGGGTGAAAAAAAGGCATATTGCGTGTGCTGCCTGAGTTCTTTGGTTTGATCATTTTAGATTAAACTAAGTATCATATACAAGTACTTCCTGCAAGGGATATGGTCTGCAAAGATACTTCCTGAAAAGGACAGAGTCTGAAGTGATAGTTCCTGAAAGGGAAATAGTCTGGAATGACAGTTCCTGAGAAGGATCCGGTCTGAGAAGACAGTTCCTGAGAAGGATCCGGTCTGAGAAGACAGTTCCTGCAAAGGAAAGAGTCTGAAATGACAATTCCTGAGAAGGATCCGGTCTGAGAAGACAGTTTCTGAAAAGGATTAATTCTTCGATTTTCAACCTTTCCCCTATAAATGTCCCTAGATAGCTATAGTTCAGCTAGTTCAGCTATAGTTCAGCTATAGTTCAGCTATAGTTCAGCTATAGTTCAGCTATAGTTCAGCTATAGTTCAGCTATAGTTCAGCTATAGTTCAGCTATAGTTCAGCTATAGTTCAGCTATAGTTCAGCTATAGTTCAGCTATAGTTCCGCTATAGTTCAGCTATAGTTCAGCTATAGTTCAGCTATAGTTCAGCTATAGTTCAGCTATAGTTCAGCTATAGTTCAGCTATAGTTCAGCTATAGTTCAGCTATAGTTCAGCTATAGTTTAGCTATAGTTCAGCTATAGTTCAGCTATAGTTCAGCTATAGTTCAGCTATAGTTCAGCTATAGTTCAGCTATAGTTCCGCCATAGTTCCGCCATAGTTCCGCTATAGTTCCGCTATAGTTCCTATACTATAGTTCCGCTATAGTTCCGCTATAGTTCCGCTATAGTTCCGCTATAGTTCCGCTATAGTTCCGCTATAGTTCCGCTATAGTTCCGCTATAGTTCCGCTATAGTTCCACTATAGTTCCGCTATAGTTCCGCTATAGTTCCCACTATAGTTCCGCTATAGTTCCGCTATAGTTCAGCTATAGTTCCGCTATAGTTCCGCTATAGTTCCCTATAGTTCCGCTATAGTTCCGCTATAGTTCCACTATAGTTCCGCTATAGTTCCGCTATAGTTCAGCTATAGTTCAGCTATAGTTCAGCTATAGTTCAGACAAAAATAGCTATAGTTCAAAGAAAAATAGCTATAGTTCAGACAAAAATAGCAATAGTTCAGATAAAAATGGCTATAGTTCAGAAAAAAAATGGCTATAGTTCAAACAAAAATAGCTATAGTTCAAAAAAAAAATGGCTATAGTTCAGAAAAAAAATGGCTATAGTTCAGACAAAAATATTGGTCTTTCAGAAAAAAATGGCTATAGTTCAGACAAAACTAGCTATAGTTCAGAATAAAAGTCGCTATAGTTCAGACAAAACTAGCTATAGTTCAGACAAAAATAGCTAGAGTTCAGACAAAACTAGCTATAGTTCAGACAAAAATAGCTAGAGTTCAGACAAAAATAGCTATAGTTCAGATAAAAATGGCTATAGTTCAGATAAAAAATGGCTATAGTTCAGATAAAAAATGGCTATAGTTCAGATAAAAATAGTTACCTGGAGATAAAAATAGTTACCAGATCCCGAAAGGGAGAGGTTGAAACAACCAAGTCCCGAACGGGATCGTTTTAACAAAATAACGGATCCCGAACGGGAACAGTTGTAACTCAACTTGTTTCCCGATCCAAAAATACAGACAGAGATATCACTAAAAAAAACATATCGCCTCAGGTGTCATGATTCCTGAAACATACATAACTGAAACGCTTTCACATCACTTCGTCGATTCAAAAAAAGGATATCATATCTGAAAGTTCTTTCAGAAACAAGACAGTTATAAAATCCACGTGGTCGGAAACCAAGGCAAAGACTTTCAAAAGTATAAAAATATACAAAAAAGTTACAAAAAGTTATGAAAAGTTATAAAAAGTTAGCAGAAGTTATAAAAAGTTAGCAGAAGTTATAAAAAGTTAAGACAAAACTTACAAATAAGTTATTAAAGTTAACATAACTTCCTTTTATCTTTTTGATAAGTCATGTTAACTTCCAACATAAATCCTTTAACTTCTGTATATCTAGGCTAAGTCTGTAAAGTCTTATAACTTTAAGCGTACAGTCTTCGTATGTGCTCTGCCTCGACCTCTTCCATGTCCTTGCTGACCGTTGGGAAAACTCCTGTGCTGGTAACCTCTTCGGCAAATCCCATGGGGGCGCCGTGGTCCAGCCAGTCCGCGAGGATGCCGGAGTCTGGGTCGTTGGCCCATACTGCAATGACCTCGGCCCTCAATGGCGTTCTGGCTCTGGCCGTTCTCTGGGGTCTCGGCTTGCAGTTCCACAGCGACTTCACTATGGTCTCCCTGATCTTGTCCACGATGATCGTCGGCATCTCTTCGGCCTGCTTTCCCTGTAGGATGGCCTCTGCCGGGTGCCTGAGCTGAGGCCACAAGCGTTGGGCTTTCGTGAGGAGCTTGTTGATGGCTTCACCTTGGTCCCACGTCTTTGGTAACCTTCTGCACGACAGGTGGGGGTTTCTCATTCCACCCCAGGCCCTCCTGTTCTCCTCTTCCCTGATGGTCAGGGCCGTGTCCATCAGGGAGAATTGCCTCGTGGGATCTCAGGGTAGCTCCTCACTCCCGAGTTCATCCTTCAGCCACTGGGCTCCTGCCTGAGAGGCGTGGAAAGCACCAGCGATAGCTTCAGAGAACTCTGGAGTATACTGCCCCTGGGATTTGGAAGCTCTCTCCTTCTCCCCCTTTTCATTGACCACCCATCGCTGTACCGTGGGTATGTGTGGGCCCCTGCCTGTGGACCCGTCTTCTCTCTGGTAGGTCTGGATCGGGTGGTTGCACCTCAAGTTGTGGAGCTGCGAGAGGTCGGTCTTGTACAGCAACAGCCGCGTAGGTTTTGTTGTAGACAATCCCAAACGGCATTGGTCGAACTTGATGTCCAGGTCCGAGCAACCGTCGATGAGGGCCTTGACGCGCGGCATATGCCATAGGCTTGGCCTGTCCTCGCCATGATCTGGATTTTTCCAGACCCCAGGGTTTCTTTGCCCTGGTTTGGGAGGTTGCTGCACTTACCGATCTGTCCACAAGGATATTCGATTCTTTCAGCTGCTTTTGTTCACCCTGTGATAGGGAGTCCTTTGGCAACCCCTGGATGCGGTCCAGAGTGCGGAGGACCCTGGGCCCCGGCCGCTTTTCTCTCAGAGGTGAGAAGGTTTCACAGGGTGTAGCAATCCAGATTGCCTCAAAGTTGCCGTGCTCGATATCCGTGTGTATTGAATCCCACGTCGCATCGCACAGCAGGTTCGTAGCCTTGGGTGCCACGGTGTCGATGGCGCACACTCTCCAGCCTTTGTGAGCGAGCGCCCTTTGCAGATCCCCACGACGGCTTTTGCCTGAGAAGAGGATGAGTGCCCATGGCTTTGCTCTGGGATCCCCTTTTCCATGAATCCAAAAGCCATACCTCCTGGGGGGTTGTCTGTCAACCACCAGGCCCTCTTCCAGGTCTTCCTTGTCCACCGTCTCCATGGCCAGCTTGGGTTCTCCTTGAGGCTGTGTTGTAGCCGTCTGCAGGGCTGACGTTGCGCCTCCTTCTGCATCTTTAGGCTCTTGTGTCGCGGGCTGAGACTCCGTCCTGGCCTTCTTTGTTAGGGCCTGATGCTCCCTGGAGGGTATTCCCCATTTCTGTCTGAAGTCCGCCCTTTGGTCCTCTGTAGGGGACTTCGATGGCGAGATAGGTCTCTTCCGGGAAGGTTGCCCATCTCGAGCTCCCGCTGACGCCTGGTTTTCGGAAGGGGCAGGGCCGGCGTCGGATCTCCTGCCCTCCGTTTTCTTGGACCGTCAGTCTGTCTTGCCCTTTCCAGGACAAGACAGGGCTTGATGCGGCCCCATGCACCGCGAGCACTGGTGTGCCCTCTTTGCCTTGCACTTTCCTTGCGCCGCAGCGGTTCCGCATCGCCCCAAGTTGTAGTTCTTGCAGATGTCGGTCCCACGGCGGTTCCTGATGTAGTTGCCCTCTGCATCCTTTTCGGATTTGTCGTCTCCTGTGTAGCCCCGTCTCGGTGCTCTTCCCTGCCGTGGTCTCTTCTTCGGAGAGTCGCCCTCGGCCTCAGTCTTGACCTGCAATGGCTCCCTCTTGTTCCTGGCTAAGAAGAGGGTGGCAGGGGTGCTGAGCTCCTTCGACCAGTATTCATGGTCTTTGCAGGCAGCTGCAAAGCACGCAGACCATGGTGCCGCTTCTGTGAACCCATGTGCCGGACTGGTCCGAAGCTGCCTGCGTAGTCGCTCCAGCTGTTCGCTCCTCATCTGGGCGTCTGCCCTTGCGACCAGGAACCAACACTCGTCGCCGAACTGTGTGACGAAGCCCCTGATCGTCTCCGCATAGCTGTCCAGGCGCTCCGGGTCGCAGCTGTCCAACAGGAGGAGTGCCGTCCTGTAGACCCGCCAGCAGCGGTACCATGCATGGAAGGACGAAGGGCCCGGCTGTTCCTTCTTCGACCATTCGCCGCTTGCCACATTGAGCTGGTAGCCCGTGAACGTTTGTTTTCGGAGTAAACGTTGTCCATGAGGGCCCCAGGTTGTAAAACAAGCAAACGGCACCGCTCCCGATGCCAGCACCTGTTTGAGGGCTGCGAGTTGATCCGAGGAGGGATCTGAGTCGCTCCCTGGGTGATCTCCGAACTTCGTCCGGTAGTCCTCGTACATCCGAGCAATTTCGTCTGGAGGTAGAGGAACTATCTCGGCGTCCAGAGTTGGATCCAGTATGGCTGAGAGTTTCAGCTTGCGGGTAGTGGCTGCTTGTGGGGCGTTACCCGCATTGCCAGCATGGGGCCCACCGGCAGCCGGGAAAGGAAGGATGGCCGGTGCAATGTTGCTCAACGGCACACCTCCTCCCTGCTCGTCCGTCGGGCGACCCACCCGCATCAAACAGACCCTTCTGAATGACTCCGTCCTCGCTATTTCGACTGGTAGAAGAGCTCGAAGGTTGGGTGGTCCAGGAGCGGCAGGGTCCACTACATCGGGAACCTGGAGGTTCTCCACTGCGCGATCCCAGACAGGCCTGGTTATCAAGGCCACCTCCCTGACACGTTGTACTCCTCCAAGCACTTCTTGAAGCCTCGTCGCCAGGTCTCCTTCCACTCCGGCCCAATCCATTGCTCCTTGGACATCATTGATTTGGGCCAGCTCGTCTTCTGTTGGGTCCATCGGTCCGTGGGATTGCAGGTCCCTCGTTCAAGACCCTGGGGCCTGGTGTATGGTTCCGGGCTCTGTGGGCCCTCCTTGCCGCGTTGGGTCTGGAAGTTGGCCCGTTGCGGAGTGAGGAGTGCCGCAAGTTCCCAAAGGCCAGCGCAATCCTCCTTCGACGTCCAACGAATGCAAGTGCTCGTTGAACCAAGTGTTGCCACCGTGCAGGTACTCGCTCTCCCTGCGATGGATGGCTATGGGTCCTCCCTGCGCAGCACCACCCCAAGACAAAACACACGGATCCCGCGGCCACCCAGGAAAGGAGCAGGAGGAAGAGGAACTCGTAAAGTTCTCCCCCCGCCTCCTCCAGACCTGGGAGACCTTTTGGTCACGAAAACCAGGGCCATGGTCCGATGGGGCCATTGGCCATGAAAACACGGTATGGCCGTGGAAACAACAATGGTCACATTTGGCTCCGAAAATCCACGTGAAAACGTGAAAACACTGAGACCTAGCATGCTCCAATGCTTGGGCTAGACCCTGGCATGTGAAAACACTGAGACCTAGCATGCTCCAATGCTTGGGCTAGACCCTGGCATGTGAAAACACTGAGACCTAGCATGCTCCAATGCCTGGGTTAAACCCATGGCATTTGCGCGAAGAGAAAAAAGTATATATTTTTTAATGTAGTAGTATAGTGTGTATACATATATATATATATATGTATATATATGCATATGTATATATATATATATGTATATACCTATTTACATAATATATACCTTAGGAGGTATTTTTTGGGATCGGTGTTTTTGGTGGAACTTGCACCAGCGGTTCGTGGATCATGTGCCAATCAAAGCTACCAACAATTTCTTTCACACGATATATTTCCTCTCGTTGGTCGCGTGATCTCGATCGTTTTTTGGGAACAAAAACAGATTTCCATGTAATTCTTTCATGGAGAAAACGCACGAAACATCGGATGCGAATGGAAAAAAACACGAGAAATTCACGAAACAACTTGGCTCGGCATCCCAATCGCTGCCTCAAAACTCAGCCTCGCTGGGGTTCGGGGCGTTTTTTTTTCAGCAACGCTCGGAAGTTTGCATGTAATTTCATGTTTTCATGTTCAGATCATGCCATTTTCTTGATCAGATTACACCATGTCGTGCTAAAAGGAAAATCATGCATGGCCCACATGATAAACAAATTGCATGGAAACAAATTGCAACAAAGCATTACCAACATCTTCTTTTGTTAATGTATTCGGCCATGGTGAGTCGAATTGCTTCAGTTGGTACGTGAGGCTTCGATCTGTGAAGTCGCATCAATGTGAAACTGCATGTTTGGAATGGACACAGGATAGATTGATCGTATTGTGCAAACCATGATTTATTTTTCCAGGTCATATTTTGTTGATACATCTTGCCATGAACTTCCATCCATGCCACAGGTGGCTCTGATCGATATCCCATGTCGCTGAGATCTACATATGGTGCGCCTGGCAGTTTGATTGATTGCCCGTGCAGCTGACGTGAAAAATCCAAAACTGAAAAAGATCCAAAACTGAACGATCACAATTTCCTTTGGTTTGGTGATGATATACAGTTCAAACAGAAAAGATTTTCTCTTGTCCTAATTCACCCAAGATTTTCTTTGTGCGATTCCAACCCTCATGCCACTGGATTTCATCTCTCATGCCAGGCGCTCAGCTATGCTACCTCTTCGACAGCAGGTGCTTCCCATCCTTGGCCATGCAGATTCACGGTCGTTGCAGTCGATCTCTTTATATGTATCTATATATGTTATATATAATATATATAGAGCTGCAGGTGATTGAGTTATGATTTGAGCAGGCGTTTTGGGTCAAAACTCCCGCTTGGATCATGGCGTTGCCAAGTTTAGATCCTGATGTTGTGCCAATTCATGCACCCTATGTGACTGCCTTTGAGAAATTCCCGAGGCTTAAGGAAGTGTCTTGGACAAAACATGAAATTCGATCCAACCACCCAATCAATTCAGATGAAAAAGAACACATGAAGAAGGCATGCAGTATTATTTCACCGTGATTTTTCCATGAAAAGATTTGCCAATCACGTGCCTAGGTTGGCATGAGCCTCTTGGTCGATCACTCGGGGAAGCTGTTCACAAAGAAGAGGCCGACGATGAAGGACATCGTAGCTAACCATGAGGTGTGGTGTGTGAAAGATACAGATTTGAATGCCCACAAGCTGATAGCAATCTGTTTGAAATCATGTTGGGAAACCGGTCTATCGATAGTTTATATACAATATTATGTGCAATGGTTTTAACATATGATCCCATTAGGTTATCCTGGCGGTCATCGATGGGCTTGATGGCAAATCCAGAGCTAGCGCATATACGCTACGGGATGGAATACTGGCTTTCTTCACCAAACATAAGTTGTTCCCTTCCGGAATCTATGCCGAGATTCCGTCTGTGCAAGACTGGGCTTTGAGGAATGGCCTGGCTTTGAAGAAGCTGGCCCCTGGGTTTCATGAAGGTGGTTTCACATAGAATGGGTTTAGGGGTGAGGTATTTGATGCAACGCTCCATTTCCACACCTGTGAAAACATAGACATGTACATATAAAACCATATATATATATGCATTAAAGATCATACATATATATATATATATATACACAAGAATTCTGTTTACATATGTTATATAATATATATATATATATGCAAATCTCTGATATAGTACTTTATTTCCAGTGGGCAATGTGATTGACGTTTTGAAAACAAAACCATCGATCTATAGAGTCGACCCGAAAACACAAGTTCATTCCCACTTGAAAACTGTTTTTGTTGAATGCAGGCATGAATGACCATTCATACCATGCCATCTGAGGTTTCACGATTCCGACGACCCCTGAGAAGATCCACTGGGTCCAAGTACAAGAAGCTGGGAGAGATCAAAGCACGTGCACGAGACCTTGGGTGGGGCGAATCTGCAAAGGGAAAGACCTATGGCAGTGATGATGACGATGAAGCATGGATCAACATAATATAGTCGGAATTTCATGTTGGATCACAAAATTCTGTCTCTGAATTGTCAAAATGCATATTTCTCATCCAGATTCTTGTCATGCATCCTGACTCTTCAAATTATTGAATCCATCCTAGCCCGCTCAGGATTCGCGCTCCTTGGTGGGCCCCCCGGCCGATTTGGAGGAATTGCAGGCCACGTCTTCGACTACATCGCCTGGGAGCAGTGCAGATCTTTCGGATATCTCTGCAGACTCGAAACTTGGTCGGGTAATTGCGCAACTTCAGAAGTTCGTGATTAAGACCCCTGTGGCTGAATCGAAATGCTGTGATGTTGTGGAAGTGAGTTCGGATGATGATTCTGCTACTGTTGCTTACACGCCCAATGAACCTGAGTCCAAACCCAAGAGTGTGAAAGATGTTTTAGCAGAAGCAAAACAACGTAGACTTCAAGGAGAACTCATGAAACAATCGAAACCATGCACTTTGTCGAACCCAAAGGGTCCTTTGAAAGATGCAAACTCTGATGCTGGCACAGAAAATCCATATGTTCTGCCAGACCATGTTGCCTGGCACTGTAAACTAACATTTAATTTTTGGTGTTGTCTCATTTCATGTTTCCATGAATTGTTGCTGAATCCAGTTCGGAACAATCACATGATCGAATTCACAACCTATTCTATCCAGACTTGTCTCCCATAATCTGAGGTTTTGGAAACCCTTCGATCCGTGGCGGTACCTCCACCTTTTCCTTCAAAGGACCAGTACATCCCGGCCGTGCAAGCTGCTAGGGACGCGGCTGCAGTTCCACCAGAGGAGGATGAAGAGTCGGCCGCTGATCCTCCCAAAAAACGCAAACATGAAAGTGCTGAGCCATGGAACTACAATGCAATTAGAAGCAAATGGATTGATCAGTGTCGGATTGACAAGGGTGTTTCTTTCAAAGAGGCCAAAGGCATGTGGGAGACCTGTGATGCCAAACGCAACTATTTGAAAAATGTTTCCATACACGAGCTTAAGCGTAGGAAATTTGTCCCAAAGGGTACGACCAAAAATCCATGGTCGGATTAGATACGTTTCTTTGGCAATGTGACCATGGGCAGGGGGATGCCTGTGCTTTGCGACATGAAAAGGAAACATGTTCAGAGCCAGCCCTGGTTGATTCTATCCGCAATGATGGCTGTTGTGTGGAAGCTGAAAAATTCATGCCCATTGATGCCAATTTAAGTCTGAATGCAAAGAATGAGAATTAATCGAATCTATTCTGCAGATTTTCAAGCTGTGCTAGTCCATCTTTTTAAAGGGCGCCTGAGATTCACCGCCATGGTTGTCTTGGAGTTGTTGAAGTACCGCGTTCCTGCAGTGATCATTTTGCTGACCCTCTTGATCCAATGGAATCAGCAGATCCCACATGGAATTGATCTTCGTTTGAGATTAGTTATCTTTCTATTTTCACATGTTTTCCCATTGCATGTGTGAACATATCTCAAGCCATGGATTTCGGATCCAGTGGGTATTTTCAGATTTTCATGTCTCCATATTAAGGACCGTGATTTTATGGAGGTTTTCAGCGGACGCGGCGAGATCAGTCGTGCTATGAGAGATGTTTCTTGGATTCTATCATAATCTACATATGGATCACATGTTGCGAGTGGTGTCACATACAAAATATGTGCATTATGTTCATGAAAGCTCATGAAAGTTCATGAAAGTTCATGATGTTTCCTGTTTATGACCCAAGTCATCCACCATGGTTTTCGTCCTGTCCATCGAGGTTGGGATGGCTGGCACCTCGATTGACATATGTCTGGATGCAAAAGCCTTTGACCTCACCGGTCCTTCTGCTTTCGGGTCTCTTGGTTGTTATCTTATAAGTGGCACATACCCGTGCATATGGCTACAGTATGAATTGCACATATATATATATCGCCTTCCGAACTTGGGAGAAGTCATATAGAAATACAAAAAATAAAGAATGTAGAGAAAACCAAAGTCATAGCGTTTGAAGCTTTCTGGGATCCATGCCGTCCATCAGGCTCGTATTGAACGAAGTGATGAGATGCAAACCTGGGAGCACAGTCGTTCTTGCCCCCGATTGCCGCAGCCTATCCAAAATGTTTCTTGGTCATGATTGGGGTGGCCATGTAATTCCCGTTGATGGATTCAATTTTTCGTGGAGTTCTAATTTTCTGACAAGTTGGTATAATGATCTTGTCATCCAAATCAGCCTTTGAAAGTGAAATCAGTGAAATAGTTTCAACACCTTATCTTTGAGGAGAGAGCTGCCGTTTTGGACTTCCAGCGTCAATATATCGCGGTTTTGATTACTAGTGCGTATCAGCATGAAAATGCATACATGAATGAGAAAAAACATACAAGTGAGATGTCTTGATGCGCAATTCATGATATCAAGAAAATTCATCCTCCAGCGACTTCCATGCAAGGTGTCGGCACACAAGCGGTCGATCCTATCTTACTCCAATGGGAAATCGCGGATATGTCTTCGTCCGGATTGGCAATATACTATCAGGTCGAACTGTGATAGTGGCCCTACTTGCTGCATGGTGTGGTCTTCGATTCATCATCGAGCAACCTGACGGCTCCTTCCTCGAGCACCTGCCACGCTATCAATGGCTCTTTTCAGTGCTGAAGGCAGGTTTGGGTGGGTAGGCCGCAATTGCGTTGAGCTACAGAATCTCGTCCGTATACTTTGCATTTTCATGTGGATCTTTTCGGACGTTAGCCTGTCGCAATCTATATATCTGCTACATATATATATATATATATCATACAGCATATATAATCATATATATATACACATATATATATACTATATTATATATGTGTATGTGTGTGTAATATTTATATATATTACATGTCTATCAGAAGCTGCGATATGGAACATGTCTGTATACACTTTATGTGTCGGCTTCACATTTTTGCAGGTCTACGCTGGCACCATGTACATGGGAGTCTTTGGCTCTGGAAGTCCTAAACGGCATCGTCTATTTTCCAACTGCAAGTACTACTTGGACACGATCTGTGACCGAGCAGGATATATGTCACGGGCTGAACAATCTCTTTGCTCAAACAAGTTGGTCAAGAAGTACATAGACAAATCTGGAAAAGCGCGATGTAGTGGCATTAAGCCAGCATTGAAGGAGAGCGCGTATCTTGTCTAATTTTTGAATTCTCAGTTAAAAAAAACTTGTTCTGGGTTCAACCAAGTCTTTTTTTCGTTGAGATTTTAGAAAATCATACATCTTGTTCTGTGAAAAACACCCATGAAACATATTCATATTAGACCTCCAGTGCGGAAACGATGAACCCTTTATCCCATTATAATCATTGCCCCATGCAGGCATTACCCGGCAGCTTTTGGAGATTTCTTGGCATCCATTGCTCTGGAGTTGCGAGGTGTTACTTGGCTGAATTTATCCCTTGAAACATCATGAAATCAGTATATTTTCATGCCCTCATTGGCAAGACCATGTGAAATTTTGAAGGTCCGATATTTTTTTGAAACCCATGCATCCTGTTGCAAACCCATATCTTTGCAAGAATCGTGTTCGAATTGGGTGGTGACCTAATTTAAAGATCTGTATATATATATATAGTCTGATTGGGGATGTCTCAAAATAGTGGTGCCCAGGGATGCCCCAATTCGCTTGTTTTTTGTGTGTAAAACAGAACTTTGGGGCATCCCTATTTTGAAACATCCCTGTATAATATATATATATATATCTATCTATCTCTCTCTCTCTCTTTCTATCTATCTATTATGTATCCCATTTTCATGGATCTCACAGAACGGTCTGAGGTTCCGGTTCCACCATGTCTCATTCCCGTGGAGCTGAAGATTGATGAAGGCCTCACGGATTTGGAGCTCTTCAAAATGCACTGCTTACCTATAGTTGATCGCTGGGATGATGTGCCCTGACTCATTGGTACAATTTATATCATAGCAGTTGAATTTTCATGTTTTTTCACGGTGATGCATTGACTCCCAAAAAAAAAATTGGGTTATTCTGAGGTTCATATGTGGCATGTGCTGGAATACTTTGCGTCTGCTAAGCGCATCAACATCCCGCATGGTTGGGATGCTTGGTCATTCAAGATGGATCGATTTTCAGATGTATGGAACCTATGTAAATCGTAATTTCTAAACCGATCATATTCATAACAAACACCGCTACTTGCACATTGGGTGCAATTTGACATGAAATAATTTCACATCAATTGGCTGTGCATCTCAGGAGGAGATTCTCCATGACTTGAAGCTCCGGGATATCCACGCCTCTGTCATGTGACGATGGCTTGCTGATGGATGGCTTTCACCTTAGCTTGATGATATGGGGTTGTGTATCCAGCCTATGGCTGATCATCTTTGAGGGTGCCGGGATAACAACACCTCATGTGGAATCGTATAAGATGAAAATCACATAAGCTAAATTTTCACCATGAACATGAGTAGAACTGTGATTTGATCAAGGTCATGAAATAATATCTTAATATATCTTTGGTTGCATGAATTTCACTAAAATGCATCAAATTCACGAAATTCACGAAAATGCGAATTCACATTGGTGTTGTCCCAAACTAGGAAAAAGTTGGCACGTGAAAATGCGTGTCATTGGACGTGAAAAAGCGGTGATTGGACATGGAAACCGCATGAAAAACGTGAATGCTAGTTTCGGCATTTTTGAGCATGAAAATCACGAAAATCACGAAAACCACGAAAAGCACGAAAAGCACGAAAAGCACGAAAAGCACGAAACAGTCCGAAAAATGTGAAAGGAAAACAATCATCAGCACTTTCACAGATCTTATCATTATGTATGGTTGTATGTATAGGCCTGCTCAAAAGAGTTAGGTAGGAACCTTTTTCCAAAGCCTTTTTAAAGGCACATGGCCCGCACTAAACATGCAGCAAAGGAGGCAGCAGCACCCAGGACTCCTGATAGACCAAGCAAGAGGATGAGAACGAAATGTTCTGGCGGTGATGTCCCTGCAGCCCCTCGAGCCAAAGCCGAACCTGCAGTCGAACCAAACCCTCGAGCTAGTGCCGCAGCCGAACCTGCAGTAGAAGTTCGCCAGTCACTTGCACCCTTGGGATGTGAGGTTTCCTGGGAAAACTTTGCGGAGTGCAAGGCTCACTTTGGCCTTTCTGAAGTCGAAACCATTCGGGTTTTGACCTCTTTGATCGGACCTCGGCCCAAAGGATTTTCCTTGGAGTCCCCTTCAAGTGCCACAGCGGCTTCTGTGAAACCTGCTTCCATGAAACCTGCTCATGTGAAAAAGGAAGTTGAGCCCAAGCCACCTGCAGCAGCACCTGAAGAGCCACCCAAGAGACGCAGACTGAGACAGATGGACTACGAGCCTATCGACAACCAGTTGGGTGATCCTACGATGTATCCCGAGCTGAACCCAGATGCCTATACTACGGATGATACCACCCTTGATGAACCTGAAGATGGTGAAGAAGAAGAGCTGGAGGATGACAATGATGTTGAAGATGAAGTTGACGTTGCAGCCAATGGATCCAACAACGATGACCAGGACTCTCCCCAGGGTGGTGCTGCTGCAGAGCCAGCTGAAGAATCCATTGGCCGTCCAGAGCCTGTGGAACCTGTGGAACCTACCCGCATCGCTGTTGAGAAGCCTGATGATCCCGCAGCAGCAGCCAAGGAGCAGTTGCAAGAAGCCTTGAAGAGCACACCGACCCCAACCCGACAAGGACGTCACGTTGTACAAGCAGAGCGCATTGACTCTGGAGAAAACCCATCCATGAAGTCTTTGCGGTCCCTTGCCATGTTTCAGATTAGATAAGTTTTTTCTTGCAATATATTATCACCGACATTTTTGGGAAGATTGGGGAGATCAAGGGTTTAAGAAAGATACATCTCCAAAGAGAAATCACTTGCTTATCTAAGGTCGTGCAGTACCCTTGTGCTTGGACAGACGCACCTATCGCGGCAGGCTTCGGATCGGAAATGTGGCTTGGTGAGACGTGCTTCCACTGCCCATCTTGACAAACGTCCTTCTGATGATGAGACCGAGTTCCCTGACCATATAGTTGCACAATTTTCTTGTTCATATTTGTTTTCACTATAATAGTCCCCCCAATGTGTTGCATGTAGTTACAAGTCATGATTCCTGTTGTTTTTCACCCTTCGATTTTGAAACTATGAGGTTGGGACCTTCTGCTTCAGAAGTTCATGAGCACAAGTTGGATGCCCTGGTGAAATCATTGAGCCACATCCAGAGCGTCTTGGAGGACCCTGCGATGCGCGAGGTGATTGGGAATTTGGCCCCACAGCTCTTGGACCTCAACAAGAACCACGAGATGGCTGAAGCTCATGCTGGAAAGCCTGCAAGTTCCAATCCTGGAAAGCGTACTATGGCACCCCCGGCAGCACCGTCCACCAAGTCAGCAAAGACCAAGGAAAACAAGAAGGAGATGAATGGCCCCAATGATGAAGACCCTGCCAAGACTTCACCTGCTACCAAGCCTGATGAAGACCCTGCCAAGACACCTGATGAAGACCCTGCCAAGACTTCACCTGATGAAGACCCTGCCAAGACTTCACCTGCTACCAAGCCTGGACCCACGGATGAAACTTCGCCTGGAGAGACCAAGATCAATTCCAGCACCCACAGGGCCGCCCATGCACGATTGGTGCGCAGGATGGAAAAACTTCCCGTTGCAGAATTCCCCAACATGTCACGTTTGTGGAATGGATCACGCAAAGAAACTAGGTATATTTTCATGTTCAATATTTTTGGATCATTTCTCCAAGACTTTGAAGACCTAAGGTGACAATCTTAATGACATATTTTGACAAATGCCCTAGTGCCTACCATTCAGGAAAAGCAGCAGCTTCTTCAGCAGTTTGTTCAGCATGGCGAGAACATGAAGGCCATTGAGATGGACTTGAAAGTGACGAAGGAGCAGGAAGGGGAGACATGCTTAAAGCGTGAACTGCTGACGATCAGAGAAATGAAAGCGAAAGGTTTCAGTCAGAATCTTGAAATCCTTTAGGCATATATGTTGAACTTATTTCCTGCGTATGTATGTGAAAACTATAGAATGTGAAATAGTTTCGATGTTTCCCAAATCCCATCCAGCTAAGGGCCAAGATTGACACCATCATTTCACGATCGACACCCCATCCTGATCCTGATGCCCCTGAATGTCCAGAAAGCGTACGTTTTTGGGCGACATCGGGTGGTGAGTTTTCAGAGAAAGAACGCACTCGGGTGACAGCAACAGCCAGTGCACGCGTCGCTCCATCGGCTACTGGATTGGCAGGCTTGATGCAGCATGATGTTCCTAGCTCTGGTGCACCTACACCTTGTGGCAATGGGCCTACTCTCCGGGCTTCGGTGGATGTTGCCAACAGCACGCCTGCTGCAGAGCCTACTCCTAAGGCGAAAGCTAAGGCAAAGGGCAAAGTTGCGCAGGTGACTCCCAAGACCCCAGCTGAGCAGCGTGTTGCGATTCGATCTTGGGATTTAATTGGGGTTTAAGCTATGGTCGTCATATTTACATACAAAAAGAGGAGACTGCATATGTAGGCATATTGTGGGAAATCTCTATGAACATATGCACATATGCACACACACACATATATATATATATGCACATATATGATCTTGTTTACATATTCGATGGAATATAATATTATTATTATATATATATGTATAAGATACAAATGTGATAAAGATGAATTTAAATACATCACATGTGTGAATTCACACTTCCCAATTGAAGATCAGCATGAAACTTAGGAAACCAGCTCCGGAAAGAGTTGAACAATGTGATCAACGTGGGTTCGGAGCTGCCATCTGACACCCCCATCCGAGAACAGCTCGTGAAAAAGAAGCAGGATCTTGAAACTTACATGGATGTGCCCCTCATCTAAATTACACAATCCATGTCCGAAAAAAAATAACGATATGTGAATGTCAATATGGGAGAAAGTGTTCACGAAGGATTCTGTTTTTGTATATTTACCACCTTTTTTTGAAAATGGGCACCTCTGAAACTGCATGTATCTAAGGCTGAAGGACCAAACGGATGAAATGCTGGATCAGTTTGAATCGGACTGCGCTGATCTTGCATCTTGGCGAAATTGAATTGCCAATATTCATGAAAATTATGGCATGATTGGTTTTCACAAGTTTGTTGGAAAAGATATCGGGTTCGCTTCGAATCTCCAATTGGCGCCCAGGTCAAAGCCACACGGCTGATTCGCGCTCAGGCCAAGGCGGTGGCCAATGAGCTGAAGAAAGACGCTGAGGAGTGAGCACCTTCGGATGGATTGGCACTTGGCCTTTTTTCAAATAATGCGGCCATGGTGGACTCAAAAATGAGTCAAATTTTGACTTTGTCAGTAGGGCGATGCAGGGTTGCTGCATAGATTGCCTGAAGACCCCAGTTATATAATATATATATATATATCTCTCTACATATCTAAATATATACATACATATATATATACAGATATTTAATTAGATTATCTATTTAGTCCGTTCTGTCAAATACTTCTGGGACTCCGAACTTGTCAAAACTTGGAACATGTGGGGTTCTTGGGCAACAGCAGCGGCTCTTGAAATGGGCAAATGGCACAGACTAGTGCACCTTCGAAACTCGAATATGCCTGGGGGCATGAAAAAACATGGAAAATTTCATATGCGGCTTAGCTTACCCGTTGTTGGTTAGTTAACTTGCTAGAGCTAGAGTTTGGAATCCGCAGTACCCACGCAGGTCCAAGATCTCGGCCTGAACAACTTCTCAGAGAACAGTTGGACAATGTGTTTCTCAGCTTTTACTTGGAAAAATCGAAATAGTAGAAATAACAAATGTCATGAAATTGAACAGTGTTTATATCATTGGAACCTCCAGTGTGACCCACGGCATTACATTACACATTCACATGCTGCTCCCATATCGCGAATTGAGGCTGGCCTACTCAATTGGCTCTGGTTACACATCGGTCAAGCATGCGAGGATGGTGGGAGAGGTCTATGATTCGGATCTTTTGCGGTATCCTGTTTGCACAAAGCTTTGCTTATAGTTTTCATGTGTTTCATATTGTGCAGCGCAATTTTTGTTTTCTTGTGGCGCTATTCGCATGAAACAAATATGAATCAAGGTCGCATAGGGAGCATGGTCTTCACGAGCGCGCTATGGCATGTGGTGCTACATTGCCTTGTCCAATTTCATGGGTGACGATACCTCTTCGGGATAGTGTCGATGATCCCTCATACAAGTTAGTGGAGTGGCCTATTCTGTTGCCCAAAGACTTTGTTTCTAGGCTGGATTTTGGTTTGGGGGTTCTCAAGTGCAATCAGTAACAAGTTTCAATCCATTTTCAATTCCTGGCCTTGAGGCTTCAACGCTGATTGACGAGGGATATCTCCGAGCCCTACTGACTTCTTGGGAGGATCTTGAGCCCTATTGGAAGGGGATGCTACGGGATTTCCCATCTCATGTTGTTGCTGACAGAGACCCTGAACTGCGAAGTAGCATTGGGTGCACTCTGTATGATGTCTCAGTGTTGATTTAGCCAACATATATTTTTCTTTGCGTTTTCATTTCCAGGGATGACAATTTCTGGGGTTTTGTGACGTTGGTATAGGTGATGAAGTCGACATTAATGGTGAATCGTGGATGCACCTAATATGGACTTCTGACTTGAGCCCGGTGCGGACGGACTCTCCCTCTTCAAGGTTTCCAATTTGCGTGATTCCTGCTAGCCGATACGTACTTGCAAACGGCATCAATGTGACATTGGAAGCAGTGACACGATGCATCACACACTCATTCAATGAGATGTCCACAACTGGAATCCCAGTTCATACACTACCATCTTTGGGCGGTGGTGAAGTGCATGTCATCCATCATCATCTTTTGAACCCTTTCATGTACGATTTCATGTGTTTTTTCTCTACTTCTCCTGGAATATACATATATATATATGAATACGTACACACATTGCCTGACCAGGTGCGTCGGCTTCGTCTCTATGTGATGGGGTTTCGGGCGGACTGGAAGGCGCTGGTCGCTTTGTTCAACTTTGAACGCAACTATGGGACCAATGAGGCCTGGAGTGTGAGAAAAAATCATGCTTTCAAGTATACCTTCCATGAAACCCTTACTCATGAAAACCTTACTGGTGAAATCTTCGCAGTTGTTGTTCCAAACATCCTGCAGGTTTGTTGGCTGTGTGGTGCAACGAAGGGTAATGATGGTGATCTTACCAACTGCTATACCAACATCGCTCCTGATGCGGGGTGGTGGGCAACTATGGGTCGTTGTCTTCCATGGTCAGTGCCGCCTAGCTACGCGAACCTCCAATGCTTTGATATCAATATGATCATGCCTGATCTCCTTCACGCTTGGAATTTGGGAATGGCGCGCGATTTTTTGGGAAGCGCGTTGAAGCTGATTCTGCAACAGCGCGATATCTTTACAGGGCCGACGCTGGAAGCTAGATTGTTGGAAGCGACCCATTCACTGAAAATGTTTGCCAAACAACATGGTCACCCACTACGCTGCAAAAAGTTCACCAAGGGCAAGTTGTGCTGGAAGACTCGGAAATACCCATCACTGGGTGTTTCAGGATACGATGCCTATGTGATTGCTTTATGGCTGGAGGATGTGCTGTCTGGACATCACCAGAAATACCCGGAGATATCTTCCATGTTGTGGCTGAGCAACAGAGCCATATCTTTGATGTACAGTCAAGAGAGTTGGTTTTTGAGTCAGCAAGAGAAGGACACTTTGGAAGTCCTTGGCTTTGCGTTTTTGAAAATTTACATGTCCATGGCTGTGACTGCCTTGCAGCAGCACAAGCTGCTGTGGAAGGTACGTCCGAAGGTCCACCTATTATGTCATGTGTTCAGGTCGTTTCGCTCTTGCAACCCTGCTCGGTACAGCACATGGTTAGACGAAGATTTCCTACGTAAAAGTGGGAAAACCTTAGGTCTTACTGATAGCCGTGGGTCTCACCTGAGGTTCCTTCAACGTTGGCTTATGGCTCTTCCGGGCCACTTCAAAAAAAAATTGGGGGTACAGACTCAAAGCTAGAAACTGGCTCTGAGGGCAGGACGCTGTCGACACAGCGCATGAAAAAAAACGGCATTGCAACACGATTGCACATCTCATGCCGTGTTCTGTGACTTCATTTGGGAATTTGGAGATATGTTCGTGGAAAAATTCTGATGGAATTTTCATGTGCCATGATCATTGACTGTGATCCACACATCCGGGTTTTGTGTTTTGATGTTAATCTAGTTTACATCGTGCTCTATATATATATATATATATAAAATATAATATATGTATATTTAAGTATATTTATGATAGATAGAGACATATATTTATATATATATATATATATCATAGTTATGAGATTTCATATGTTGCATCTTTTTATTGATATACTAAATAGAAAATATATTACTTCTTGCTCAAGACGCTTCCGTCCAAAGAGCTTGCCGTGAAAAAAATGATAGTGGCTGCGGCCGGTGTTGAGCTTGTTTTCGTGAATCATGGCTCCCAAAAAAAGGAAAATTGGAATGTCATATGTGGTCGGAGGCTATAAGCATGCCTGCCATTTTTGTGTCTCATAGCAAATCCAATCGTAGGATTTGGCTGCCGAAAAAAAAAAACACACCCAACCCATCCCACCCATCCATCCCACCCAAACGTGAAAACCGTGAAAACCGTGAAAACCGTGAAAACGTGAAAACGTGAAAACCGTGAAAATCGTGAAACCCATTGGGTGTGAAATCGTGAAAATCATCCATTGGCCACCAAAAAATGAATTGGCCATGAAAATAAAAAACCAAGGCCGTTGGGGGGATGGCTTCGGTTTTGGGAGCCGGATCGGCTCCTAGGGAGTGACCACGGGTTCCATATGCTGTCCCGCTTGTGGTCCGCACAAAATTGTGACCCACTTGAGCCAAAATGGCCCACGAAGGGTCACCCTAACCAGCTAATCGTGTCTCATGTCCCTTCCACATGAATGTGATTATGAAACAAACGGAAAACCATCAAAATCCTGGTATGTTCGGTATGTCTATAAGTTCGGATCATGATTCCAAAATAGATCTTCCAAACATACGAGCCACAAGTAGCCGCAACCGGACCCAACTTCGCCCAAGGTGCGGAGATGGAGGTACTGCTGGTGGCGGAGCAAGCTCTTCTTCGCCTGATGTTTTTCTTTCAACAACCTGCAGTTGGTTTCAACAAAATGGAGATCAGTAGTATAGATGCGACGAGTTTACTTAGTTCAGATAATTCAAGTATCAATGGATCAGTGTCCTGTTGGTTAAATTGTGCTCCGCTCCGCTGAATAGAATGATCTGGCAGAGTTGCCATCCTTGGGTACATGATGGAGTTGCCATGTACTCAAGGTCAGTTTTCGCAGGTACCACATATAGAGTATCAATATCAGTACAAACACTCTGCAACAAGTGAAACTTGGAAACTACTACACTGGCTACACTCATAGAGATTTCATCACCAAAGAGATACGCTGCGTTTCAGAAGGCTCCCCCAGCGGGCCTGTCTCGCCCAATGCAGGGGCCAGCAGACATGAATTGTCCTCCAACCATGCAGTATCATGAAGGAATAGGTCTCAGAATAGGTTCATAATGGTTCATATCTATCTTATTTACCGTATTCAACAGTATATATTCTGTTTTTTGTTCTCGTCTCTTCCAAAGAATATTATTTAACGTGTATGTGTTGACGTGATCAGGCCAAGTGACACTTTGCAGTTGGTATTTCAAGAGTTCCGGGTTCTCAACATTTCTCAATTGTTCTCTCCTCATGCGTCAGGCTGGCCAGGCTGACTTTGGCGTATAATGGTAGCCGACGGTAGTGATCGTCCCAACTAGGTTTTGCTTATCCTAGGTGCTTGAGATCAACGGGTCCCACCTCAGCCGACTCAGAAATCATCTCAAGGGGCTTCGACTGAGATGACGCGGCCAAGCCATGCATTGCCTCTGCATTTTTGCTCGTTGTCAAAGTTGGTGGTTGCTGTTGGCTGTATTCTTCTGTTTTGTAACAAAGCCAACAAAGCCAAAGAAGCCAGCAAAGCCAAGAAGCCAACAAAGCCAACAAAGCCAACAAAGCCAACAAAGCCAACAAAGCCAACAAAGCCAACAGAGCCAACAGAGCCAACAAAGCCAACAAAGCCAACAAAGCCAACAAAGCCAACAAAGCCAACAAGCCACACAGGACCAAGAGGGAATCGAACCCAACCAGGAAAACAAAAAAAACTAATTACTTTGCTTCGAGTGATCCACACCATGACATTTCAAAACAGCTTGTTGGCACCACTTTTGTCTGAAGCTTTTGTCACGGGACTTTTGCCCAACTAACTATCCCAATCATTTGTTTCACCTGGCAGGTCATTGTGCAGATCACTTCAAGTAATTTGTAGTAACTTGCTGTAAGATGTTGCCTGTCTCAAGCGTCTTTGCAAACAGCTCCAAAGGTCCAAAGGTACAGAAGTGGAAATGTCTCTGTCCACCCCAGTGACTCTGTCATCTGTTCAAACTGATTGCTTCAAACTTTGCCACCTGCAAAGTAAGAAGTGGCATTGCCCCGGTCACTCTACCACACACGCGCGAGTTTGCAAGTAATATATAACATACTTGTCTGACATTCTTTCTAACTTTCTTCTGCACATTCTTTGTCCCATATCTTCCTACATGAGGCCCGGCAGGGAACACTTGGCGTGGATACTCGCGGTTGAGGTCCGGCAGGGAACACTGGGCGTGGATGGTCGTGGTTGAGGTCCGGCAGGGAACACTGGGCGGGGATGGTCGTGGTTGAGGTCCGGCAGGGAACACTGGGCGTGGATGGTCGTGGTTGAGGTCCGACAGAGAACACTGTGCGTCGAGGGTCGCGGTTGAGCAGGAGGAGGAGAGGAGAGGAGGAGAGGAGAGGAGGAGAGGAGCAGGCAACTGACATAAAATCTAACAACCCTCACCTGGCAGGTGGGGAAAAAACAAAAAATGGGACCCCCAATTTTGCACTGCTAATATGGAAAACAAACATGGCGTTTTTCCTCAGTTTTTGAGGTCCAACGTCCATTTCGTGCGAAAGGGTTACGTTTCGTGGCGCTCCGGCGGCACCGCCCCCGCCTTAAGAGAGAATAGAAAGAAGAGCGAGAGGAGATCTGCAGATGTGAAGGTGTGAAGATGTAGATCTGCAGATGTGAAAGTGTGAAGATGTAGATCTGCAGATGTGAAGGTGTGAAGATCTAGATCTGCAGGTGTGAGGGTGTGAAGATGTAGATCAGCAGATGTGAAGGTGTGAAGATCTAGATCTGCAGGTGTGAGGGTGTGAAGATGTAGATCTGCAAGTGTGAGGGTGTGAAGATGTAGATCAGCAGATGTGAGGATGTGAAGATGTAGATCAGCAGGTGTGAGGGTGTGAAGATGTAGATCAGCAGATGTGAGGGTGTGAAGATGTAGATCAGCAGATGTGAAGGTGTGAAGATGTAGTATAACGGCTGCTTTTTTACGAAGAACCCTTCGCAGGCTCTCGGGAAAAACACCATTATAACCCCATTTAAATCATATCTGGTTATAATTGACATATTGGCATAATATTATATATATATATATATAATTATATATATATATTATAGCATAATATAGTCTAATATGCTATTTCAGGCCTTAACTGTGGGGTGGAAATTGTTGCCCACCTTTTGCCAGTTCAGTCAGCTGCGTCTTAGCGTTCTGCTGACCGTAGACTCGGTAGCCTCGGGGCCAGGCTTTCCCGGACAAATGATCTGGAAATGGTAAACTCCACACCTATGTCAGTCAAGAGGGTAATAAGCAAATCATTTCTGGTTGGTGGTTTCAACCCCTCTGAAAAATATGAGTTCGTCAGTAGGGATGATGACATTCCCAATATATGGAAAAATAAAATTCATGTTCCAAACCACCAACCAGATTTGGTTGGTTTGTGGCCATTATAAGTTAAACATAATGAGATGGTCTTATAAAGCAACTTCGAACTAGGAGACACCACCTTGAAATCTAGTTCACAATAGTCAGAATCAGATTGGTGGTTCCAAAACTATCTAAAAATATACCCGGCATTGGGGAACATCATTCCATTTCTATGGTTGAACAACATATTTGAAACAACCAACGAGTATTCATGGTGTTTCCTGGAAGTAGGGATCTGTGGGATGTACATACAATGAACATGCCTAATATCGACAATAACCATTAAAGAAGGTACTACATTCATATGTATATATATATATTATATATATATTATATGTGTATATATACATATTATATATTCAATACACATCTGGATTCGCATCAAAACGGAAACCACATTGCTCATTGATTTGCCGAACAAAGGTTGACCGAGCATGGAAGTAAGGGCTTGGAATCAATGGACTGGTAGGCATAGTGGGTGCCCATCACCAAACAAGAAGGGAACACATACATTCGGCCCTGAGGTTATATAATCGTAGAACCTAACGAAAAAAGGAAACACACACACACACAATTTGACTCTAAAATTTGTGTATTCAATTGCTTCCTGATGCTTTTCTTGGCATACTGTAGGAATATTCAAAATCAATCTTATAGAGATCTGTCCAAACAAAATACTCTTTAGCTGGTGATGGATTTAAATGGCGCAAAAGGTGAAAAACTATTAGTTAGTATCTGACCAGTCGACCATTGGCACTTGGCGGTTTCACCACGAGTCTGGGCCATGCGGCCATGACCTGCCACCAAGACACATCGGTGTGGGGTGTTGTAGCAAAATCTCAGTGCGTCCTCGTAGGTCTGCATACCTAGGTGGAGCTCAAAGGACTTCGGTGTCAGCTGAGGGGAAATCCCCATCAAAATTGGAGGCATCCGGATGGGAAAACAACGGAACATCCTCTAAAGATGGGTGTTTTCGAGTGTTTTCTACATGGTTAGGTGGGAAATCATCAATCAAAAAAGGAAGCTGTAAAAAAATCATGAAAAATAAAGGAAACAAAGGAACATCGACAAGAAATACGTGACTTTCCAGCAATGCCCATGATTGATTGCCAGATGTTGTCAGCCAATTTTGGGACGGTTTACCCTCTGCATTTCATGTTTTAGGGTCAGATCTGCCAGTATGATTCAACCAGTTGTTAAAAGGGGCACTGTATCTGCCAAGCCATCGTAGCAGCAATGCATTGGGATATAGCCCAGCACCAAGTCCCGCAAGCGGAACTTTATAGAGTATCCAGTGGTATAAATATTGATACCGTCTGTTGGTCGTCGACATGTGGTTAACTACATATGATTGGTGTGGGCAAAATGCATGTTGGTCCAATTGAGTTTCTGAGCATTTGGGGATATGGGTATCCGTTAAAGTATGTTGAAGTTCTTCTCTTGGGTCCTTCATACCCGGCTTGTCATGTCAATATTGCATGACGCCAACTTGATACAATACATACTTAGCCAAAATATGCCCGCAATGCACTTCAGCAAATCACTTCACGAAAAAAGGTGGTGCCCCGTAGTTACAAGATGTTACAAGATGGTTTATGAACCCATCTAGCTGTACAATCCGATCCCAACCGTCCAGCATAGCTAATCTATCTATAAACCCAACCGTCCAACGAACTGGGACACCCCCTTCAACCGCCGGTCAGCGGTAGACTCTGCGCCACGGTCATCTTGATCGGAACTGATCGGGACTACAGCAATCCCCGAAAAAAAATAACTCAATTCGCAAAGAGGTGCAGCAAATCACTTGAATTAGCTATTGAAAATTTGAAAAATGGGTTCATGATAATTTGAAAAAAAAACAAACTACCCTCTGGTAAACGTTTACATAGCTATTGAAAGATCCACCATTTTATAGCTGGGTAAATCCACTATTTCTATGGCCATTTTCAATAGCTTTGTTAAATTACCAGAGGGTATCACCGGTGGTTTCGAAACTGGTTCAAAGAATTGAACTGCTCTGGATCACATCTCGTTGCCCGATGGCACTGTTGCATGCCCGGCTGCCGGCAGAAAAACATCAAGTCATAAAACTACCATGGACTACTATATGACCGTAGCCAGTCGTCCGAGTCGACATGGTTAACTACAATCATCATGGCTATGCCAACCATTCAAACAAACATCTTGCCATCTATGATCAAACATCAACCCAGTCACCAACCTCTAACCAAGATTTACACATACCGAGATACATAGCTCTCGTGTGGGTGTCAGGATCAACGTATCCGGCTTGCCTTCAAAAAACGAGCTGGGCAACCCGCCGGGCTAAGGCCAATACCAAACCCAAATGGGACAATAATGAAGGACAAAAGGATGGGGAAAAAAGGATGAACCAGTTCTCTGGTAGGCTGGGGCAAAAAAAACTACAAATATATGGTGGAATACGTTCAACAAAATAAACAGTGTGGAATTGGCAAAACTAGCTAGAACAAACATAAGAATTCAATATAAGGACTGTTGCTGAAAAATTGCTTACACAACAATCCAATACAACCATCAGTATACCTACAACATACAGTACACCACGCAATTGGGATGGAACAATCAGGCCCATCCAGGAAAAATTGGTTGGCACCAAGCCAAGCTGTCTAGAAAGAATTACAAAGTGGGGCCCCTAAACGATAGCGAAAAAATGATCTATTTGGGATACAAAGTGGTGCCCCATAGTTAGATAAGTTGGCTTATAACTACCATAACTATGGTTTATGGCAGATATAACTATAGTTAATGGGGTTTATAAACCAACTTATAACTGGGGGGCACCATCCTGTAATATAACTCCAATAACTATGGTTTGTGAAACAAAGGATGGCAACCCTCAAACAGATAGAACATTTGCACACCTGGAAATTGTGGGAAGACTTAAAAAAAAGGTTTGGAAACATTTGGAACACGTGCCAATCTTTTTGCGGATTATTATAAGCATCTATAAGCGGTAATCAAACATGGCCAGTAGGAAAAACATCTGCAAAATCACATTGTTCACCAAGAATGTAATCTACAAATGTGTGTTTCAAGGGAACTTATTTGTAGGATGTTCCCTTGGCGGGGTAGAATACCGGAGGGTCGGTCGTCGGAGATTCAATAACATATGTCCACCCGGATAATATCAACCGGTCGTTGGGATTCCCACATGCTTTGGTGTGTGCGCATGTGATAGGTCTACATGAGGATCATGAGGCTGTCTCACAACTGAGAACCTTAAAATCACAGTGCTTATCATCATCTGAATCATATTCCTTAAAAAACAACTGATATTGGGAGCCATCCCCTAGTTTGAGACAAACCCACAAAGCAGTTTTGTTCTGTATGAAAATAGATTCATTATCACTTCCCTATTAAAATGGTAAAGTTGCCGGTATGATCCATTTTCAGACATGCGCATGCATTTTCCAAAAACAAGCGACAAAGTTAAGCTTTCTTGGGTTTTTGGGCTTTCATTATCATGACAATAAAATCCCACACAGTCTCCCACAAAATCCGATCAATTCATGCATACTATACAGTTATGGCCATTTATTACATAGTTAAACATAGCTATAAATGGGATTATACATTCTATAAATGGGGTTAGTTCAGTACTTATCACTGCGAAAGGGCCATAACTGTAGCAATAAAAAACCTTGGCGATATCTTCCCCAATATTGTGAAACCACCTGGGGCCCAGGGCCCGGCTCGAATTGCAGTCCCAGGTGCACGCTCCCTGGAAAGGCTCTTCCTGGGCAGAGGTTTTGGAACCCACCAACTGACCAGAGTTGCAGAAGCTTAGATCTAAAAAGTAAAATGCTGTAAGTGGACAACTACAGTTATGGCCCTTTACCAGTTATAAGTACTTATAACCCCATTTATAGAATGTATAATCCCATTTAGAACTAGTTATAACTAGTTAATGGCCATAACTGTATAATTATTAATTTACCAAATCCAAGTAGGCCATTTGGATGTGATTCTCTCATAGACTAATCATCAATCGCAGGGACGTCGCAGTGATGTCGTCATAATCTACCCATATACGTACACCTATATACATATATATATATAGTGATCCTAAAGTAGATAGAATATTTTTTTTGGAGGGCGCGGGATTTATGATGGAATTATGTTGGATGTCGGCCACTGAAAAAAAAAAAGGTAGTTGGAATATTTCGAACCCCCCCCGGGGAGGTCGAAAACTGGTAGTTGGAATATGGTTTGGAGGGTCTCAAGCTGCTGTGGGGCCTGCGCGTGGTGTTCACAATTCCCTCAAAATATTCTATCTACCTGGTTTGAAACAATATTCTATCAATCTATTTTTTGGTGTTGTTTGATTTTTGTATTTTTCAAAATTTCTCCAAACACGTGTCCAAAACTGGCTAAAAATGACTTAACAAAGACGAAAAACGTGTAAAAACTGAGGGTTTTGAACATATCCCAACTATTTATTTATTTTTTTGTTTTTTTTTGAAAATGTCCGATATTCTATCTACTCCAGGATGACTATATATATACATATAAAATCATACAAATATATACGTATATATATATAATATTATGAAACATACCGTATACTATTGTGCATGCGCCTGAATTACTTGATTTCTGCCTTGCAAGGTAAACCACGAATCTTATGCATGTGTGACCGTGTGACCAGAACTTCACCCATCAATGAACGATTTACCAAAGTTTCTATATACATCTATATTACCTGGGTAAATTATAATATTTCACTAACCTGAAATAAGGCCATTTTGGGATGATTCCCCTTACTAACCATGATTTCCAGTGAGGTCGCAGTGAGGTCGTTATAATTTACCCAGATATTATATACTCAAGGGAACAGATATCTCACAAGTCGATTTTGTGTTAATTAGGTGATTGATTCCTCAATGGAAGTATCGCCAGGTATATGTGCCATGGTCGAAACATGGTATATTCAGTTTTGGTCATCAATCCCACAATAGGATTCCTTACGACAGGTATATAATTTTCTATAAATTGATTGCTGGCCATGCCCAATTATATGAGCAATTTGCAGTACCCCAGTTTTGACCATGGCACGAATGGATTGCGTTCATGGTTTATAAATCATTTACCCTTTGGTTATTTAACACAACTATAAACATACTATGGAAGCCATGGCCCATTTATCGATACATAATCATATTGATTTATGATGATTGAAATTTCCCTCCTTAACTGTCAAAAAAACATGATGGATTTTCCACTTCGCAAGGGCAAAAAAATGCCAATTTGGGTCATTCTGGGCCCGGCACATCCAACGTCTCCCGGTTCGCTTTAGGACCGCCAAGGTTCCAGACTGCCCACCGCCTTGTGGTGTTTGATCATGCTGGCCAGCATGGGGATCTGCGCCATGGGCAGATAGGTGTTGTTTGGTTTGCAAACCCGGTAAACTAGAGTATATAATATATATATACACTATATATTATATACTATATACTTATAGATAGTTATATATAAGTATATGTATATATTTAATGATATATATATATATATATCACAAACAATGGTTATTGGAGTTATGTTCACCAACTTAGCTATCGTTTGGGGCCCCTCATTTTATACACGGTTGTGCACCGCAGGTGGGTATGGGGGCAAAATTGTGGGTACCAATGGACCAAACAAAATCCTTCCTGTTCTTAGCACGACCAAAACGCAGAACACAAAACGTACGTTCTGGAACGCGCGTTCCGAACGCAGGGGGGGGATAGTGGTTTTATGGATCCCAGAAGCCTCCCAATCCTTTTTTTGCTCCTTGCAAAAAGGATCCGCTGTGTCACATAGAATTTTTCAACAATGTTTCAAAGTCTTCTTAGACCTCTGTTCTTAGCACTACGATAAAAATTGTGAGAGGTCAGAATCTTTTCCTTTCAGAGAAAAAAAGGATCCGGGAAGGAAAGCTAACTTGCCCCACAAGCCTGGTGAGGCCAGAACCTTTTTTGCTTCACCCAAAAAAGGATCCGGAGTTGGGAAGATCAACTTTCTGGTGGCTTCATACACCATTTTGAGCCCATAAGAGCTCTCAAAATCCTTTTTTATTTGGGGGGAAAAAGGTTCCAGTGTCCAGGCCCAGGAAATAAGTTAACTTTATATCATCGGAAAAAAAGGATTGACTCAGAACGCGCACTCTGGAACGCGAGTTTTTAAAACGCGCGATCCGAACGCCCAACCGTACCGAACGAACATGCTAAGTTCCTGTTAAGCCATCAATATCCATCTATTTCTGGACCGTAAACAAATCTAATCAACACACAGTTGTTGGAACATTATTTGTTCTGTTTCACGGTTCCCTAGCATCGATAGATTGTCGGGGAGTCTTGGCCACTGCCTTTGCACTTTGAAGAAACTGTTGATTACTGTTTGGTGTGTGAACCTGAACAGAGTGGCCTTGAGAATGAACATTGCTAGGACATCAACTGATGCGAAAAGACTTGTTTGTTCAAGCCACCTAAAACTTGAGATATCATGTCCATTATAACCCATTCTTTCATGGTACTACAATGTGTTGCATCACAAACAGTTCCGTCTTTGCCTTACTCCAAGCCCATTGCCTGGATTTTCGTGGAGGTTGGCAATCTCAGGCATATCCCAATGTTTCCCACTTGTACGAGGCTGTTACTCATCAGTTACTGCTCGACACCGGCTTGGTTTTGCACATCTTGCTGTCATTTCGATGGTTCTTTCCGTTTTGTTGTGTTTGCCATCGGTTTGCTCCGTCACTTCTTATATCCAATACTTGATCTACTCGTTTTTGCGCCGAACACCTTTTACACGCATAATCTTTCTAAATACGGCCTTTTCCAAAGCCCTTCTCAATATGGCCCTTTCCAAAACCCTGGTTTACATACATGTTTTGGTTTGAACTTAAACTGTGGTTTGAACAAAACCAAATGTTTTTGCATCAAAACTGTCTTTTGCACAAAGAACTGTTTTACACGAAAACCATGTTACCCACAAACACTATAATTTACACAAAAACAATGTTCTTGCTGGGCCTGTGAAAGGGCTGCTTGTGCCTTACAGGATAGCTCTTTCCATGGTGGCCGGCGGGACACGCCGCAGGCAGATAAATTGCGATAGTTCTTGGTGTATCAAATACCACCATTTTGACTGAGATCCCAATTTGAAGGCAAATAATGCCAATCAAGATCAAAACCACACCCAAATTTTGTGGTGGTCATCGCAGCACCGCCAGTCCCATATGCCATAGCAACACTTGGGTATGTGTTCATGTTTCATTGATTTGCTGTGGACATCCCCAAATATAATATTAAGTTTGTTATATTTATACCCTTGATCCCAAAATCCTATAATTGATCCCAAAACATCCAAAATCCTCTTATAAATTGTAAATCCCCATGTTCATCCCTAGTCATTCACTAATCTCTTTGTTGACGGCTAAATATCTACTTTTCAGGCGTAAATCCACGTATATTGTTGTACATTGTCAAGGACAAACAAGACAAAAAGGTACGTGCTGAACCCCTAAGCGAATGGAATTATATAGTTCTCTTTAGTTTCTGTCCGTAAACCATATCTTCCTAATTATGGGCCAAGAAACCATTCTAACTTATACAGTTAAAACATGTTAAGTTTCTATTGATTAAAATTTTAAATCCCGAGTTTTCAGGGTCAAAGCCCTGTACAATCCCATCCCCATTCTATTAAACACCCACCAAACCGCCCCAAACATCTGTAACTCCCCTATTGAACCATGGTTTCTTGCGGGTGTCTAATGCAAACAGGGGAAGCAATTATTGTGCTTCGACAAACTAGTAGTATTATTGTCATTATATATATTATATATATATTAGTATGATGATTGTTATCATACTATATTATCATCAAATCGTTAGTGTAATAATCTTGTTTGTTAGTATTATATCCTTCAATTTTGGGTTTTATATTTTTGTCCATCCCCATTTTAAACAAAGCCCTCAAAAGCCGTGAAGTGCGTCCATTCCCTCTCCCGGGGCTCACCAGGAATGCTGCCGTCTTGCCGCTGCCGGTCTGTGCAGAGCACATCATGTCCCGGCCTGACGCGAACGGAGGAATGGAGGAACGAATGGTAGGAAATCCCGAGGACTGGTTAACTTGGTTGATAGTAAAAGATAATAATAGTTTATAGTTAGATGGGGAGTGCAACTATATGCAACTATACTAGTCTATACTTAACTAACCAGGGCTAGGGGGGTAACTTGGTTGATGACTCTAGCAAAACTGATAACTCAATTAATCAGGGTTTATGGTCAATATAACTAAAGTTAGGTGAGCACATGAACCAACTCATACCTAGGGGGCAGCACCTTATAGCACCTTGAGGTTCTGGTTTATGCAAAAAAAAACCTTCCAAAATATGATAGTAGGCAAGAAGAATAGTGAGACTCAGCTATCAACACCCCCTCACTGTTAACTGACTCAGTGCCAAACGACAGTTTTAAACATCTTTTTCGTGGCTGCTGAATATAGTTGAGATCCGAGTTTGGAGTGCTGAATCCAACATTGGCGACTGACATGTCTTGCCAACTCGACACCCAAAAAACATGGGCGTATCTTATTCTTGGGATGGTGGTTGACATAGGACGTGTGTGTGTGTATTTATTTATATATATATATATATATCATGTATCGAAAGCACTAAACACATTATATGTTGACTAATTTGTTCTACATGGATCCATAAAGGCATAGATCTCCCTGGCAAATCGGCTTCGGCGGATCGGCGGATCAGGGATTCCACAAATCTGGACTTCCCATTGAACCTGCTGGTGTGAACCCCAAACTACGTTGGTAAATAATCCTTATTGCCACGTTCCCAAAACCCGTTTGGAACAACTTTCAAGCTCCCAAATCCACCATGGTGATGATGGATGCCTTGGCACAGTTCATGATCATGAATCAAGCGCTTGAAAACTGTGCTGGTGGTAAATCATGGTCATCCGATGCAGTAGTACCTTTAGCCTTTAGCCATACCTGCTTGCCAGAAATCTACATCTTAATCGTTACATGCCACACGTTATCATTTTGGTTGATTTCAACAACACTTCTAGATGATGAAAATTATTCCAAACCTCCATTTGTGGTGAATGCCCAAACAGTTCCGCATGTTTTTGGACATTTAAGCTATGCCCTTTTCCCACCTTCGAGGCCAATCGGAATGGCATATCTTTGCACCGGTGTGGGCGTTTTGAAGCCACACCTCGCATGGTTTTGAACGGCGCCGCAAAAATCACAAGTCAACGAGCATTTCAAAGCTGACAGAATGTGGACATATAATGAAATATGGGTTTCTCTTAAAGTAAGGTAAATGCCCCACGATTTAATGCTTAATCATCCAATGTACCCCATTAAAAGTTACAATTTTGGTCAACCATGGGTGATTTCTGGACACATATGTCATGTCCAGCTTTGGGATGGAAAGGGATTGGCTCAGCCACGGAAGGGTATCTCACTTTATACATACCAATTTTCATGGGGAAACTGATCATTAACCATCAAATCAGAAGCTATCCTCTTTTCCCACATATCTACTGTCTTTATCAAGTGTGGGCATTGAACGATGTCATTGAAAGGTGTCCTGCACATGAATCATCTACCAGAAGTCTGCGATATCAAAGAAAAGTTCCCATTAAGCAGTTCCGGGATGACATGCAAAGAATCAGTTTGGGGAGGCGCGCATGAAACTGACGAACTACACCATTGACACTCGAAAAGGTAAACAACTTGAAGGATTAAAACTTATTATAACCTTGCAGCCAAAAAATGAATTGAACACACAGCTAAGTATGGACCCAATTCACGCTTTAACTAGCTCTTGGATAACTATCAAATGGTTCAGAAACTCTGGTTAGGTTCTAGCTCCAGCTCCCCATGGTTCGTTTGCATTGGTTCAAAATCCTGGGAGCATGACTACTTTTACCCTGTTGAAATAAGGCAATGGGTACCGAAACGGTTGGTTAGTGAAGCTTACAGGAAAGTTGGTTTATAAAGCAAATAATCATGGTTTGTGGTAGATCTAACTATCGAACGCATAACTGGGGGGTACCTTGAAATCAAAACAACATATTAACGTATGAAATTACACAGCCAAGGCTTAGCCAGGAGATCCCTTTTGACACGGAATATCACCAGGGGATATACCCAAGATCTCCAACCCTGGCCAGCTAAAGTGTCCGATCTTGCTTTGTTCTTCCATGTTTGGGGCTGCCACACGGCCTAGTCCACTGTTGGTTGCTGAAACAATGTGATGTAATAAGTATATTTGGATTTGATCAGTTGTTGCTGTGCCTACATGGTGTTTCTATTGAAACGGCTAAATCCCTGCTAAACAGTGATTCTCATCTAATATCAAGTACAACCCTCAACACCATGTTTGAGCACAAGTTCTATTCATTGTGGGGTCCCGTATGGCGGTTACTTAACATCGGAAGGGATTATTTAACCACTTGGGTCACTCCAATATTGCTCCCCTACAACTGGGGATTCATCTCCACCATGCCCAGTTCCTAGAGCGATACAGCAACCTACCAACAAAGTGGTGCCCTAAATCCTTGGTCAAGCTGGTTTACAAGTAGATTAATGTTGGTTTTGGTAGGTATATCTATGGTTGGGACTGTAAAGCAACTTAAAACTGGGGGGGCACCTAGTACACCTAGTATCTTGGTGGTCCTTCATTCTACAAGCTTCAATTTCCTTTCCAAGCAGCTTCTGCATGTTGGCCCAGAGAGAATCCGGGATCCGTCCCTGTAGCGCCGGCCCGTTGTGGTGGGATGAAGGCTTGATGGATGGTGTTTGGTGGTTGGGCCACACATCACGAAATAGGCGGAGTCACGAAATAGGCGGAGGTCATTGGGGATCATAATCCGGTTTCTATGGTTGAACAATTCGAAACCACCAACGAGTGGATTGTGTATACTTCTTTATTTGTGCAACATTTTCGTGGACGTGTAATCCTACTATATGTCCTAACGTAGATTGACGAAATATTCAAACCCCTTCTATCTGGTACAACCCCCTCACCCCCAGAGTTCAATGTTAATGTAACCTGAAGTGCTTTTTCCCTAATGGACGAAAAAAATCAAACCCCTAACATCACTTTTGGTAACATGCGCGCTGAAACATTGAGATTTGGGGGTGCGGGGGTTCAACAGAGTGCGTGTTGCAGGGTTTGAATATTTTGTCCATCTTCTGTAGTTTTACAATCTGATTCAGCTTTAGGCACAGTACCTATATGTACCTATGCTTACACACCACATCCCTTCAGTGAACATCCCGATATGAACGCCCAAGCTGTACACTGCATGTATCAACGACATGCGGGTCAAGAGTCCATGACATGCTAAGTAAAGTAAGCACCTAAAGTAGTACCTACCCAATCAATACGTCACTGGCTTGGTTTAGGAGTTAATCTACAGGAAAAAAAACATGGTTGGCCATCGATTAAGCTTGGATACGTGCGTTTCCGGTGAATTGTTTGCAGAAACCTTTAAGATTCTAGATCACATGGTTTATCTTGCAAATACGCTTGCCTTCCACTGGATTACATGAGCAAAGCAGCGTTCGAAACCGTCATCCCCAGTAATAGTTCTGACTGTTTTTTTCCTGGGGTTCCACAAAAGGGTAACCGTCATCACAAGTAAACCAGGTAACTACACCCGTTGCCAATGAACACGAATTCATCGAGTGCATCCCACATGTTTGATGGTTGCAAAACCTATATAAATAGAGTTTTTTTTTATCACCCTTCAAAATTAGTTCTCCCATCAAATCCCATTGTTATGACATGAGTTTCCGCTCCAAAAAAAATGGTTTTCCAATCCCCTGGGTTTTAGCTGCCGGGGCCAAGGAACTGGATAGCGATGCCAGAGATCATCGAAATCCGCGAGTTCTTGGATGCCGAAATGCACGGCGTTTTTGCACCACCATAGGTCGAGAATAGAGGTACTGTACCCTCTGGTAAACTAACATAGCTATTGAAAATTGCCATTTATAGTGGATTTTTACCCATTAAATAAATGATTTTCCATAGTTATGTTAGTTTACCAGAGGGTACCGCTTGAGATTTGGGGAGATATCCCCCTTACATAGCCCTTACAATAGGCCTTACAATAGGCCTTACATTTGCCTCATGTATGGTAGGTACAGTACCTCCAATTTGAGGACCTGATATGGCCATTGAACAGGAGAACGTGACAGTTTGGGGGCAGCTATGATTGTTGACAGCTGTTAGAAAATACATATATTTATTCCCCACCTGCCAGGTGAGGGTTGTTAGATTTTATCAGAGCTGTTCTCCTCCTCCTCCGCCTCCGCATCCTCCTCCTCCATCTCCTCCGCCTCCTCCTCCTCGCAGTCCAGATCCCAGTGGGCACAGCCGGACCTCCACCGTGAGCGCCAGATCCCAGTGGGCACTGCCGGACCTCCACCGCGAGCTCAAGATCCCAGTGGCCACTGCCGGACCTCAACCGCGACTTCCAGGTTGCAGTGGGCACTGCCGGACCTCAACCGCGACTTCCAGATCGCAGTGGGCACTGCCGGACCTCAACCGCGACTTCCAGATCGCAGTGTCAGAAGATATGCCAGATAGAATGTCAGAAGATATGTCAGAAAGAATGTCAGAAGATATGCCAGACAGAATGTCAGAAGATATGCCAGAAAGAATGTCAGAAGATATGTCAGATAGAATGTCAGAATACATGCCAGATAGAATGCCAGAAAAAATGTCAGAAGATATGCCAGATAGAATGTCAGAAGATATGCCAGAAAAAATGTCAGAAAAAATGTCAGAAGATATGCCAGATAGAATGCCAGAAAGAATGTCAGAAGATGTGCCAGATAGAATGGCAGAAGATATGCCAGAAAGAATGTCAGAAGATATTCCAGAAAGAATATCAGAATATATGCCAGATAGAGTGCCAGAAAAAATGTCAGAAGATATGCCAGATAGAATGTCAGATAGAATGCCAGAAGATATGCCAGATAGAATGCCAGAAGATTTGCCAGATAGAATGCCAGAAGATATGCCAGATAGAATGCCAGATAGAATGCCAGAAGATATGTCAAAAGATATGTCAGATAGAATGTCAGAAGATTTGCCAGTAAGAAAATGTATAAATGTCATGGTGGGGATCATTCGAAGTGAAGTAATTTGTTTTTTTCTATAGTCATGTGTAAATAAGTATACATGCAAATATGTAAATATTTTATAGGAACACAAATATGTATGTTATTTCTACATATATATATAACACCTAGCAAATATGTGTGTATATATATATACACACACGTTTACATATATATATATGTACATGTATAAATATATGAATATATATGATAATATATATATATATGATTATATATATATGATTATATATATATGATTATATATATGATTATAACTATATATATATGATTATATATATATATACATATGATTATAAATATATGATTATATATGTATATGATTATAAATATATATATATATATGATTATATATGTATATATAGATACACATGTGTAAACATATTTTGATGCTAGGTGTATGTGTGAATCTATATTCATACAAATACATTCACACATGTGTACAGTATGCAGCATGCATGTTTGTGAATAGACACTTGAACATATATACATGCAAGACAAATATGTACTATTGCAATCTATTGTACATTTATATATATATATAATATTATAATATGTGGTACCCCGCGCCAAGACCAACACTTTCATAATTGCCTGGTATCTACCTAAGTTTCTCACAATTTTGGGTGATGATGTTTGATCATTGTAATACTGCGCAGTCCCTTGAAGACCAGCTACAACTCCCCGTGCCAAGGCTCTCGTTATGTTGTCAGCATTGTTCCCGCTGACTTTCGTGGACACCGATTCGTAGAGGTTAAAGTCTGCTCCCTCACCTGCAGAAAAACAAACACAGGGAAGTGTTTTTTGTGGTCCCAAGATAGGTACAGTAAGTTGCATTATAGCTACAGCTACAGTATGGTGGTAGGCCTTATGGTGAATATAGCTATGCTTAGAGCGGTTTGGAATCAACATAAACCAATGGTTTCACCACAAAAAATGCAAACCGATCTAGTCAACCAACAAATATTGGTGTACATAGGTCTCTGTTAGTTTATAAGGTCTAGAACTAGGATTACGATTTTGGGTGGAGATTAATCCACAGTTAAATGAGTATACAAACCCACATGTAAGCGCTGTGGCCCAAATTGAAGGGATTGGATGATGAAGCCAACACTTCAGCGGGAATAATGAGTGTGACAAGCTTCAGTCGGAGTGCCCATCCCCCCCAAAAAATGAAATGTACTTGGTATCTCAAAAAGCTTGCCCTCAGGACCGGTATGGCACGGAATGTTGATCTAGTGATCCCATTTTTTTTCTTGTGGCCCTGAAATGTTTGACCCATGCCCATTTGAAACAAAGAATCCACCCTAGAGTGAGTAAAAAATGATAGGTATGGAAGATCTACTATCTTACAATTATAGGTATGGAATACCTACCATGGAACAACTGAGAGGTTGTTGTAAATTATCCAGACATCACCAGTTATCCGTTGCTGCTTAACCCACCATTTTCATGGGATATATCACCTTTTATTTACCCGACTTGCTGCTAAACATGACAATGCGGGCCATCCGGGCTATAAGTTGGTTTATACACCCCGTCATCTATAGTTAAAGTATCATGAACCATGGAGTTCTTTCAACTAATTTAGCTATCGTAAACTGGGACCCGGCTAAATGTATGTTTTGCCCCATTTGTGTCTGTGGCTTTCCGCTGTGGCGAAACGTCGAAGTTGGTCCCGTGCCTACCATTTGTCGGCAACCTTCGAAGGGATCCGCAGACATGTTGCTCCCTGCGCGTGTGGAGGACGGAAAGTGCTGTCTGATTTAGTTGTAAACCATCGCCACTTTCACCATTAATAGGTGGTAAAAGAAAAAACAATTCCCAAGTGAGTGGTTCATTATTGTTTTAACTTGTTTGAAGCACATAAATGTCAAGAAAATACTTGGTGGCTTGCCCCACTTAATAAGTGGATTTGAAGTGGATGATCACCCTACTTAACTCACTATAACTAGTTATGAGCCACTTACTAACTCGGATAAGCCACCAAGTAGGCAGTTGAATTGGTGGAGCCCCCAAATAATACACCAGGGTTTCTGGATCCCGGGTTGACATCAAGTACAATGCTGTTTAAACTGGAAATAAACATCCATGTAAGACACATCGCTATGGCTCAATACAACCCAAAACAGGTGTAGCATTCTGGCTGAAATCGACCATTCACAAAGCTGACGCAAGTTGACTTTGGGCTGGTCCCTGTAAAACTAAGCATCATCTATGGTGACATTGGATGGGGAGGTTGTTGTGAAAATCTATGATATGAGCAGTACAACCAAAAGGCCCTTTTATACTAGTTACAAAAAAAACAAAAATGTCTTAAATGTCCTAGTTCATGCATGGTGACAATCCCCAAAAGAGTGGGTAGCAAAAGCCCGTAATTAATCAATCAGCACTGCCTTTCGGGGAGTTGAAGACTGTCAAAACCTCATGCAGTCAGACTTACGTTCCCCTTCCAGAATATGGGTAACCAGAAATCAGATCTGGGATCTCAGTTGCGGAACGAAGTTTAGGTCAACATGGCTTGCAAACATTTGACTGATTTTTTTAAGCTAGGTAGTACATACCGCGATATGTGCCATGGTCAAAAAACAAAGCATTTGTAGTGGGCGGGGTATGGTCATGTCATGATCAGTATATAGGGTTTCCTTACGATGGGTACACAAATCCCTATGAATCTTCATGGGTGACCATTCCCTGTCCTGGGGAAAAAAACGTAACTTGACTATGGCATATAATTTCCATATCACTCAATACATCCCAATAACATCTTCCCATATTCCCATTCTACCCCCATTATACCAGATCATGAAACTAAGCAACCCAGGCCCCAGAAAAGGCATCGACAGCGGAACTTCCCACATGCCAGCCTGGAGGATTTCCTTGTTGGATATACCACTCCTGGGTAATAAAAAGGGGCCTGTTTTCAAGCGGTGAGACAAATGCTACCAGGCCCCAGTTGATTAGCTAAGTTGGCTAGTAGTTAGGTTTAGTGTTGGGTTGATGATTGTTTATGGTGATGAAAAACAAAGCTGGATGGTGAACATAAACCAACAGCACTAGCAGTGAAAAAACCCTTGGCAAAACCAACTGCAAAATTCTAGTCATCACTAAGATTATCCACTTATGCCATGGCCATGGAAAACCCAAACTATATCCATTCATATCTCAAGGCAATTGGTGCTACAATAGTTTCTGTTATGGTCCAACCAGTAATGGGAACCTTTACTATGTATGCAATATAAAACCCTGTGAAAAGGGTGTCCGAGTTCCTATGGGAAAATAACATGTAACCTGACCAGAGCACACATTACACATGTCATAACAAGGGCTCAACATGGAGGGTGAACATCCAGTTGTCAATGGCCTAAGTCTCGACATAAACTCCTGTATTCATTGAAACATCAAATACTAGAAAGTCCCAGAATGAACACGGTAACCAATGGATTTGCGGATTGTAGTTCGCAAATCAGAAGTAGATAGCGACCCGAACAAAACAAGAGAAACCAACAAGCCCTAATGCAATCATGTATTTTTTTTTGGTAAAACAAGTTATTTCAACATTTTTTCACATTTTCCTGTGTTACCGTGCCAGTGTAGATTGCGGAGCGTGGAATGGGGTGGAGTGCAGAGTGTGGAGTGTGAAGACAGTGAAGACAGTGAAGACAGTGAAGACAGTGGAGTGTTGAGAGGGAAATGTAGTGTGCAGGGTATGAAGTGGGGATTGTGGTGTGTGAGGTGTCTGTAACCGTAGGTTTTTCGAAGTAATTCGCATGTAACTGTATATATATATATATATAATACGAATTGTAGGGCTTCGCACACCGGTGATGCCCTTGTCCCCCAGAATGTCACCGGCTTGCTCTTTTGCTGTTGTTGTTATGTTGTTGTTGTTGCTGTTGCTGTTGCTGTTGCTGTTGTTGTTGTTGTTGTTGTTGTTGTTGCCGTTGTTGTTGTTGAGCACAAGAAAGGCTTGTGTCAGGGATACATGGGAAACAACAACAAGTATGATATGTGTGGGGTAAGTTTTTTGAAAACGGTGTTGATTGTATGTGATATTGAATATTTTGCTATCAGCTGTCGGACCGTCCAGTGTAAAGTGTGGAGTGTGAAGTGTAGAGTGTGAAGTATGAAGTAATATGAAGTGTACAGTGTAGAGTGTGGAGTGTAAAGTGTAGAGTGTGGGCCGTGTCCTAAATCCGCGCCTGCCAGGCAATTCAGAACGTTCCTCACACGACAGATCTTTAAAAACACCCACTAAATCACCATCTTCCCCAGCCCGTCCTGAACTGCTTTGAAGTCCTCACGGCAAAGTAGCTACAATGTGGGGCCCAGAGATAGCCAAGTTGGTGAACATAACTCCACTAACTATGGTTTATGATACTTATATAATCTTATATACATATAACTAAATAGAAAATCAAATATACATATATATATATATATACATAACTATATAGCTAATGGGAGTTAATGGGATTGATAACCCAACTTATAACTGGGGGCCCGGCGCACATTGTATGTGATCAATACAATTCTTTTGTCGTTCTCCTGATAGCTGGGTACTGGGTAAATTACTGGGATATAAAACCTTAGGACAACGGATGGAATCATATATTCAGGATGAAGATTATACAATTTAAAATGAATATATATATATATATATTCGTATACATAGGTGAATATATATATATATATTTATAAAAAAAACAAAGATAATATATATATATATATGTAATCCTAAATAATATACAATAATAAAAATATAAATATATACATTTACAAAAACATATAGTACCAACTGGTGCTTTAACTTAGCCAGCTGGATTCTTAAGGATTGAACTGAACATATTGGAGAATCATCGTTATAAACGAAGAATTGAATCGATTGGATTATGATTCCAACGGGATTTCTTCAACATGGTACATGAGTAAAAAATAAATGGAATACTGCTTAAAATTCCCCTTTCCATCCATCCACTGAATCCCCCATACAGTGGCCATTTGGGGGTTGGGAACCGGCTGACAGTGGCTAGTCGCGAGGGAAAAGGCACAGTTGTGTTTTTGTCTGCACCAAGAAGATACCGCCATGAGAAGTGCACATAGATTTGCGGAGATTATCATGGTGCATTTGTTTTAATCTTTCCAACCTCCCCAAACTCTGAGCGAACAAGCCTGCAACAAAAAGCTGGGATATTACTATCCTCCGGCAATCAAACGTGGCTGGCTGGGATTCCCATCTATACATGGAAGAATTCTAATGGCAAATATGGCAAATCTATCAACATCATCTATTCATGGCGGATGTTCCATTGCCATGTTTGACTACCTGAAGGCAAAAGGAACCTTAAGATCTGGATGAACATGTGATGAATGATAGACACCATGTGAACCGGGTAATAATGAAACCGGAAAAAACACTGATGACAAAAACAGCACCCGAGATGTCGCGATAGGTTTGATCGCACCCTTGGAGCTGAGGGGCTCTCCAGTAGTTTGCAAAGCGTCTCCTGAAGTTCGTCTTGGGAGTTGGAATGAAAATAGGGCCCTGGATACATTGGTTCGTCATAATTTACATTAAAAAAAGAAAAACAGCCCGGTTCGGGTATCCAAGCAGTGAATCGAATTTTGTTGCTGAAAAACTGTGAGCTTTCTCTCAAAAAGTGAGAACCTAAACCACAAAAAAATGGACACAAGGACCACGGTGGATGATAGAAATCCTGCACCATTTGGAAACTATTCCTATATGAAACACTGTAAATAACTATTGGAAATTAACTGGCGCAGGACTTCTTCCATCCACAGTACCTTGAAAGGAATGCCGCACACCTGGGCTAACAATTAAGGAGGTTGGCCAGTAAGGAACCATGCTGCAGTGATCAACCCGGCATCACTTGAACACCTATATATATATATAAGTATACATGCCTGTATGTATATATATATGTGTGTGTATGAACGTATAGATATCTATTTCTATGTATATTTCTGTAAGATTTCTTTGGGGATGTCGGATGCTGCGCCAGTTTGTGGCCATCTCTGGCTCATCTCTACCAGGTTTGGATCATCCTAACAAAACATGGCATCATCACATACATCTGTAAATAGGTGCATGTTAGATCGAATGTACATAATTCTCATAATATACAATATGTATAATATATATATATATTATACATAATTAAACACTATATACATATATATATATGTATATATCTGCGTATATCTAGTCCCTCGTGGAAATAGATCTCCCCTGAGCCCACTAACTCTTCAGCATTGTATTGGTTAATCATCACATGTTTCATGACATTGAAAATCATTGAATTGCCACATATAGATACGTAATCCCTTCTTACTATTACAGAACTCCGACGTATAAAAAAATAGGATTGGTGTGGCACTTCGTTTTTTTGTTGGGCACAATTGGATTCTTAATTGAGGTAATTGAGAATCAATAGGAGAACAGGATGGTGAAACAATGGGTTCAACCCCCTATTCATTAAAATGTATTGCCACCTGGATGTTTTTTTTATTAGGGTCCCATCCCACAACTTTTATCTTTTATTTTCATTAAGGTTTTCATCAAATTTTGAAATCGAGTCTTTTCATTTTTATTATGAGGGTTTTTCTTTGGAATATTAGGGGCACCCGCATACAAAGTACCACCCAACACTAAAAACAGATCACCGTGTCTACATGGGGCGTGTTCTAGTAATAGGGAAAGATCCCCATCTGGTGCACTCCGGAGAGTCCTGTCCTGGGAAAATATCGTGATTAATTTTTGGGGTCCTGACCTTTTTAAGATTAAAATCCTGGTGCTTGACCTTACTTGCCGGAATTTATAGTCTCAGACGAATAAAACTTGCAGGCAATAATTTCCTGATGCTTAAGGTTTCCAGAAAGGCATTTCTCCCCCTCTAATATCAATTAAATTCCTGAGTGCCAACCCTTATATAATGCTCAACAAACAACCCCTCAACACATGCTGTTAACCGACTTATTTCCTGGGACCCAAGGTTTACATATGAATGTTTCGAAGCCCATGACAGATTCGAGTGGGGGCTATCTGAAGACGAACCCAAAACTCAATTGTTTATCGAATGAATTACCACATTCCCAATTACTTGGGAGTATGTAAAATTAAGAATCAGATGCTTTGGGGCTTACCGCAATTTCACGACCACCCAAATTAAATCACGTGTTAACAATTTCCTGGGCTGCACGGACCACAACTTTAGCAAATAACCCGTGCCTGGAACATATTAAATCGTGGATCCGAACGTTTCCAGCTCATTTTATGTGTTGGCGAAGCTGAACATATGTCATATGTGTTTGCATCCTTTCGCATGGACAAATTTATTTTCAGCAAAAAAACATGTGTTTTGCATTTTGAGCGCGCATTGACACAAAATTCTTGAATTTGTCCCATCCTTTACTATCTATGGATGGTTGACCTGGTGATGCGACATTTTTCCTGTGGGGCCAACCTTTGAAGATCATCCGCATGTATTCAGCCAAAAAAGGTCTAGCCCCTTGGAGTTTATTTTTGACACCTGCGCCTCGGCCTCTTCAAGTCACCTTTTTTGGTTGGTGAAGCTGAACATATGTGGTTGCAGCCTTTTGCTAGGACAAATTTATTTTCAACAAAAAACATGTGTTTTGCATTTTGGGCGCGCATTGACACAAAATTATTGAATTTGTCACATCATTTCGTATCTATGGATGGTTGGCCTGGTGATGCGACTTTTTCCCTGTGGGGCCAACCTTTGAAGATCATCCGCATGTATTCAGCCAAAAAAGGTCCAGCCCCTTGGAATTTATTTTTGACACCTGCGCCTCGGCCTCTTCAAGTCACCTTTTTGGTTGGTGAAGCTGAACATATGTGGTTGTAGCCTTTTGCTAGGACAAATTTATTTTCAGCAAAAAAACATGTGTTTTGCATTTTGGAGCGCGCATTGACACAAAATTCTTGAATTTGTCCCATCCTTTACTATCTATGGATGGTTGACCTGGTGATGCGACATTTTTCCTGTGGGGCCAACCTTTGAAGATCATCCGCATGTATTCAGCCAAAAAAGGTCTAGCCCCTTGGAGTTTATTTTTGACACCTGCGCCTCGGCCTCTTCAAGTCACCTTTTTTGGTTGGTGAAGCTGAACATATGTGGTTGCAGCCTTTTGCTAGGACAAATTTATTTTCAACAAAAAACATGTGTTTTGCATTTTGGGCGCGCATTGACACAAAATTCTTGAATTTGTCACATCATTTTGTATCTATGGATGGTTGGCCTGGTGATGCGACTTTTTTCCTGTGGGGCCAACCTTTGAAGATCATCCGCATGTATTCAGCCAAAAAAGGTCCAGCCCCTTGGAATTTATTTTTGACACCTGCGCCTCGGCCTCTTCAAGTCACCTTTTTGGTTGGTGAAGCTGAACATATGTGGTTGTAGCCTTTTGCTAGGACAAATTTATTTTCAGCAAAAAAACATGTGTTTTGCATTTTGGGCGCGCGTTGACACAAAATTCTTGAATTTGTCCCATCCTTTACTATCTATGGATGGTTGGCCTGGTGATTTTTCCTCTGTGGGGCCAACCTTTGAAGATCATCCGCATGTATTCAGCCAAAAAAAGGTCCAGCCCCTTGGATTTTATTTTTGACACCTGCGCCTCGCCCTCTTCAAGTCACCTTTTTGCTTGGTGAAGCTGAACATATGTGGTTGTAGACTTTTTCAAGGACACATGTATTTTCAAAAAAAAACAGTGTTTTGAATTTTGGGCGCGCGTTGACACAAAATTATTGAATTTGTCCCATCCTTTACTATCTATGGGTGGTTGGCCTGGTGATGCGACTTTTTTCCTGTGGGGCCAACCTTTGAAGATCATCCGCATGTATTCAGCCAAAAAAGGTCCAGCCCCTTGGAATTTATTTTTGACACCTGCGCCTCGGCCTCTTCAAGTCACCTTTTTGGTTGGTGGAGCTGAACATATGTGGTTGTAGCCTTTTGCTAGGACAAATTTATTTTCAGCAAAAAAACATGTGTTTTGCATTTTGAGCGCGCATTGACACAAAATTCTTGAATTTGTCCCATCCTTTCCTATCTATGGATGGTTGGCCTGGTGATGCGACTTTTTTCCTGTGGGGCCAACCTTTGAAGATCATCCGCATGTATTCAGCCAAAAAAGGTCCAGCCCCTTGGAATTTATTTTTGACACCTGCGCCTCGGCCTCTTCAAGTCACCTTTTTTGGTTGGTGAAGCTGAACATATGTGGTTGCAGCCTTTCGCTAGGACAAATGTATTTTCAGCAAAAAATATGTGTTTTGCAAATTTGGGCGCGCGTTCAGGACAAATGTACCCCTTTGCAAGGACAAATGTATCTTGGGAATTTGTTCCTGATGTCTAACCTACGCACATTCAGCATTATAATCATTATAGCACCATTTCCACAGATTTAAATCCTGGTTCCCAACCTTTTAGAGTCATGTAAAGAACCATACCCCCTCAAATAATCATGGGGCATTTTTTTCCTGGGGTTTGACGTACATATATGTTCCAGTGAACTCCCCCCCATGAACATTACTTTCCTGTGGCCGGACGTTTGCAAAATAATCTTGAAATATTTTTGACATATTTTGAACCAAAATTGTTTTCCTGGGTTCGAAGGGACGCAGGGTTTTGTATGTGCAAATCGGATCAAATCGGTGATTTCAACATTATTTTTGGGTACTGGACTCCCAGGAAAATAATCTGCATCACCAGATGGTGGTGGGAAAGAGGATCACATATATCGTTATATCGTTGCTTGTGCTTGGTGTATGTACATTACCAGGAATGAACTTTTTAGCTGCATATTTGCAGATGTGTAGATCACCCATCCGCCAGTCCCATGCTTCTCTTCCGTTCCAAGTGTCTTCTCGGCTTCTTCCCAGCTCTCATTCGCCCTGTCGTTGTTGGCCGCACCCCAGCCTTCCCAGCCGCCCGTGGCGTCGGCCGTGTCGGTGGGCGCAGAGCTGCTGTAGTTGGCCCAGGCGTTCCCGGCGTTCCCGGCGTTCCCGGGCTCCGCCGGTGCAGCGGCACCGGTGGTAGCACCCCAGGTGCCCCAGGCCTTGGAGGTCTGATGTTTTTTCCTGGTGTCAATGAAAATTTCAGGATCCTAAAATGGAGGTACGTTAGTACCATATGTTTGGCCATAGTTTGGGGGTATATCCCCTGAAATTTAGGCCTTAGATAGGCCTTATACATGGTAGGTACCTTCAATTTAGGTTCCTGAAATGGCCATTGATGGTGTGTTATTTGATGAGCATACATTGGTAAGTACAAGGTGGTGCCCCCAGTCGATAGCTAAGTTGGTGAACATAACTCCAACTTCACTATGGTTTTTGTAGGTGATTTGATGTTGATATATCTATAGTTAGTGGGGTTTATAAACCAATTTAAAACTAGGGGGCGCATTGGTAAGTAGGTTGTATGTGTATCCAATTACGTGTGTGTATATTATGTAGTATAAATGTATACATACATGTATCTACACATATGTGTAAACACATCATACTTACATGAAACGGAAAATGTCTTAAAACGTAAGTATACAATGGTCACATGTAGAAGTAACTCATTATGATGTAATAAAGTAGTATCAACCTTGGGTTGACAATCTCATGCCAACGACTTTAGGATCCTGCCAATCTACTCAAATCATAAAGTTGAAATCCGAAAAGATAAAACCCAATCAACACCGTGGTTGTCAAAGGAGTGGAGAGAATATTTATGCAGCTTAAAACAATCCCAAACATACATAGACCATCACAGGTCAAGCAGCGTCTTGCGCTGCACTCTCTTGTTGCGGCTGAGAATTGTCATAACCTGCGAAGGGCCGAGATCGGGAATTTTTAAAACTGCATCAATCGCTACTTGCTGGTTCCTCCAACTTCAAGCTGTAAGCTGAGAAGTTTGAAATGGGCTATATATTAATAATATTACCCTCCACTAAGTTAACATAGACCCTGCCAGATAGGGGTTGGAAGATTAGTTTCCATGAAAAATTTGTTATTTTCAGGGTCTATGTTTATTTACCAAAGGGTAATATAATAGGAGTCAAGTACAGTCATCGTCCACCTTTGGGAAGAGCAGTTCCCGCAACTAACCTACAACAACTTCGTATGTTGATGGACACTTGGCATAGGGGGAATCTGTACTCCATAGATTGTCGTGCCCCCTACGGTAGTTATCATTGTTGGCAAAGGTTGACCCATCCAAAAACCTATCACGATCTATCAGCAACATAAACCCAACACTGCCTGTGGTACACCTGTTGACCAATTTAGCTAACGACTAACAGTGACTAACAAAAAAGGGCACCACCTTGTATAGGCACATTATTCTCTACACTCATCCATCTCATCTTCTTTGTAATACCCAACTTGACTTCGAGTGGCTATAGCCCGTGGTGCCATTGTTTGCAGGCGTCGGCGTGTCGTTCCAAGCATCATAAGTCGGCTGCGGCTGACTGTACTCCTGCCGGGGCTGAGCATAGTTCTGCGGCTGACTGTACTCCTGCTGGGGCTGAGCATAGTTCTGCTGAGGCTGCGCGTATTCCTGCTGGGGCTGAGCATAGTTCTGCTGAGGCTGAGCGTATTCCTGCTGGTCCCACTCGGAAGTCCTCAGTGTCAGAACAAGCTTGGCCAGCAAGACTACGGATTGCGTCAAAAAAAAGGTTGCTCAAGGCATCTGTTGGACAAAAAGTGCCTATGAAAAACACATGACTGGAGCTGGAACGCAAGAACAGTTTTGCAGGTTTGAGCTGGGATTTATTGCATCATCTTTTCAGACCCCATGTCGCAATCAAATGAAGCGGCCAGAACACATTGTTGAGGATATTCTGTTCTTAAATGGATTTGTCTGAACATAGGCTACCACTAAATCCAATGGTTCATCCTCACGTTCCCTATTAAGATTGTTATCCTGGGGGTAAATTACCATCCAAATGTAGATTATTGTTTCATTGTTGTTTGGTTGTTGCTTGATATAGAAGTACCTTGCACCAGCGCCGCTGAGACACGGCTGCTGTGCATAGCCGTTCTGTTGAGTGCCATTCCTGATTTTCGCATGTCAGCTTTGTGGAAAACTGAACAAGGGATTTTCGAAAACATCCGTGCACAAAAACAAAAACAACAGGGAATGGATGTGTTTTCCCTGATGTTGGCATGACAACAAAGCATATAAGGTATTTTTTTCGGGGTGGGGCATGGTCACCTAATTGTGTAGGCTTGGATCCACTGAAACCCGCCCCTGAAATACATGCAGTATTGGTTCGCAAGGTCGGGAGGACAAACTGATGGTGAAAGAAACGGATAACATGTTCATATATATATATATATTATATTATATATATATGTCATGATTGAATATATACATACATTTCCATTCATGAATAAACAATCACCTACTCACCTACCAAACTAAGGTTTACACAGAGAAAGAGAAGTCTTGGGATGTCGACGGATGCACAAATCCCACATAGCATGTAAGAAGACCATGCCCAATCATGGATCTGCAACTTGCGAAGTAGAATGCACATCCAAGTACCCCCAACTCATCCAAGTCATGGACGACCATGACTTCGTATTCAATCAACCATGGTGACTTGGGGATCCCCATGACTTTAGAAAAAACCTAGCCAGCATGACTGATCCAATCACTGCTAATCTACGCCAACGTTTGGGTATAAATCTATAGATAGTGTAAGTCCCGAGCTGTTAACCAATCAACAAAGGCAAAGTGTGGACATTGCCACCAATTGACCCCTGAACAAACCATTCACTGAGGCTGAGTCCCCGATGCGATGGTGGCTCCTCCCACGTGCGCACCATTGCCAGCCAAGGTTTTTCTTCAAACATTGTTTTCTGATTTGTCTAATTCATTCTAACATAATGGATGTATACTATGGATTTTCGTAAGAGATGCTGGGGTTCTAACCAACCACGGTATCCCAGGGTAAGATTATGCGAACATAAGATACTGGTTGGTGGTGCAATAACCATTTTGAAAAATATGAGTTCGTCAATGGAAAGGATGAAATCTCATATATGATATGGAAAATAAAAACAATTTTTGAAACCACCGACCAGGATATGTATATTACTATGGGCAAAAACATGCCCTGACCACCGGTATCGTTCCGCCCGCCGGCCAGCCGCCCCGGTTCCGCCCAGCCACAGTGCGTCTGGCATGTTCCAGGCGGGTGCATTGGCACGAAGGTTGCCTGGGGCCCAAGGGCCCAAGGGTGGGCGAGGTGAAAATGGCTGGGACGTGGCTGGAAAATCCAGAATGAAATGTCGGAAATCCACTGAAATCCACGAAGTAAATAGAGATTTAAAGCTGGGAAAATCATCGAACTAAATGGTGGATTCACCTGAATGCGGATGTAAGCTGCAAACAACTGGTTTCTAGCAGTAGTAGTAGAATTTGCAGATTTCCAACTCAACAAACTGAAAATATGAAGCTTTAGCCCCAAACCTGCAGGCCTCCATTTTCCGTATCTGGTAGTCGAGTCCACGCCAATCCAGCAAAGACACCCCCCAAGGTAATCCTCGGTCGCGGGGATCCTGCTTCGGCCAAATCACATGTGTGCATACAATATACATGAACGATTATAACTGAACACATACTGATACATATATAATTACAAATATATATTAACAATAAAAAATATTTACATAGTATGTGGATATATATATATATACACTTACAATCACTTACATATATATTATGATAATACATCTGTGTATGTAGCTGCATTTATTTAAAAAAATGATTATATATTTGATTGTTGTGGGTAGGATAGATAGACTCATAGGAAAACAGAGAAGTTACCACATGATAGCAAGTGGAGCCGCTACAGTGTAGCCGTAATCTTACAAGGTGTTGCCCGCCAATTTCGGATTGTGTAAAAACATCCACCAACTATAGACATTCTATAAAAACCATAGTTACCTGTACACATATAATCAAGTATACGTATATATATATATATTATATGTGCGTGTAGAATACATAATATACATAAAAATGAAACTACGTACTACTACGAACCATAGTTAACCGATACACCAAGCTAGCTATCTAAGGATGCCCTGCAAGATTGTGTGCCTCCTATATTACATTGCCATCAAAGCGTTCGAGGCAAAACCAGCTGATCTTTGTGACCAAACTCACTTGGGGGTTTGGAAAGCAAAAGGGTGTGTATGTGGCAAATATACCGTGGCAATGGATGTACATCTATTAGGTATTATTAGGTCATGAGTTCATAAAGAAGCCTCACATTTCACAATATTATTATGTCATGAGTTCATATACAAGTCAAAAAAACACAAAATTATTGGGTCATGAGTTCATATACAAGTCAAAAAAAAACACAATATTATTGGGTCATGAGTTCAAATACTAGTCGAACATTTCACAAAATTACTAGGTCATGAGTTCAAATACAAGTCAAACATTTCAGTTCACTATATTATTAGGTCATGAGTTCGTATACAAATACATGCAAGTAAAACATTTCATAAAACGCGTACTTCGCAGATGTTGTATGTCGCTTGGGATACCAAAACCAAACTGTTTTTGGCTCAACACCTGGGGTACACGTTCCGACATGGTTGCCTCGCTATTTAGCAAGCATCTCCATGTTTGTGTGCCATATCAACAATTATGTCAACTCCAGCGAACCGTGGCCTTTGACCACTTCCCGCAATGCAGGCAGTTGTAGGTTGGCTTATAAATCCATTTACGTGTACATATCCACCATATATCCGGGGCCATTATAGTAATTCACTAAAGAATAATGCTATATGAGCAATCTCGAAAACTCTAGGTTCATGGACAGGACATCCACAAATTTGGGAAGGGCCCATCGCTTACCACACGTTTGCACAAAAATCATATATGGCAAACTTGGGAGGTATCGCATGCAGGAAATTTTAATGATCTACTTGACTCCAGGGCGGAGGCTGTGCTTCGTTTTTGATCAGGCATCTTCGCTGCAGGACTTTGAGCTATCTGAAGAGGTGCTACTGGAAGAGGTGCTTTGCAAATCTCCTTTTCCCCACCTGCCAGGTGAGGGTATCTGGATTTGAACCCTGCACCACACCATGCCACACTGAGTTTCCAGCTTCCTCGGCATGGACAGCCAGCTTGTTGGCCAGCCACCTCTGTACAGCCACTCTATAGCGAGCTCTCCAGCTCTCCGGGCCGACAAAATCCGGAATGCTATGGCGCTTGCCAGCTTTCTGGGCCCCTACGGGAAGACTATGGCGAGCTAGCCAGCTCTCTGGCCCCTACAGACCCGAACCTTTGCCAGAAAGAATGTCAGATAGAATGCCAGTCGATCGATCAATCGATCTATTTATCTTACATCTCACCATCTATCAATCTATCCATCCACTAGCTAGCTAGCTAGCTATAGTTAGCTGGCTACCTATCTATCTAGCTTTCTCTATCTAGCTTGCCACCAGAAAACATGAATGTGTCACGGACTGATGTGCACCTGGGTGCCTGGGACAGAAAAAGGGGTATTGCGTGGGTATCGCTTAGGCATCGCTAGGGCATCGCTAAAATTCACCTCATAATTTTACAAATTTGGTCTGCTGATACTGTAGTACTTTGTCAGAAAGCAGCTTCACGAAACAACAGCAGTGCGGAGCTAGAGTCAGCAGAGAGGCAAGCAAAACAATGCAAGTTCACATGGGTGTCAATGGAAACGCCCTTCAGCAACGACACTAATTTGTCACAAGGAAGCTTCGATTCACTAAACAACAGCAGTGGGGAGATAAATTCAGCGGAGAGGCAATCGAAATGGCGAAAGTTCAAGTGGACAGTAAATGAAAACATGCAAGGCAAGGATGTGAAGGCAGCTAGCGAAACAAACATGTTTACAGGGACTTGCCTTCCGCTTCTGCGAATTCCCTTCTCTGCGGACCACTCCGTGGATATCAAGAAGAACACTTTCTGAGGAGCACGTGGAAAGATCTTGAAAGGGGGCATCGCTTATTTGGGAAAGTCCCATCGCTTATCTCGTGTTTCTAACAATTTCCTTTAATTTCCGCAAACCAATGTCCGTCCCTTACATGTTTAGTATTGCCGGGGTTTTTGCGGTGGCTCATATTGTGACAATTTGCCTTACTAACCATGATTCCAGGGTTCGGTCGCAGTGAGGTTGTTGTAATTTATCCAAATGTATCCTTACAAAGTGGGGCCCCCTAGATCGCTAAGTTGGTTTGTAACTCCAATAACTATAGTTTATGGTACTTGTAACTATAGTTGCTGGGGTTTATAAACCAACTTATAACTGAGGGGCCACATTGTTCTGGAGTTATATTAGCGATTTTTAAGGGGTCCCCAGCATAGCTCAGAACGTTTCAGGCCCGCCCTGCCACATTCTGCCACTCTTTTGGTCACGTGGCTTGCTCTCACCTTGGCAATAGGAAAACTGGAACTACCCTCTGGTTATGACTAACATAGCCATGGTATAGATGGCCCATTTATAGATGGTTTACCTATTAAAAAATGGTGCTTTCCATGGCTATATGAAATAACCAGATGGTAATCCACAAAACATGGATTGAATATGGTGTACAAAATAAAAAACGAACATGTTTTGACGTACAGATTGTTGCTTTACAACGAAACGAACCTAATGATTCTCATGGTTGAAACAAAAAAATGTTTTGAATTTATCCTAGAAACATAACAACACAAATTGGTGATAAACCAACAGGGGAACATTCAAAAAACAAAAGCAACACCCTGGACCCATGCTGATAGTTCTCCTGAAATCATACAGAAGCATTTCAAACAGAAGCCATACAATGTGGCCCCCCCAGTAATAAGTTGGTTTGTAAACCCCAGTAACTATGGTTATAAGTACCATAAGCTATAGTTGCTGGAGTTACAAACCAACTTAGCGATCGAACGGGCCCCACTTTGTACAGCTGAAACAAAACCTGTCCAAACATTGCAATTCAACCTGCCTGTGTAGAACTCCATGACCCCAAAGTTGGATACCAATTGGGTACCATTCAGCAAAGGAATATAAAAACAGCACCAACTGATCATACTTGCATTTAAAAATGGATGATGTAGACTTGCAATACTGGGGTTTTTGTGGATAATTCCTGGGATGGTACACTTGAATGAAATCGTGAGTGTAAACATATGCAAGCCAAATAACTTGTGGGGGCCAACATTGCCGAATGAGTCAAACACAAGGCATATTTGAATATATTTGACCTAAATTCGGTATTTATCATAGGCAACGCGACCCGCTTCATACAAGGGCATTTTTTTCGGAGAACTGCACAAGATCATGAACGACGTTGCATTTCGTAGCTCGCCAGAGTTTCTGGCTCACCATACGATAGGACCAATTACAGGATTTCAAAAAAGGATCTCCACAAAATCGTGCTACAGGGACCAAACTAAGATATCCGTGCCAATGTTTGGGAACTAGAAGTTGGTTGGATCCGGTTTTGTCATCAAAAAAAAATCGCTATTGTTTATCGACCGCATGAGTTGTATCCTGAAACACAATGGCCAAATTTAGATACTCTGCCAGCATATATGCATAGTTACATAATTAAAAAACATACCCTCTGGTTATTTAGCATAGCTAATTATTGAAAAGACCCCATTTATAGTTGATCTACCTATTCAACATGGTGATTTTTCATAGCTATGTTAGTTGACCAAAGGGTAACAAACACCAAACTATTCATCCAAGGTTTCACCATGTTCACCAAATATCCTTGCTTCTGCCAAGGCACTGTAGTGGTGCCTTCCAGGCAAGGCCGCTATCTCCAGCACACCCTCCCTGAGGGTTCCTGTCACCGAGCGCGGAACAAAAAAACTTAATGGCCATTTCAGGTACGATTTATTGGAGGTACCTACCTTAAGGCCTATTTCTTAGGCCTAAATTTCAGGGGATTTGCAAGCAATTTCTCGTCCAGAGGGCTTCGAAGTACCCAGGGATTAAAATTTTCCACCCCCAGGGAAAAATATCAACACCTTAAATTTGCTTTCCGCAGAGAGTCAACAATTCCGCCTCGAAATGTTGAATTCGGAGCTTCGTATGTCGGTCTATGCCGGGTAAAACAATGTTTTGCCCGAAACGCAACGCGTTGCGCAGCCCTAACTCCACATCCTGCATCTCATTCCACTACAGACAATGAGGTATAACACCAAAAATAACCCCCAAAAAATATCCCCAACAGCAACGAATACATGAAAAAGTCCACAAATGTTTGTTGGAATGTGAGAGCTGTTTGAGATAAACCGAGATAACAACAAAAACTTTGCTTGGACACCTGTGCCTGGACACCTTGCTTGCAAATCTGTTCTTGGGAGCTTTGCTTGGGAACCCTTGATGGTAACGTCCCTTGGGAACCTGTTCTTGGAAACCTGTTCCTGCAAACCTGATCTTGAAAACCTGTCCTTGGAAACCTATTCCCGAGAACCTTGCTTGGAAACCTGTCTTGGGAACCTGTTCTTGGAAAGCTTGCTTGGGGACCTTGCTTGCGAACCTGTTCTTGGCAACCTTGCTTGGAAACCTGTTCTTGGAACCTGTTCTTGGCACCCTTGCTTGAAAACCTTTTCCTGGGAACCTTGCTTGGGAACCCTTGCTTGGAAACCTTGCTTGGGAACCTGCTCTTGAGAACCTTGCTTGGGAACCTGTTCTTGGGAACCTTTGAGAATCTTTGGGAACCTAATCCTTGTTTGGAAACCTTTGGGAACCTGTTCTTGGAAACCTTGCTTCTTGGGAATTCTGTGGGAATCTCTTGCTCGGAACCTTTGGGAACCTTGCTTGAGAACCTGGCTTGGGAGCTGGGAATCTTGGGGAACCTCTTCCTGGGAACATTTGGGAACTTTGCTTGGGAACCTGGCTTGAGAACCTTTGGGAACCTTGCTTGGGAACCTCTTCCTGCTTGCTTGGGAACCTTGCTTGGGAACCTCGCTTGGTAACCTCGCTTGGTAACCTCAACCTTTGGGAACCTCTACCTGGGAACCTTTAGCCTTGCTTGGAAACCTTTTGTTGGAAACCTTGCTTGGGAACCTGGCTTGGGAACCTTGCTTGGGAACCTCTTCCTTGGAACCTCTCCCTGGGAACCTCTTTTTGGGAACCTTCGCGAAGCTTGCTTGGGAACCTCTTCCTGGGAACCTTGCTTGCCTTGCTTGGGAATCTGGCTTGGGAACCTTGCTTGGGAACCTTGCTTGGGAACCTGGCTTGGGAACCTTGCTTGGAAACCTTGCTTGGGAACCTTGCTTGGGAACCTTGCGTGGGAACCTTGCTTGGGAACCTTGCTTGGGGACCCGCTCTTGGGAACCTGTTCTTGGGAACCTTTGGGAATGTTTGGGAACCTCTTCCTGGGAACCTTTGGCCTTGCTTGGAAACCTTGCAAGAGAACCTTGCTTGGAAACCTTTTGGAACCTTGCTTGGGAACCCTGCTTGGAAAAGTTAAACGGCTTTGCTCAGTGGAAGACAGTCGAGACGTGTGCACTACGTCTCTCCTATGTGCCTCGAATGGGATACCACGCCAAGCACTCAGTCTCAGCCGATCCATCCACTGTGACCAAAGCCATGGACATGTTGCAGAAGGATTTGGCTCCTCTCAAGAAGCTCCACAACAAGAAGCTTGTCGAGACGGCGATCGCGGTCATGGAAACCACGGATCGCATCTCCAACCACAAGATCCAGCTCAAGGCCATGGAAAAGTGGAAAGTGTTTGGAGCACCCTGACCGACATGGAGAAAGAGGAGCTCAAATCTCTCACCAAGAAGCGCCAAGCAGCCTTGGAGGAGGACGATGTGGAGCTGGATTCGGAGAACCACACAGTGAATGATGCCAACATGGATGATGGGTCTGAGATTGAGGATGTCACGAAGAAGGGCAACTTCTTCTCTTCGACCTTCATGACTGGCGATGAGCGCGTTCCTGATGAGCTCTATGGCAATATAAATATAAATCTTTTTGACGCAGCTCATGCTGAAGCTGCTGAACATTTAATTCATGATAACGTCCCCTGAGGTGATGCCCTCAGTTGCAAAAGAAACAAGTTTCACGAGGCAAAGGAGCTCGACGTGATGTCCCCGCTCCCAAGCCTGTCGGCGTTCCAGTTCCTCAACGATCTGATGGCCCTGGACCTCTTCCCTGGCGTATCGTCAAAGCTGCTGTAGCCTTCATGGGCATGATGTCTTTGATGGTGCACACTCATCTCCGTGACTTCCTGCAGAATGACACTGTTGATGGATGGGAGATGTTTTGTTCGTCTGAAAGTTGGTTGACAACAGCTGGTCGTGCAGAAGGGCTCCACATGAGTCGCATCAATTTGCATCAAGGCGGTGTCCATGGACAGCGCTCAACTACAGGACTGAGCAGGAGCAACAAGCCAATTTCGCATCCAAGCGTCGTAGAGAGCGCGCCATGTTCAAGCTCCTCATTCCTTCATCTTGGACTTGGCAGCTGAAGATCCTTATTTGGAGCTCTTTTGGGAATGGCCAACTTGTTGTTTTGGTTGGCAAGAACCATGGCTCCTGCGGCTGGAAAAGCTTCTTCAGGATCAAGGTCGCTCGTGGCTCCGAGCTCGAATATGACGGGTGCAAATATGGACTTAGATTTGCTACCGGTGGATTTCTTCCAAATTTCTTGCGACAACATCGGAAAAGTTCAATCACATCTACAAGGTGAAGACTTGCACAGGGTGGCATGAACATGAGTGAACACAAGGATTTTTATTCTTGGCACATGTGTCGCTCCATTGCCCAGACTGGGAAGTCTGAACTATATCCAGAACAACTTCTACAGCGTCTTCATGCTCCTGTCACATCCATGATGACTGAGGAAGAGTGCTTGTTCTCCCTTGGACTTTGTGGAGCCGAGCACGAACTTCTTCCCAGAGTTTTAAGGATCCTCCGACAGATCCAGAAGTGGTAGAACAATGGAAGGTGCACATTGTCAAGTACCATCGCTCAGCTGGTCATCCCAGCATCTACAACCTTGCCAGGATTCGTCGTGATGCTGGTCGTCCTGCATGGCAAGTGAAGGCAGCTTTGGACTTGCACTGTGATGAGTGAGCTGCATCCAAGCTTGGCGCAATTTCCAGTGGTCGCATACCACCAGCATCTATGCGGCCTTTGCCAAAAGCTTGGGAGAGCGTTGGTGGACTGCACCGAGTGAACACCAGGCAAATCACAGATCAAGTATACCATCCTGGTCTGCATGGACTTGGTCACAAAGTTCAAAGCCACTCGCATCCTTCTAGAATGTGGACTTATACCCAACAGTAGACAGAGTCAACGTGGAATCTTTTTCTCAACTTTGGCTTCAAGACAAGCCGAAGCTAGTCAATCTGATCCCTGGCAAGTCTGTGACTTCATCAAAGATGCGAGAAGTGCTGTCGGAGATGAACATCATGCTTGATCCTCCAGCTCCCAAGGAATCGTGGGCTCATGGACTTTTACAGCGTGCGATTCAGGAGGTGAAAGATGTTGCCGCCAAGATTGTCCTGGCCAACCCTGACCTTTCACCAGCAACCTGCTTGACCCTTGCCACCAATGCCCTCAACTGCAAGGCTATACGCCATTCCAATGGGTTTATGGCAGCCAGCCTAGACTTGATGATGAGGATAGTGCGGCCTTTCCTATTGAACCCACTGAGGCCATAGACTTCACTGCTCTTCTTCAACGACGACAAGCGGCAGAGGAGATCGCCAGAAAAGTTAAGCTGATCGCACCCTCAACAAGTTGCGCAACTCCAAGGTGCGTCGACCTCTTCAGACCATTGCTGCCATGGAATTAGTGAAGATCTGGAGAAAATATGGTGATCCAACTGGTCCTCGAGGTGGCATGAAGAAACAAAGCCGAGCTCAATGGATAGGCCCTGGAAGAGTTGGCGTCCATGAAACAATTAATGGTCAACATCCTCAAGATCAACGGCGGCATGTCGTTTGGGTGGTGATCGGTGGCACAATGCACCGTTGCTCAGTTCATAGTGTTCGAAAGGTGACAGCCCGAGAGCGCTTGGACTTTGAATTGCGCTCTCATGAAGATCCAGCACGCTGGAAGTCCTTGGCTGACCTGATTCCCAAACGCTCCTATGTTGATGTCCTGCCTGAAGAACCTCCAGCCGATGAGGAAGAACTTTCAGAAGATCTCCCTATGGAGCCTGATGCGAAGACCATGCTGCCGAAACCAATGGTCCGACATTGGTCCAAACACCCTGTCAGGACACCTTTGCCCAGCATTGCTGAAGCTCCACCACAGCCCCTGAACTCCTATGATCCATCCTTTTCACCAGCGGTGGGTGTTGATGATGAAGCTTTGGGCAATACTGGTCTTGGCAACGGTATTCCAACCTTGGAAGAAAGGTCTTCGAGCTCAAGGGCAAGACTTAAGGATACTTCATCTCACGCACCTTGAGCTGAGCCTGACTCCAAGAAGGCCCGTGTTGATGATGAAGACGCAGTGTCTTGAGATGACTGAAGATTTCTATGTCCTGGAGTCTGACCTTGAACTACCAACAGCCAAACAAAAGCAGCGCCTGATGGGAAATCCAAGCCTCTTCCTTGCATCCAAGCTTTGCGATTGTGAAGTTCGACTAGAAAAACTGAAGCCGGAACTACGTGAGCTGTTCCGCCGTGCAAAGTTGAAAGAGGTCAACAGCTTTCTTTCCAACAAAGCAGCTCGTCGCTGCGAGAATGCCCTTCAAGAACAAGAAGCTCGTGATTCTAGTCGTCTTACGCGCTGCCACTGGGTTTTGACTTGGAAGCCCACTCCTGATGAGGCCTTACCTGAGGCTATGGATGAAGTGGCCAAAAAGCCTGATGACAGCACCTTCACATTGGATGGCAAGTGTAAGGCCAAGGCAAGAATTGTTCTACTTGGCTTTGAGCATTCCGACCTTTTGTCAGACCATTACCAGACTGCAAGTCCGGTTCAAGCGGTGCTGGCAAGAAACCTTTCCTATCAACTTGTTCTTCAAGAAGGTTGGGAAATTGAAGGGTTGGATTTGTCAACGGCATTTTTGCAGACTTTACCGTCAGAAGAGACCAAGAAGCTTTGGGCCACAGGAGTTCAAGAACTACGTGAGGCGTTGAACTTGCCTCCCATTGGAATTCTTCGCATCTTGAAGAACCTCTATGTTTGGTGGTTCCCTGAAAACTCTTGGTGCAGTGCAAATTGTTGGAGATCCCTGTTGATGGATTTGGCGAGTCCCTGTCACGCCTCAAGATCAGTAACTCCTTGACTCTCAAAATCCCCTTCATGACAAGATCAAGTGCAAGACTTTAGGGTTCATGGATGGGCATGTTGATGATTTTCACCGAGCAGGTGATTTGTCCGATGAATGATGGCTTCAAATTCGTTCCAAGATCGATGCCATGTACAAATGGGGACAGCTGAAGAAGAATGAGTATACCGCCACGCTGGCACTGACCTCATCTTGACTCAAGATCCAGTGTTTGGAAGGTGCCTCACTATCGATCAAAGCTACTACATTGAGGTGCTCGAAGAAATTCAAATTGATCCTCAGCGCTTCTCCATGAGGACCATGTCTGACAAGGAGATCTGTGCATGTCGGGGCGCGATTGGTGCTCTTCAGTGGGTAGCAGTTCAAACACAACCTTTGGTGTGTGCTCGCTGCAACTTCTTGCTGTCTGAACTTGCTGGACAGCCAGCGATGCGTGTGGCCCAGGAGATCCAAGAGTTGATCAAGGAACTCAGAGAATCCAGCAGGTTTTTGAAGTTTTTCAGAATCCCCAAAGTTAATCATTGGGTTTGGGTGATCAAGCACATCTAAATAGACCAAAAGGCGGTAGCACCGGTGGTTTATACTCATTTTTTTGAGTAATCAAGATTGAGCACTTGGCCAACCAGCTCCTATGGTTCTTGTGACATAGAAAACTTTCATGCTGAAGCGGGTCGCCATTGGCACCAACGACGCAGAGGTGCAACCTTTGCCTCCGAAGAAGAAGCAAAGCTCGTTCTTGGATTGCTTGGCACGGACTCAAAGGGTGGTGAATGAGAGTCCCATGTTTGGTTTGTCAAACACTCGCTGTGCCATTCAAGCCTTTCAGCTGAAAGAAGCCATTCCACTATGTTTGACTAGACTGGCCAGTGACTGGAATCTTTCCGAGTGCATGATCAAGAAGAAGGAAGAATGCCGAAAATCCCTGGAATTCTTTTTGAAACGCCGAGTTTGGATGTTGAAATTTGATCCAAACTTTATATGCACAGTCTGCTAGGAAAGAGCGTGCAACCAAGGGCAAACCAATCCAGCAGTCGCAAGGACTACAGACCAAGAACTCACAATAATGTTAGGGTGATGCAATTCCTTCAGAGTTGTCCCATTTATGTGCAGCATGAGTAGTTCTGGCATGTTTTTGTCCTTTGGCCCAAATCATTCAGAGGGCCCTCTTTTCGAAGCCAACTCGTGCGCTACGCCATGAAAACAGGTCTCGTGTGACTGTGCTTGCGAGGTGGCTTTCAGTACGCCCATTTGATCGAATTGTGTTGAACATCTCATTCTTTGGAACATCCATCAATTGATCTTCAGTCGCAATCTCAGTTCCTGTCTTGCTACCTGAACCTACCCAACCAAAATTCAGCAAATGTTGGCCTAATCAACCCCTATCTGTTTGAATCATTCCCGCAGTCATGCAACTCTAATGCAGCACATGCAATTCCAAAGAGAAACCCAGTTTCGAAGTACATATATTCACATTGAAATTATCTGAAGCACACATATGTATGTATATATGTATATATATATATGTATACATACAAAGATGATCAAATTGTTTTTCCTGCGTTTTTTCTCTTCCCCAATGTCTAGGATTACCCGGAGCGGACCTGTCGATTTTCCTCCCTGCAGAACCTCCCCTTCCAAGAAGACTTCATCACCTACCACGGTGAGGCCGGTCCCAAGCAACACGAAAAAGTCGGGGATGTACAGTTATGGCCATTGATTAGTTGTAAATACTTTAAACACCATTTATAGAATGTATAATCCCATTTCTAACCAGTTATAGCTAATAAATGGCCATAACTGTATGGTTAGAACCTTAATTCACAATCATAGGAATCATAGGCAAATTGATGGCTTGAAAAGTCAGGCGATTTTCTACAGTTAAGTGAGTTGGATGGGCAAAAATAAACGGACCATTTTTTAAGAGGGACACTTGAATGCCGGGGTAAACTATTGTGTTTTGTTTGGTATGTGTTGGCTTATCAAGGAAAAAGCATAGGTTAGGTAGGCAAGTAGGTAGATGGATGGATGGATGGATGGATCGATTTGGTAGGTAGGTAGATAGCTAGATAGCTAGATAGCTAGATAGCTAGCTAGCCAGATAGCCAGATAGCTAGATAGCTAGATAGCTAGCTAGCTAGCTAGCTAGATAGATAGATAGACAGATAGATAGATAGCTAGATAGATCGATAGATAGATAGACTAGATCGACTGATAGATAGATAGGTGGGAAAAAAGAAAGAGAGAAAGAAAGAAAGATAGATAGATAGATAGCTAGATAGATAGCTGGATAGCTAGATAGCTAGATAGATAGATAGATAGATTAGATAGATTAGATAGATTAGATAGATAGCTAGCTAGCTAGCTAGATAGATAGATAGATCGATAGATAGATAGATAGACTGGATCGACAGAAGATAGATTAGATCGACAGATAGATAGATAGGTGGGAAAAAAGAAAGGTCGATAGATAGATAGATATAGATAGATATAGATAGATATGGATAGATATAGATAGATATAGATAGATACAGATAGATATAGATAGATATAGATAGATATAGATAGATATAGATAGATATAGATAGAAATAGATAGATGCAAATAGATATAGATAGGTACAGATAGATATAGATACATATAGATAGAGATAGATAGATATAGATAGATAAGGATAGATATAGACAGATATAGATAGATATAGATAGATATAGATAGATAGGTAGATAGATAGACAGATAGATAGATCAATCGATCGATAGATAGAAAGATAGAAATATAGATATATAGATATACGGATAGCCAGTTTTATAGAAACATAGATAATTTAATAGTATTTACATTCATTTTCTCCATTGACAGTTAAACAAGGTGGATTCCTCCAGATTCAGTACTTGGTTCATCACCAGGTTAACTATGGTTTAGGGTGTGTATGTGTGTATACTCATTACACTTTCACGCTTAATGTGCTTTAAAATAAAAAGAACAAATCTCATCACTGGGCACCTTGCCTTTGTTTCAGAAATTGAAGTTGTGATCCACCAATGGTGACTTCATACTGAGCTCACTTTAAGAATTTACATCTTCACCTGCTCAGGGCACACAGGTTCTCCCCACCAAGATTCTTTAGATGCTCATGCGTCAAAAAATGAATGGCAAACAAAGAGTCAGCGAAATTCAATTCATTATGTTCACCTTAGGTTCATCTTGGTTACTACAGTGCGAGGCCCTTCAAGATAGCGTGCAACATACATTTCTCAACGGAAAACAAACATAAAAAATCATCAAACTCCAATCAACCCATTCATCCTTTTCAATGGATTTTGCATCAGAAACCATCCATTTCGGGGTACTTCCATTGAACATGCTGGCCCAGCAAACCCAGCCATAATCTCTTCTACTCCCAGCGGCCGTTGATGGTCATGGTGTAGACGTTGCCTTTGGCATCAGGAATCTTCTTAAAATCCGAAAACAAATGGGATGGTTCTTAAAATGGGGGATCAACAAAACCATGGATCTCAATACTAAGTCATGGTCTAATTTAGATGACTTAAGTGGGTACACCCATGACTTCGGAAACCTCCACGAAAGAGAATGGCTTAAAAAGAAGAAACCACAGAATTAGTCACTGGAGCGACCATAATCTTGAACTGTAGCGGTTACATACCCATGTCAAATAGGCGTCTCATGTATGGTGCGGAGTTGAACAGTCCCACTAAAATAGATTTGTACTAAAGGTACTATGATATAAAATGAACACATTAAAATTATGGGTTAAAACGTCAAAACATAGATGATTTTCCAATCCTGGAAATACGTTTCTATTTTTTTGGAAGTCTTTGAAATGAGGGCAACACCCACTAAAAAGTGCTTTCAATATTCCTCCCTGGGTATCTCTCAAGAACTTGGTCCAAATCAAGGGACGAAGTGGATGCTTCACCATGGTCAATCATTCCAAAGAGAAAAACATGTCATCTTTTGATATCTTTTGCTGGTGATTTTCCACAAACATAGCTGACATACTGTGGATGGGCCAGCGAATTCCTGTACTACCAATTTGGGATGGTTTTTCAACCCAAACAAAATCGTGGGATGCTTACCATCTACCAACTAGTGATTCGGATTTCGCAACCATCCACAGTAGCAAAGAACTAAAGGATGAGTTTTACCCATCCAGTCGCGGGGGGATCATGGTGTACTACGCTTCACCATGCTTGGAGTCTGCGCTTGGCTTCGGTCTCGATTTTAATCCTTTCCCCCTAATATTGAATACTCCCCCCCTCCAAAAAAAAACTGCTGATCTCAGGACCTATTCCTTTTAAGGCTTTTAAGGTGTCCTTCTTGGAGGTATCTAATGTGGGGTTAGTAGAAAGTTACAAACCAGTCGTGCATTAAATAAAAAACCTTGGTGACGTTCCAACTCGCTCCATATCAATCAAGATCATTCCACTTAATCCCATCCCCATAACGGTGAATCCATCTCCCACATGGGCTTCCAAAATGAACAAATCCAATATTTAACCAAGGTTTACAAGGGGGACATCGAATTGAGGGAAGGGACTATTTGTTCCTCAGCACCTTAGGGCTCCAGGGAAATCTATAGGGGTGGAAGGAGACAAACAAGTTATGGTAGTTTCAAACTTCTTACCACTTTGGAATCAATCATGGTAACGGGAAAATAGTGGTTTAAAGATAAAATCCGTTTTTTTTAAACCAAAATATTGTTTGTTCCCTACGCAATATGGTTTGTTCAACATCATCTTTGATTGGTTCATGTACCCCTCACATGTATTGCATTCAAATCACCGTTTGTGTGTTGCTTCATATGATATTGGTTTATTCCTACACATGCTGGTTCCTGCAACCCTTTTTGTTTTCCTACCACACCGCTTCTTGCTTGCTACTAACTTCAACTTTTCTGCTGGTCAAAGCCTGCTGTCAGCATGTTTGGTGAAGGTCCGTCTTGTTATGTTTCCCCCAACAACAAACATGTATCTTCGGAGAAGATCTGCCCATCACCATATTTCTGGCTAGCCATTAACCCATGCAAGGGGGTACGCAATACCCAGCGAAGAAGATTAGTCATGATGGGGAACCAAATTCAAGAACTTTCATCCGTTGCCCCATGTATCTAGGTATCAAAACTAATCAAGCCCCTTAAGCCACCCACCCACTTGGGGTCGCAGTTCAATACGTGGGTTACATAACAATAGTGGGCCTATATCCCAAGTACGGAGGTTGTACCCAAAACCCCAGCCCTTCACGATTTGACGAGATACTTTGAGGATCTCGCCACTTGCTTTTCTTTGCAGCCAAGGTTGGACTATTGGCAGGCCTCAGGGAGTCACACGGATGTACACGGTTATAACATGTTTGTTTTTATTTTTGTTTGGCCCGGTTACCCAGTAAAATCTCCAGTTTCAACAAATAATGATGAGAAGTCAAGAAGTACAGGTGTTGCAGCAAGAAAGGACATTGGGTCTGGTATAATTAATAAAATGCGCTTGTCATTTTGGCTGAATCAGCCCACTCAGCGGTAGAACATCAGCAATTAAATAAAAATAAATAAGTTATATAAATATAACCCCTATCTGTTCATTATATTAAATAAATTTATATAAACATAAAACATTTTTCTTACTACCCCTCCAGTAAATTAACGTAGACTGTTCCTTTACACCCCAGAGGTTGTAGGTCTCTCTATCCCCTTCTTGGCAGCTGTGTCGAAAGTTTGTTAATCGGATTGCCGGATCAAACGACCGATGTTCTTTGGCCCAATCACATGGTGCTCACCAAAAAAAACATCTGGGTGAATAACAATAGTTCAATGACCTGAAATAAGATTCGCATGATTCCCCTTACTAACCATGAAAACAAACAATCAAATAGTAATTAATTCTACGTTTGACATGGCTCGAATGACTGTTCAGTGCACCAACATACCACATCACTGGATCCATATGATACATGTTAAACCTCAAACCCGGATCTGCTGGCGTAGTCTCACTTCATTTTGTGTAATGTGTGAAGCAGTGGAACAAAACATAAACCTCCAACTTTGGTTGGTTTAAACCAATCGTTTCTGGTGTATTTGATTTTTTGTTTTACCCTTTTACCAGATGATTCACCAAAAATTGAAGATACTAGACATGGGTTGTAAAGCCAACATTCGATCCTTAATAATCCCAAGCACCTTGGCATTTGATAAAACCAAGAGTAAAACCTCAAAAAATATAATTAAAATGCATTGTAAAGCCAATAGTCGTTTGGATCAAACATGTTTTGAGGTTTTACCATCAAATTCCGATCTAAAATCACTAGACTGATCACCATCAACTATGATTTTTAACCATTAATCCCGTTAATATGTACAATATTCAAGAATCATCCACGGTTTCCCCAGCCAGAAATCGATGCTTGCATTGCGGAGCACTGCTGATATGCCGGAAATCCGTTGCCATAGTTCACGCCAGGTGCGGGCCTCGGTTTTGATGTTCATGGACCCCCACAGAAAAACAACGATTTATGATTTAACCCATTAAAAAAAAAAAATGGAAATTTAAGTGATTTAACTGCTATACATTCAGTTGTTGATGATTATTTTTGCACATATCATATGCATCAAACATGTATTGTAGACAATTTTAGATGCACCCTGCATGCTAAAATAAACATAACAATAGTGACAAACATTCATTACATATATCTACAAACCAACAATGGCACAATCAAATTCCATCTTGCGTATACCAAATCCTTATCTTTGGGTTGAAGTTAAGAGGGGTTGAGGTTGGGAGTTGGAAGGGTCAGGGTTGAGAGTTAAAGGGTTAGGGATGAAGGTAGAGGGGTCAGGGTTGAAGGTTAGAAAGGTTAGGTTTGAAGGTTAAAATGCTTAGGGCTGAAGGTTTAGGGTTGAAGGTCAGAGGGGAGTCAGTGTTGAAGGTTTCAAGGGGTTTGGATTGAGGATTAAAGGGGTTAGGGTTGAAGGTTAGCAGGGCTAGGGTTGGAGGTTAGAGGGTGCTAGCGTTGAAGATTGGAAGGGTTAGGGTTGAAGGTTAGAGGGTCTAGTGTTGAAGGTCCAAGGGGTTTGGGTTGAGGTTTATAGAGAGGTTAGGCTAGAAAGTTAGGGTTGAGGACTAGAGGGGTTGGGGTTGAAGGTAAGAGGGGTTAGGGATGAAGGTTAGAGCGTGTTAGGGTCAAAACTTAGACAGGTTAGGGTTGAAGGTTGAAGGGGTGAGGGTTGAGGGTTTAAGGTTTTTTGGGTTGGAGGGGTTAGGGTTGAAGGTTGAAGGGGTGAGGGTTGAGGGTTTAAGTTCTTTTTGGGTTAGAGGGTGTTAGGGTTGAGGTTTAAACGCAAAAAATGATACTACCAAAATTCCATCTCTTTCAAAAACAGAAAGGCGGGCTGCGACCCGGTGTGTCTTGGGGTTTCTGAGCTACATATATCTCCAACACACACATTCTAAAGCACAGGCTTGCATCATTCCCCCTCCAGACAACAAAAAATAAGGCTTGCCTCCCCCGAAAAAAAATAGCATGAGCCCCTGCCCCCAGAAGACTACAAAGACAAAACAAAATTACTTTCTTCGAGTGATCCCCACCTTGAACCACTATTCTGACATAGCTTCTGACATACCATCTGGAAGTATATATGGCATATTTATTCTGTCTTTCTATCTGACAATATCTGCTATCCTTTCTGGCAAATAATTTGACGTTCTGTCTGACATTCTCTCTGACATCTTGGCACTCCCGTCGAAGTGCTCCTCATTCATGCGGTGCGCGCGTTCTTTCAAGTACTTGCCTCGAAAGTTGTTCCTTTTTGGCCCCTGGCTTCATGAAGTAATTGGTATCCTGTCGAAGCCCACAACTTGTCTCCAAGGCATCTGAAGCATTCTTGTCGGTCCCTGTAAAGCTGCAGGCAAAGCTGACACCAACATGGAAGAAAGGTGTTTGGAACTGGCAATTCCAGAGCAAGGCCCTTGTAGAATTCTCCCCATGCGTTGATATTTTGCTGCGCTTGATGACCACGAAGCCTTTGTCTGAGCATATATGGTCAGGGTGCACCAGATTGAACCACTCTCTGCATCGGCGCTTCAGCCTTTCTGCCCATGCATTCGGGTGTCCTTCAGAGACCTCATCCATTTCTCAGTTGAAGGGTGTGCAGGGCATCTCGGAGTGGATCGAAAACCATTGGGGGTGGAGGAGGTGCACTGTTTGCTGGCCCATCGGGGATGATGACGCAACCATCAACCTCAACATATTCATTCTCCTGCTCCACCTCATATACTCCACCTCATCTTTGGCTGCAGCTGCTTCAGCTTCACGCGCAGCTGCTCCAGCTTCAGCTGCAGCTGCTTCAGCTTGAATTCCTTGAATAAGTTCAACAAGGGCTGCAGCTGCTTCAGCTTCAGCTTCTTCTGCAGCTGCTTCAGCTTCAGCTTCAGCTGCAGCTGCTTCAGCTTCAGCTTCTTCTGCAGCTGCTTCAGCTTCAGCTTCTTCTGCAGCTGCTTCAGCTTCAGCTTCTCCTATAGCTGTAATATATAGATAAAATTAAATTAAAAGATCGAGAAAAATACTTGACCAATAATTGAACATAAATTTACATCGTAGGAATTGTTGCCTGTCCCGTTTTTTGCTGGGGAGGGAGTGATGCAAGTGAGAAAGAAGCTATATTGATAAACGTCAATACAATCTAAATGGGAATATTGCATGTGCATCATGCGTATAAGGTTGTTTCGAAAATAACTGACAATGAGTAACTGGCATGTTTAAAAAAATCCCCTCTTGCCGACTTGTGGCGGAGTGAAGCTGGTGGGCTGCGTCTTTGGAGCTTGCTGTTGCCACGGATCACTCTCCTCCGTCCATGGATCTCTCATGTCTTGCGTCATCGACAGGAACCTCCGCAGTCAGGCGAGGCAGGCGACGGAGGCGAGGCAGGCGAGGCAGGCGACACGTCCGCGCGGTCAAAAAAAACGGAGCGTTCTTCGCTTCTGGGAACGAAGATTTTTGTGGGAAACAGCTGCGGTATACGTGGAGGTGTTGTTCAATTCGATGATCGTGGAAATTAAGAGATGGCTAGTTCTCAAATGGGTTAAAACTCAAATCGATTACCTGTCATTGAAGGACTCACGTATACTACCCCTTCAAGCCAACTTCCAGAAATTGGTTCAATTCAATCCAGGAACTCCCTGTGATCCTGAAAAGGACCAAACATATCTTGGGACAACCATGTATAAGAATATATAAGGTATATAAGCCATATACCATGGCGATACTCCGCATATTCGATGCCTGCGTTATTTCATATATGCAAACAAAAAATATAGTAACTACTTCCTGCACCCGCAGGTACAGCTGCAGCGGCCACAAGTTCTTTGTGAAAATCACCCCCGCACAACTGCGTATCCTTGCACAGTAAAAATTGTTTGAACAGCATAACAGCCATCTATGTTTTGCTTGGAGAAGAAAATGATGGAACAATCTTGCGTTCTTTCATTGCACTCCTTTATTTTCATCAATCAACCAAGGAGAACAAGACATCTAGGAATCTAGGCAGAACTGGCTCCAAAAAAAGTCCCAATTCTACAATTCCGATTTCAGATATACCAATATTTACTGTCCAACATCCGTGGTCAGAGCCTGATTTTCGGCGATATCTTGGGACTTTCTTGGAAAGATTGGTCAATGTTCAACCCGAAAGCTAGGATATAAAATGATAATATATATATATATATACAATGTGGGCCCCCCAGTTATAAGTTGGTTTATAAACCCCAGTAACTATGGTTATAAGTACCATAAACTATACTTATTAGAGTTACAAACCAACTTAGCTATCTAGGGGGCCCCACTTTATATATATATATACATATAATATATATAATTATATATAATTATATATATATACATATAATATATATAATATATATAATATCTATCTATCTATCTATCTGTCTATCTGTCTATCTGTCTATCTGTCTATCTGTCTATCTATCTATCTATCTATCTATCTGTACCATTTACCCTCCGGTTTTTTGACATACCAGTAGCTATGGAAAGAAACACAATTTTCGATGGGTAAAACACCATAAATCATCGAAATAGATGGGCCATAGCTTCCATAACAATCTGTTAAGTAACCAGAGGGTATTCCCCAAAGATTTCTCCGGTTTCTCCAGCTCAATGGATATCCTTTTCGCAAGCACGGTCAATCAACTTGCCTGGCAGGCCGGGCAAGATCAACTCCGAACTCAACAGTCTCAACTACACTGGGATGCGATGCGAAGCGCACTCTTGGATTGGACCACAACTGGATGCCAAACAGAAAAGCAATGAATATAACATATATAACTCCATTCATATGTTCATATCCCATTCATCCCATGAAAATGTCCTCCTAAAGTCCCACTCATATGGAATCCAATTCTGGCCATGGGGTGTCTGCACCATTCCTGGTCGCAGTCGCCACCCAAAGTTAAGCCATAAACTCTACAACTGAGTGCAGCACCGGTCACTTCCGGCTTGTTATAGGTATAATCCTGGTACAACATACTTGTAATTCATACTTTTGATGGACCGGAGAATTATAGAGTCATATAAACTCATGGTACTCCATCAAACGTATTCAAAAGTCAGCAATCTTGGATAAATAATTATGGTATGAGATATCTTGCGTTCAGTCGTTCACTCTCAACTTTAACCGCTGGCATCTAAAATTCTTGAGACCATCTGGATTTAAGAAAAATAGGGAACAACAATGTTGAACGACCTCTGAATCCAGTGGTTTACCATCATTTCTCGCATGAAAACTGCCATCTTGCTTGTATACCAAATTTTCAGACACACCCAGCTAATATTGAGCTAGCGATATTATCTCTAATTAATCAATATTAGAATTTATTAGAATCCCAATAGTCTAATCCTCCAATGAAATCACCATGTTCGCTTGTTAAATCCTGGTATGGTTCCAATTCGAGTTCCGGCGAACCGGCCGTGCATCCAGCTCACAAATGCTCACAAATGCTCACAACGCGAACACTGCCTGGGTAGAAGGCTTCGACACCCTCCAAATTGGAAGGCTTGTCTTCCAGAGTCATTTAGGGCACTTACAATGTGGGCCCCCCTCCAGTTATAAGTTGGTGTATGAACATATTAAGCTGGTTTGCATGAAAAACCATAGGTATTGGAGTTATAAACAAACTTAGCTATATATCTAGGAGGCCCCACATTGTAATCATTGTAGTAAATTAGCTTGGAGGATCATCCCAACTATATTTCAGTGGTGAAAATAAATGTGAATAACCCTAGTAAGTCCCCTTAAATGTGTGGGTTTATTCCATTGATCTAACAGGGACACGATGGTGAATGGTGACATGAAAACGATTGGCAAGATGAACGATTCTCCAAAAGAGGCTTTGCTTCAGGGTTTAATCTTTGAAGCTGATAGGATAGTGGAAGAGAGTGTGACACAAAAAACGAAGCATGCTGGATACTCGGGCAAAACTTGCAACAACAGAAATAGCATAGGATACCCTTTGGTAAACTAACATAACTATGGAAAATCACCATTTTCAATTAGTAAATCAATTATAAATGGCCATTTTCAATAGCTATGTTGGTTTGCCAAAGGGTAGTTGCTGTCATTGATTGGATGAACAATTCCCGGCCGCCTGATTTTCGGCAGCTTCACCCTGCCCTATCCAAGGTTCCAGCGATGAAAACCTCATTTCTATGATCAAACAGGAACAGTTATGGCCATTGATTAGTTTAACTGGTTATAAATGGGACTATATATTCTACAAATGGGATTACAAGTACTTATAACTGGTAAAGGGCCATAACTGCAATGGTCAAACAGCTGTGACAGGAACCATGCCGCAGCGCACCACCTTTGTCCAATGGGCTTCACGCGCACGTCTTCTTTCAGGTTCACGCGGTCGGGGTCGACAGGTGTGCGAGGGGGACTTTTACTGGCTGTCCAAGCAGGAAAAAAGACTGATCAGATGTAAATCTTTACTTCAATCTAGTTCAATGATACTTTCAATGATAGTTCAATGATTTCAATCAATCTAGTTCATTGATTTCTGTTTGTTTTATTGATTAGTTCCTATAATAATTATAGTCCAATGATTCCAGAAATAACTCAGGATCCACTGCATGGATTTAACCCACTCAATGTGGCCGGAATGGGAGAAAATTGGTTCCAAACCATTGCGAGGGTATCCTGCTGGAGGCATGGGAGCTGATCTATGACATATACCACCAGTCAGGTACATGTCTCAGTATGACTCCGATTCTTGCAGTTATGCCTTCCATAGTAATTAGCCCGTATCACTGACAAAACTATGGAAAAACTTGCGATGCTAGTACTCACAAGTTGGGGATAAGTCTCGCATCCCTTATGTTGGCCCTCCATAATTTAACTGTAATGACAGGGTCTAGAGCCTCAATGATATATGGTATCTGGGAGCATCCGTTCATAAGGTTTACGATTATGGGTGGGTGTTCATGGAAAACCGATTTCGAGGCAAACTGGGACTGACTCGCGGAATATCATGTACTATATGTCGTTGGATCCACAACAATAAACCATGCCGGATGGAACTCAACCATTCAGGGGGCTTTTGTACATCATCCCGGGGGTTCATGAACCAAAAATCGGGAATGGTGGATTCCATATTATTATACGGCATTCCCACAGAAAGTCTGTGATAATTAGATGATTATTATATCTGGTTGGTGGTTTTAACCATCTTGAAAAATATGAGAGTCAATGGGGTTGGGATTATCCCATATACTATGGAAAATAAAGCATGTTTGACACCACCAACCAGATATATTCAATCCTAAGTTCTGGTGGTTCAAACCCTCATAATATTGATAAATGACTTGGAACCCCTTTCTGACTTGGCACAAGATGCGGGATCATCCTACCGTGACTCATGGTCCAACATCACAACAGCCACCTGCACCCGTCCCGTAGCGACCGGTGAGCATACCGACCGTACCGACCGTGACCGACCCGCACCCGCTTTTTTTGGGCCCTTGCCGAAGCCCTTGTCGCGCCATGTCCGCCGTTCTACTGGGAATTGCACTGTCGGGATATAACCCCGGTAACTATGGTACATGATATATGTAATACATTCTTCATTTATATAATCCTGATATAATCCTGAAATAATCCATTTTACAACTGGAACTGCGCTTCCAACTAGAACTATAATTTATTATGATTCTGTCGCATGTAGACATTGCGCAAGGTGGGAAGGTCCCTGAAATGCAGCAAATTTCTCTGGCCCGGCCACAAATTATGCCGTGTGCCAACCCAGCACCACTGGCAGCTTTCAGCCGAAGATTCAGGAAACAATTTCCAAAACGTCTCAGGATGTAGACTTACATAAAAACATCATATTGTTATGGCATTTATGGGCCCATGTTTCAGCCCAAGCTTAGGAATTCAATCCTCATGTTCTATTCATTTTGCGAAAAACATAAACAAATAATATGTTACCAAACAAGGGTCCAAATATTGCATAGGTGTATCACACATTTCATACTGTGCATATATATATATATATATATCTCTCTCTCTCTCTGAAGATCTTAGGGTTTCTTTCTTTTCTGCAATAAATATATATATATATATAATATTTTCAATTTACGTAGACAGATGGAACAATAAAACATAGAATGCTAAATATATCGATGCTACAGGTGCATATACACGCAGATGCACACACACACAGATAATACACAGATATACCCAAATACCCCACACCGGTTCCCATAGCCGTCCTTGTTTGTCGCCACCTGACGGGGAACCGTGCGGGGAATGTGCCATGTGCAGAGGTCAGGGGATGGGAATTGGGGATGTCGCAATTTAGCGAAGTGGAATGGCTATTACCTTTCGATCTATCATGGTACAGTCGAAAGTTTTTGGGGGTCCAGGATGTAAAGACTGGGCTATTAACTAGTCTTGCCAAATATGAATCTCTCAATGGTTTGAAGCACCTTGGTTGCA